GACTCGGCAACCCGGCAGCTGAGCCGATTGTCCGCCAGGCCATTGTCAAAGCGCCCGTGGCTGCGGCACCCGGCGGACAATCGGCTCAGCTGCCGGGTTGCCGAGTCGCCGGGCCGCCGGATACCGGGAGGAAAAATATGGCATTTTCTTACTTATTTTTTTAGGCTGTTTTCGCATTTTTTTGCGACCAAAAAGTTCCAAATTTCTCTCGTGCTTGGCGGTTGCGCGGCTCATTGATGTCGCGCTCGGCGCCTACGCGCTTCCCCCAGTTCATTCGCCTCCTGGTCCGCAGCTGCACTTTGCCTTGCCGTCATCTTAGGAGCTGCCAGCTCATTACTCAGGTTGCGGATTTGTTGAACCCGCCACAATACCTGCTACACGACAAACATGGCGGGGCAGGCGGGATACTGTGCCATGCGGAGCCATTGTGGGCCAAAAGACTGGGTTAGCAAGTCTTTGCCTTGCCCGTCTAATGAACCTGCTTCGGAGGTGCGTGCGACAGTCGTGCAGGATGATACCGCGGATTCGCTCAATCTACTGGCAGGAGGGTGTCGACCGCGACCTCCTAGTATCAATATGCGGCGAAGAATTTGCGGATGGCGGAACGTGTTGCACCACAGATCAACTCGAAGCTCTACGAGATAACCTCGGTCAAGCAGAGAACATCATTGCGTCTTGCCCAGCATGCAGGAACAACTTTCGAAAGTTCTGGTGTACCTTCACTTGCTCTCCCGATCAGGCAACCTTCTTAAACGTCACTAGTACCCAGAAGTCCGTTCTAGACCAGACAGCAGTCAAGTCAGTCGACTTCATCGTTTCTGAACGCTTCGGTCAGGGATTTTATGACAGCTGCAAGAGCATACAAGTTGGTGCCACGAATGGATACGCCATGGATCTCATTGGTGGTGGTGCGAAAGACTACCGTTCGTTCCTCCAGTTCATGGGCGACGTGAAGGATATTGGCAGTCCATTCCAGATCAACTTTCCTGAACAGGTACCCCCCGAAATGACACCCTTCGATGCCAGACCCCGTAATTGCGCGGATAACGACCTCGGCAGCCGCTGTACATGCATAGACTGTCCCTCCGTATGTCAAACACTTCCCCCGGTACCCCCGCCAGGTTCCGAACCGTCGTGTCACGTCGGCGCGTTCAGCTGCTTGTCCTTTTCCCTCGTTATTCTATACGGCCTCTGCGTGCTCGCCTTCGTTGTGGGGTACATCATCCCATTTACAATACGAAAGAGGAAGGAGAGATCCTACGAGCGTGTCGCCCTATCCGCGGATGGTGCATCCGACAACACGCCGCTATCACCGCGGTCCCATTCTCGAGGTCTTGTCGGAGCATCCTCCTTGGCACACCAGGACGTCGACGAGTCTTCGGGGAACTTCTCGGATTCCCGCCATCTCGGACGAGGCGCGTCATTGCTGGATCCCATCGAGACGGTCCAACCTCGTCAGTATAGATTGAATGCGTACCTCCGTCGTACCTTCTACCGCCTGGGACTTCTGGCCGCCACATATCCCTGGATGACGTTCGCCGTCATGTTCGCCTTCATGGCTCTGCTGAATTTCGGCTGGAGCGAATTCAAGATCGAGACAGACCCTGTTCGACTTTGGGTTGCTCCAGATTCCGAGAGTAGGATGCAGAAGGAGTACTTCGACGAGCACTTTGGACCCTTCTATCGCCCGCAACAGATTTACGTAACCGTGGCTACACAGTCGCCTTTTGACCTGCAGGGTAGCGATGCCTTAGCAGCTGTTGCCAGCGAGCAGAAGCCCCCGGTGTTGTCGTGGGATCATCTCAAGTATTGGCTTAGTATCGAGGCCGAGATACGCGAACTGAAATCCTCTCCCAATACGTACACCCTGGACGATGTTTGCTTCAAGCCCCTCGGACCTGATGGCGCATGTGTCGTGCAGTCTGTAGGAGGATGGTTCGGCAATGACCTCGAGGCATATGAACCAGATACATGGGAAGACCGTCTCTCGCATTGTGCCAAATCACCGGTAGACTGCAGGCCAGACTTTCAGCAGCCCCTCGCCCCACAGTACGTGCTAGGTGGTATACCTGAGGTCAACGATACCAAGATGTACCTGGAGTCACAGTCGCTCGTTATCACCATCGTCGTATCGGACTCCCTTGACCGGGAAATCCAAGACAGGGCCCTTGAATGGGAGCGCACGTTACGGGCCTACTTAGAAGACCTTAGCGAGCGCATTCCTCGGGAGGCCGGCCTGGATATAGCCTTCTCAACCGGCGTGTCACTGGAAGAGGAGCTTAACAAGAGCGCAAACACGGATGTCAGGATTGTTGTCTTGTCATATCTTGCCATGTTCTTTTATGTGTCCCTTACACTCGGCAACGGGTTCGCAGGTCGAGACGAAGAGGGTGTCTCCGCATCGCTCGCTAGGTGGGCTAGGAACTTCCCCAAGCTCTTCAGTTCCTCCGCTGCAACAGCGTCCATCGACTCTAGCAACATGCCGACCCTCTTCCCTCGCTTGCCCCGCAAACTCTTTATTGGCTCAAAAGTCATCTTGGGCCTCTTTTCCATCTCCCTTGTCATACTTTCCGTCTCGTCATCTGTCGGCTTCTTCTCTATTCTTGGCGTTCGCGCCACACTGATCATTGCTGAGGTTATACCATTCCTTGTGTTGGCTGTCGGCGTCGACAACGTCTTCATTCTCGTGCACGAGATGGACCGACAGAACATCCTCCATGGACCGAATGCCTCTCCAACAGCCAACTTCAGTGGAACGACTCCACTCTCTCCAACACAGTCTCGCGCACGCCCGCAGTTTGAGCCATCACCCTCGCACGATGACTCAGTTGACGCGGAGTCGATGCCGTTGTACCTATCCATCGAGGAACGTGTCGCGCGGACATTGGCCAAGATGGGTCCGTCAATTTTGCTCAGCACGATCACGGAGTTTGTTGCGTTTGCTCTCGGCGCGATTGTGCCCATGCCGGCTGTGCGCAACTTCGCTCTGTACGCAGCGGGCAGCGTGCTCCTCAATGCTATGTTGCAAGTTACTGTCCTTGTCAGTGCAATGGCTCTGGACCAGCGACGAGTAGAGGTTGGGCTCATCGAACTTTCTGACATGTATATGCTGAAAACCTGGTACTAGGCGAGCAGGGTTGACTGCTTCCCCTGCATTCGCTTGCCATCGCGCATTGCCCTCATGGATCCGCCGCAAGCCGGGAGCGGACTTGGCATATTGGGCAAATTCATTCGTCGCCACTACGCCCCCTTCTTACTCAAGCCTATTGTCAAGGGCATCGTATTGCTGACATTCGCCGGCTTGCTGGTATGTTCTGTAATATATATTCAGCATATTGAGCTCGGACTTGGTTAGTGAAAAACTATCCGTCTACCTCCACTGCTGACGTGCATACGTAGACCAAAGGTTGGCACTGCCTTCCGAGTCGTACCTGATCAAGTGGTTCGATAGCGTCGACGCCTATCTCCAAATCGGCCCTCCAGTCTACTTCGTTGTGGAGGATGCACATGTTGAGAGTCGCACCATCCAACAGGAGCTCTGCGGCCGCTTTACCACATGTGACGATTTCTCAGTCGCCAATTTACTCGAGGCGGAGCGCAAGAGAACGGAATCGTCGTTCATCTCGGATCCGACGGCGTCCTGGATCGACGACTTCATGGGCTGGTTGAACCCCACGAATGGGAAGTGCTGCCGCATTAACAAGCGCGACCCTAGCAAGTTCTGCACAGACAGACAATCTCCACGAATATGTAAGCCGTGCTTCGAGGATCGCGAGCCCGCCTGGAACATTACGATGGACGGGTTCCCTCAGGATGAGGAGTTCATGCGCTATCTTAAGCAGTGGCTCATCTCGCCGACGTCAGAAGACTGTCCCCTCGCTGGCGCGGCGTCCTTTGGCACAGCTCTCTCCTTCAACGAAGATAGTACCCAGGTTGTTGCGTCCCATTTCCGCACTATGCACAAGCCTCTCAAGTCGCAAGCGGATTATATTGACTCCTTCCACGCCGCACACCGCATCGCAGACGAAATCTCAGAGAGTACCGGCCTGCGCGTCTTCCCATACTCCTTCCATTACGTCTTTTTCGACCAGTACGCGCACATCATAGCCATCACGGAACAGGTTCTTGGGCTTGGCCTCGCGGCGGTGCTCATTGTAACTGCGCTGCTTCTTGGCTCGTGGCGCACGGGCAGCATCGTTACAGGCGTCGTCGCGCTCACTGTTGTGAACGTCATGGGCGTGATGGGCATCTGGAACATCAACCTGAACGCCATCAGCCTCGTGAACCTCGTCATCTCGCTCGGCATCGCGGTCGAGTTCTGCGCGCACGTCGCCAGAGCATTCATGAGCTCGGGCTCGGGCTTGCCCATCGACCATCCCGCAGGGCAGAAGGAGCGCGACGAGCGTATGTGGACAGCGTTGATTGACGTTGGGCCCTCGGTATTGTCCGGAATCACATTCACGAAGCTAATTGGAATGTCCGTACTCGCGCTCACACACTCAAAGATCCTCGAGGTCAGTTCAGCTTCGTGTATGCATCCGATCTCGTTCTTATCTACATGTCTAGGTCTACTACTTCAGAATGTGGATTACTCTGATCATAGCCGGTGCTCTACACGGCCTCGTGCTACTCCCTGTCGTTCTCAGCTTAGCTGGCGGTCCCGGCTTCCCGTTGCAAGAAGCGGACGAGGAATGGATGTCGCATGCTATCAGGAATGATTATGAATATACGTGAGCTGTCTTTTCATCTTTACTTGTGCGATGGCCGACATCTTTTGTAGCCCATTCCTTGCAGACGATGACTCTGGGGTCAGCGACTAATCGTTTACATATCATACCTAGGACCTGTTATTTTATTCCCTCAGCGCCACTCATCACGGCCAGTAGGAGCAAACAGCGATGTATTGTTCCGTACTGTACTTGAAATATAGCATTCGGCACTTCGTACTGGGGCAAAAAGAGAGTGACTATGTGAAATCCCTGGATCACGGCGGTGGCGACCGTGACCTGCTATCCCTGATATCATCCCTACTGGAGCTCCTTGCACGGCTGCGCGAACGCGTACGACTCCTACTACGCGAGTACCGAGAGTATGACGAGTACGACATCGAGCGAGTGCGGGAGCGCGGCGTGAGGGTCCTGGTCCTGGACCGGCTCGAGCGCACAGAGTAGCTTCGTGAGCGTGAGCGGCGGCGGTATCCCGTGCCGCCGCGCTCGTAGCTTGGCGACCTCCGGCGTGGCGGCAGGCGGTCGCCCCTGCGTATGGGCGAACGCGAGCGAGAGCGCGAGGGTGGACGGTACGTGTCTCTGGGCGGCGGGCCGCGGCGTCCGTACCGGGGCCGGTATTCGAAGCGGTCGAAACGATCGCGCCTGCCGAAGCTGCGGCGCGGCGGCGAGCGTGAGCGGGAAGGGGAGCGTGAGTACGACCGGGGCTTGGTGCGGCCGTTGCGTGGTGGTGGACGGGGTGAGCGCGAGCGCGAGCGGACGGGGAGCTCTGAGAGCTCGACTTTGAGGATCGCGCCGTCGAGCTGACCACCGTTCATGTGGGAGGCGGCGCGGTGCGCTGACGCGGACTCTGCGAACTCGAGGGACGCTTTGCCTCTGTTTTGGCCGGCTAATGAGCAAGCAATGAGTGCGATGTGAGAGCATGACATTGTTCCGTCACGCACATTTTCCGAATAGCGGCAGGTCAATCTTCGATATCTCCCCGTAAAAGCTGAAGATGGTCTGCAAGTGGGACTCTACGACGTTCCTTGTGAGGTTCGTAACGATGATCACTTTTGCGAGCGGCTTGTCTATTCTGTCATCGGCGTCCATGTCCACGTCGGCGTCGCGGAGCGGATGTGGCGAGGTTGAGCGTCCCCGGGTCGACATGTTGTTGTGAGCTCGAGTGGAGGTCGAGGTTCTGGTTCAGGTTCTCCTCAGGTTGCGCGCTTGCTCATCATTGACGCCAAACTCACGTGTTACTTTCACGCGGTCACGTCACAAGTGTTACAAACCGAGTAGATTGGGTAGAGGACGAGGAGACAAGGGCTGCCTACAACTACTGAACGGGACGAGATTCACGATACATTCACTGATCCAAAGACATGCGATCCTCCTCGACCTTAGGCACTGGAGTTTGGGACTCCGTCACCCTCGCTCGCTTGCGACGACCGTCGGGCCATTGTTCGGGCATGGTACCATGCGTCACTTTCATGTGCCTCTTGAGTAGATCCTGGCGAACAAAACTCTTCTCTTGGTATGGTGCGCAGATGGAGCAGGTATACGGCTTCAAGCCGACATGGCTAGACATATGTCGCTTACATTCGTTCTTCCGGAGGAACCTCATTCCGCTATCCGAAATTCAGTCGACGCAATGAGTGTTAAGATATATGAACGCACCATTCGTCGCACTGGAAGGGACGATGCTCGACATGCGATCCAACATGGACAAGTATGTGGTCCCGTCTCTTGTTCGTTTGAGTGCAACCTTTGACGTAGCAACGAAACTCGGGTAACAATTCGTCATCCTCGGAGAGGCGACCCGCAAACGCCTGGAGGAAGGTCTTATCGAGTTCGCAGCCAGGATTCAGTCGACGAAAGGTATTTGCACTAGAACGTAGCACTTCAAGATCGACGCCTCTGTTCGCGTTCGGGACAGTAGCTGGGCGCTGAGTTGGTCCAGGAGACTGGTCGGCAAGGTTGCGGGGTTGAACCGGAGCCAGAGGAGAGCGAACAGGCAGCGAAAGAGGCCTTCCAATAATGGAGGATGAGGTGGTCTTGGGGATAGCTATAGTCCTCGACGCATAGGCTGGAGGCTGGATAGCCAAGCTATTAGCGGGCGGCCGGAAAATACGAAATGAGGCGTTCATAGGGAGTTGGCGAAGGGCAGGCTGTTCTTGCTTGGCAGACCCAGCTAAGACAGAAACGATCGCTGATAATGCTTCTTCCGAGAAATTAGCTTGCAGCTGAGGGTTATCGTTATCTTCTGCGAGAAAGGGCAAAGGTCCGATGTCGTCCATAAGCATGTTGTCCTCTTTGTCCTCAATCTTGGGGGGAAAAACAACGAGCTCATTTCTTTCGCCCATAAGATCCGCTGGGTCGACACCGAGAGCAGGGGACTTCCGTGCAGAAAGGACACGGTAGTTGACGTCCGCGAATAACCCGATGATAGGACTCCCAGGAGAATCCATAGACAACATGGAGAAGTCGAATTCAGCGTTGAGTTCCTTTCCTTCCTCCCTATCGATGTTGAACTCTGCTACATTCGGCGAGTCGACTAGCATGAGAAAATCATCTGCAGGAGAGTACGGGACACCGGGAGCCGACGAAGGAGAATGCGCCACGAAATCCGCGCTAGGACAGTTGGAGTAAGCGGTCTGCGAGTCGCCATTTCCAACACTTGCATACTCTGCCCCGCAGGTGCGAGACGAGTTGTCCTGAGCAACAGCTGACGCGCTTTCAGGAGAAGGAGCTGAGGAACGCAAGAAAGGTGCGAGGACAGGCGGCGAAGCAAGCAAGTAAGGTGCAGTGGTAGGCACTTCAGAGGAGCCAAACGTAATGCCCAATCCAGTCAAAGGACGGCGTCCAGGAGTAATGCGGTTCCAGAAGTGAGTACCGCCTGAAGTTGGTTGGAACCAGACATTCGACTGAAAATCGGCGTCACGTTCGCATCCGTCCAGAAGGCAGCGACCGGGGGTGAGGAGTGGTTGCTCCAGGTAATAGCTTTGAGCTGGTATGTCTTGGGGGACGTAGAATGGATGCGTCGCCAGCGTCGCAGTACGTCGGTGCAAAGAGCGTGTGTGTGTAGGTGCGCTGTCGTTGCTGTTCCCTGTTACAAAACCATAATCGAAGGAGCGTTTCATGATCACACAAAAGTCGTTAGAGGTCGTTAACAAATTATCCCGTCTTCAGACCGACGAGAGGGCATAGAGTAGATAGAGATGTGGAGAGGTTCGACTTGCCTTTGAGGCGCTTGCGAGCTTCAAGACGAGAGCTATTTGTCCTTGTTTGGAGGCTCGTTCCTTCTTGCCTTCCTCTTTGGGACTGTCACTTCCGACCCATGTTGCGCCCTCGCCTTCCGCTCTGCGCCAACCACCTCCGCAGACAGGGAACTCGCCACAGCCTGAACAGGCAGATACCGACGCGTAATTATGCGTTACAAGCGCAACAGTCGCCTTCAGGCCATGCACAGCGCATCGCGGTGTGGGCGGGCTCGCTTGGCGGAGCCACCCTAGTCGCCGCGTACTTTTTCTGGCCAGACGTCTCTCGGTCTGCCCCAACGTACACCGACGCCACTCTCTCATCTGCATATTTCACACCAGTTACCGTCACCTTCACGGAGCAATGCAAAGACCCAAATACATGCCTGATGACGCTCACCGTTCCTCGGGAAGCAATACCGCCGCTGGGAGACGCTCCATTTGCTCCCATATGGTCTATCTTCATCAAGGATGATGATATTCAAGTCGAACGTCCCTATACTCCTCTCGAAGGCATCGACGGAGGAGGGAAGATGCGGCTTTGGGTGAAAAGGTACCCCAAGGGAGAAGTCGGGCGATGGCTTCACTCGAAGCGCGTAGGCGACAAAATCGAAATCAGGGGTCCGCTGAAGACATGGCCTTGGCAAGAAGAGACTTGGGATGAAATCATCATGGTAGGCTTTTTCGATATAGTGTGCCAACATGATGGTCTCATACAATGTTGCAGGTTTCAGGCGGAACGGGTATAACGCCGTTCTACCAGCTGTTGCATTTCATGCTGTTCTCGGGCAAGTCAAGCTCTTGGCGGACACGCTTCACCCTCCTACATTCTTCCCAGACTCCTGGGGAACTTCCTCCTGCTGAGATCCTGCAGCCGTTGCTCTCGTATTCCTCAGCGCACCCGGATCGCCTCAGGGTACGCCTATTCGTAGACGAGCAGGACGGGTCAGACTCGGAAAGCGTGTCCATACAGGACGTCCGAATCGGTCGCATCGACAAGCCAGCCATACACCAGGTCCTGTACCCCACCCAAGAAGCCTCCTGGTGGCAAAGGTTATTCCATCGGTCCAAGTCGCCCCTAGGAGCGGACAAGAAAATCCTGTTCCTCGTGTGTGGGCCCGAGCCGTAAATGTTTAACAGCTGTTACACTCGGCAGTTTGCTTATTAACTCCTGATTGCAGGATGATCACCGCAATTGCGGGGCCATACGGTCGCAATTACTCCCAAGGTCCAGTTGGTGGGTTGTTGGCAGAGTTTGGCTGTCGCCAGGATCAAGTGTGGAAGTTATAAATATACATATAAATACGCTGCGACCATCCACAGAAAAAAGAGACTGCTGAGAACTACGTCTTGACTCAAAATTATAGCCCTTCACTGAGCATGGTTGGCCAAACGACACAAATGCCCTAATAACCCACGAGTAAAAAGCAAGAAAGAGAACAACCGCGACGGTTTTATGAATCAACACGGACCCCACACCGCACGCAACGTTTTTGCTTGTCCGAGCTGCAGGGACCGTTCAGCTGTACTTCGACCGGTCAAAGTCTGAAGTGACTCACCAAAGACAGATCAGTCCACAGGGGAAGCATACAATAGCCATGATGATACCAAATGTGCCGTACTTCGTCACGGCATCGTGATTGCCGCGAGCGCAGCGAGCCATGACTAGGAAGATGGTAGGTATGGGGCACGCAGATAATCGAATGGTAGTCACGTACGCTCATTCTGGTAGTCGACGCCGACCTTCGCTTCTTGGTCCATCGTGTATGGTGCAGGCACTTGCAGGGGGATTGGCTCTGTCAATCGTGTCAGAGCAAGCGTGACACAGATGAAGGAGGCACATACGAAGGAAAGATCTCTCAGAAGTGACTTAAGTCGTGCTAGTGATTTGGGGAGAAGAACAAGCGGGAGGAGAGAGGCAGGGGGAGTTTCTGGATAACCCATCTCAGAATCCAAGGTCTTATAAAGAGCAATCCTCTCCACAGAGTGCGGACATCGCCAAACGAACTGCCTCGTTGCCCAAACAGTTCCTGACGACGCCGCACGGGCGCACCTCAGGAATGCAGTGCATATAACGGGACGTTCAGATGCGCGTTGGCAGACATCTGGTTACAGCGTTGATCCATCGGGGCGTTTGATAGACACGGGATGTTGTGTGCGTCAAGATTCACTCTCACCATCAGCACTCATATCCAGGTTTGATACATCTCCATATATCGCCCACGTTGCAAAATACCATCTGCTTGGCGAGGTACCGCCACGCAACGAAGCTGTGACTCGAGACCAGCCGAATACGATGGATGACGTTTCACCAGCGGTTTGGTGTATGAGCATCATTTGTGATATTTTAGCGTTGTTGGCCCGTATCTTGTGGCTGAATTTTGTTGCAGTGATCACTCGCTACTCAAATATGCCTGGAAACAAATTGAACATGAGCAGATGGAGTGTATGGTCTCGCCTTAAACGAAGATAGAGCAGGCATCGCTGACAGGAATGACCTGTACGTACTTCACGATAGACGGTAAGCCAGTCTCGTGGTAGACGACGATCACGTATTGCGATGGGAGTAATAAGCAGGTTCTTGATAACGCTCAGTACTACGCATGTACAGAGGTAATAAGAGTACTAGAGAGTAAAGAGGTAGAGGTTACGCATGGATAAAACAGCGAGAAAGATGATAAGACGGAGAGCAAAATATGAGGACATGTTACTAAAGAACAGTCATGGCAGCTGGTAAAGTTGGCAGGTCCATCGAGAGTGTGACCCACATCGAGCCAACGTGCATCAGACAACAATAGAAAGAGAACACACCACGGATTCATCGCACTAACTACCGGCGGTCATGCAGTCTCGCCAGTACTCGGAGGCGCGCCAGGCATGCCGTGCGCGGGCTGAGGCATGGCTTCAGGGGCAACCTGAGGTGCCATCATCGCCGTTCGCACTCGCGCGAGCATGTTCCTGAACCACTCCTGGTCCGCACCCTGCTTCTCCTGCTGGTCCGTGAACTGCATCAAATTCGTCAGCTCCTTACGCCACATGCTCGCCCAGATGACGTTTCCATGCTCATCCAGGTCGACCTGCTCGTCCGGGAAGAGCGGATGCGGTCGCATAGGTTGAGGCGGAAAGGAAAAAGCGGGGTCGAACCTGTACGGCGATGCAGGAAAAGGTATCAGAACTCTGTGTGCAAACGGGAGGTCTGAGATGCAGATAACGCGACAGTGGGAGAGTTAGAGCACTAACGTTCCATAGGGTGGCTGAAATTGTGCTGGCTGAGGCGCTTGTGTCTGCGGTTGCCTACTCGGGCCCGGCCCATCGGCAGCGATAATGGGGGGTGGGACATAGTTGCTAGGGTCGTACGCATTAGCTTCCTGAGCGGCACCAGGATGGTAATCAACGTCTTCGATGGGTGGCTGCTGACTGGGTTGTGGTTGTGCTTGCTGTTGTTGCGGCTGCTGATCCTGCTGCTCCTGTTCGGGCGACTGCTCTACGTGACGATGCTGTCCGCCCTTCTTTCCACCCTTCGGCTTCTTCTTGCGCACACGATGCACGCCTGTTCGTGGGTCAACGTTGTCGTTAACAGTCCAATATGAACCTTTGCCGCGGTCGGTGAGCGGGCGAGGCACCTTCTCGAAACAAGGGTTCAACGACAGATTGTGGCGGACAGAATTCTGAAAAAGCGTCAAAGTCTAGAAAGACATCGAGAAGATCGACATGGCGCACCTTCCAGCCCGGAGGAGCAGATCGAAAGTACGGGAACTGACGCCACATTAGCATATCAACGGGGAAAGCTGCAGTCCGAACGCTTACTCTGGACTCGATAGCATAGTAGATGTCTTCCAACAGCAGTTTCTGGTTTGGTGCACCCTTAATCGCGTATCTTGAGCAGCACATCTGTTAGAGCTAGTTGCGAAGCGTGTTTTGGTGTGGCTGTACATACCGAATGAGCGTCGAGTAGGGATAAAACGGCTTGCTACCAGGAGGCCCGTCTCGCAGCGAGTCAAGATTGATAGGAAGACCACCCGAAAGGTCACCTCCAGGAGCTTCTGGATAGTAAGAGTTGATATTTACAGGTGGATGCTGCATGTTAGGGATCTGCTGTTGTTGAGCCGCCATCATCTCCTGAGGTATGACTGTAGGCTGCTGTTGTTGCGCCATGTCAGTAAATTCGTTATCCAGGGTAGCCAGTTGTATTGAGCGAGGGATCGCGCGAGAAAATCGGGTCGTTGAGCAGTGACCAGCCGCTGTCGGTCGTGGAGGTGAAGAACAACGTCGAACACGGGGAGTTGCTTATGTCAGCAGGCTGGGCTTGATGCACTAACGGCGCACGGGCCATGAGAGGCGATGTTCCAGATGCTTTAGACATTCTCGAGCAGCTCTTGTCGACGACGGCGACAATGAAAAAGGATGATGGCAAAAGCCAAGGGTGGATTGTTTGGCTGGGGCTGCTTTGCCTCAAAACATGTTCATACAACGTCCAAATTGCTGAAAACCAGAGAAAACAAATTTGATCCTCGCAAGCACAAGAACACATATACAAACAAAGACTCCTCTCCCATGCTCTCCCTCTGTCTGCATCTACCGTGTGCTTTAGTCGCGGTAGAAATGCTCTACAACATGTACCACTTGCATAGTATGAAATCAATCTCAGCTGTGACTGTGGTGAAAGTCGCTGCGGTGTTATAGACGCATGCCTTTTGTCTGTACCTGCTCCTCGGTGCCACCGACCAATACATGGGTTATCCGTACTAGTACTACTACGCATAATTGTGATAACGAGAGTACGCCTCAGCACACCGGCACCATGAGCTGGGCGCGAGAGAGATATAGCCCTCTGCTGCCTGGAGAGGTGCTTTCCTGTGAAGTACACAGTGCACACGTAGAACTTTAGACGAACTCGGTGATACCAGAGCTCTAGCAAGGCTGTAAACATACACGTCTAGCAGTCTGGGGTGCTCGAGACTCGGAGGGGAAAGGCATGTCCGAAAGCGCAAGATTCTCGTCCCGCAATTCACACAGCTAAGTTCCAAGCTTTCAGACTCTCGAAAGCCGGTCGGTTGGCTCACTAAATAAAGCTGAAGTATTGACCTGAAGTAATGCGCACGTAACGTTGGAAGATGGTCAAACTTGCATGTTTCAACCTGAAATCCTAAAGCTCGAAGAATGACCTTGCGGCGGTCCAAGCTGAGAGCAGGGTTCGACAGAACTGGAAGGTACCGCGTGTGGCAGGTCGCGTGATGGAAGATGTAGCAGTCCTTGCAATCTTGCTTCATTCCGGTATGCCGAGAGTTTGTGGACACTAGAGTTTGCATGAATATTGTGAGTGCCGCTTGGACTCGGAGCATCGGCATTTGAGAGAGTTTCATCCGACGAGCTTTGCACAAAGATGGCGACCTAAAAGTTCGAAGACGCGCTGGAGTGTTGAATGCTGCTCTAATTAACGCGACTCCAAGCCTTCAATGTTCAGCTCCAGATAAAAGCGACTGTGCAGCCACGAGCCTCCTTAGTATGGCAGGCGCAGCAGCGGTCTCGAGCACTAATAAGATGCTTTCCGTTATCAGTACTTAGACGGTGGTTGCATGCCTAGAAGCGTAGCAGAGCCAGCAATGTGGTGCAGAGGGCATACTCAAACCAGACCCTGTGGTGGCGCCATTGACAAGTCGCGCTTTGTGTCGGGGCAGACAGAGTTTGATCCGCCACCTTGCCACAATCCCGACGATTTCCTTACTTGTCATACACGTCTGACGTCGCTTGCCTCTAACCACCATGTCCGTGTCGTACTCTGAGACCACTCCAGACAATGAGTCGCCCAACAAGCCCAGGCAGATCCGCATCAACATCCCACCGCGCTTCTACCTCCTTCCAGGCACTGCCATCCTGCTCGGCACGACCATTGGGCTTTTCCGTGGGTCGCGACGCGCCTCGTTGCGCTTCCTCGCGGAGAACGTGCATCGTCCGCCGACGACCGTCCAGGGCTGGTACTTCTACCAGAAGACGAAAAACTACCGTGTTATATTGGGTGGGCTGAAGGAAGCGGGTGCGGATGCGTTAAAGCTTGGCGCGTCCGCGGCGGCGTGGGTGTGCTTCGAGGAGGGCGCGACGAGGCTAGGCGAGGAAGTTGCGAACTTCAAGGAGATCATTGCCGGCCTTGGAACTTCTGCCGTGTTCTCGCTTGCCTGTGAGTGTTCTCGTCCTGACCTTCTAGTTCGCCTTAACTTCTCTGTCCCACCTTCCAGATCGTCTACCACCGAAAGCCGCGGGCAGAGCAGCAATTCTCGGCCTTATGATCGGATGCTCTCTGCGTGGGCTTCAGTGGACGCAAGCTCAGCTGCGCGTCAACGCCGTAGAACGAGCAGAACGACTGGAGCCTCCCGTTGCGGAAGCCGCCGAGGGCATTAAGGAAAGCACGGACGTTGTGAAGGGACGTCGCGCGTGAGAAACTACCCTGCTCCTCCGCTACCCCTAATACCACACACTGCCGGTGACACGCAAGCCTACTATACAGCGGAACTCTCCATCAGCTACTTTCGCGGCTTCGCCGGGCCAGCTCGCGATAACGATGGAGAAGGTTCGTGCAGTCGGTGCAACGGCGCTGTGAAGCGCGTGATATTAAGCAAGGCGTCGGGAGCATGTGAGCTGGGTATGCCTTGGTTGGCTCGTCGCTCTCGCGATATATTATATTTCGCCGGTGCCTTCGTGCTGTGAAGGGTTCTACTCCCTTCATTTCGCTGTTAATCCCTGGTGCCGGCTTCACTGAAGTTTTCAGAGTTTGACTTTCAAGATTGGCATCGCGATTGCACATTGAAAGGAGATCATCTCGATACAGAACATGGATCGGTCCGATTGCACTCACAGTCAGAAGGTTCAGCTATTTGAGAACCCGAGTACCACCGAGTCGACATCTCGGTGTACGGTATCTGTATGGCTACGCCAGTACCAAAATGAACGGCTTTGCGAAAATTGTAGGAGCTTCTGCCTCAACTAATTCATCGTGTGCGCATTATAACAGTCACGTTAGGCCTAAACGAGTATCTGCACAACGTAGTATGCTAGCCTAGATATCTTGCTCAGCGCGCACCGTCTAGTCAGACTCTCCGGGAGCCTCCTGGGCTTCGAAATCGGAGATACTTATGACTTCTTCGCCAGCGTTATCTAGACGTTGATAGATGCATCGGATACGATTGGGTGAGGATGGCGAGTACCGGGCACGGCAAGGATCTGTCGAAAACCTGAAACATTTGTAACGCTCATCGTGGGGTAGAAAAAATTTTGATTATCGTGCACACAATCCTGCATTCTGGTCAATTGGCGTTCCATTCCACAGCCAGCGTAAGCCTTCATTCTGGTGAAATGGTCACTCCCACTCTGATAACGAGAGACGCTGCGGCGGTGCGTCTGCCCGCTGAGCGATTTCCGCGTGGGCCTTCTTGCACCGCCGGTCACTTTTGGAAACGCTTGCGAGCTTTGTGCAATTGGCGGAAGCTGGGAGGAGTCGGATCTTACAAAGGGTACCGAGACAGCCACGGCAATGATCGAGGGAAAGATTACGGTGATTTCAGCCTTCACAGCTGGAATGAAAAGGGATAGATATCGTCCAAGTGGCGAGGCTGGTCGTCGAGCCCTGTCCGCCTCTAGTTCCGTCGTCGTTGCTACCGAAGGTCTGGCCGCAGTCGTTTAGAACCTTGTCCCAGTATTGAGACCGACATGGCCGTGGCATTGTGCGCCAACGTGGAGACAGCTGGGGCGCCGGAGGGTCCCAAGAGAGGTCGAGGACCAAAGAGCGGAGGAAAATGGCAGGTGAAGGAGGCAAAGGCATCGGCTGTGGTCGAAAGCAGCCCGAAACCATTGGAGATCTCATCACAGAGTGGAGAGGCTGAAAGTGGAGAGAAAGGTTTTGATAATAACCGTCCGTTCCGCTCACCTCAGCTTCCTCCTCTTCCACCACATCTCTTGCATCGATCAACACCTCGTCCTCGACGTCTGCCGCAGCGACGAACCCCCACGACCGCATATCTTACCTCCGCTCTCTTGAGACATTGCGACAAGATGCTGAAATTTTGGCCCTCTACCCCCGCAGATCTGACGCCCAGAGTCGATCCCAGTGGTCGAGAACGGCCAAATCCATTCGACCAGCTCACACCGCTCTCCCCATCTGCTGTCTCGACGCCGCCGGTGGCAACCCAGTCGACCGCCAGCAGCCTTGGCCCATTTACCCCGACTGGCAGCCTGTCAGGTCATCAACACCATCTCGCTGCTCACCATCCCCTGCTGTCCCCTTCAATCTCCGCCCCGGGTGGGTCTGATCTGCACTCGCCTCATTTGACTCCTCAGCCTTCCGTGCCTCTAACGCCTGGAGGCGCTACCAGCTTCGCCGCACCTACCACCAGTCTTTCACTACATGCTCCCGTTTTCAACATGCAGCAGCCCCCTCCACCGAAGCGCACCCTCACAGCCAGCAAAATGTCACAACCACCGAAGCCTGCTGAGTCAAATCCCCCCGATCAGAAGCAGTTAAGCAAATTGCAGCCCTCTGGGATCTCCAAGTCCGCCTCTAGCTCTTCGACCTCATCGGCAAACGGCTCGACCTCTTCCTCATCATCTGCCTCGAGCACAGCGAACGGCGTGGCAGGGTCCTCTAGAGGTCAGATCCATGTCAAGCTTATCCAGGCTCGAGGCCTCAATGTCCGCTCATCTCGAGCAAAGCCGTACGTCGTCGTGCAGTTCGAGCAGAACGAATTCGTCTCGCGGGATCCTATAGAGGAGACAGAGAAAGAGGTCAAAGGCGTGGCCACAACTCTGTCAAGGAACTCGTCGTCAAATGCTCTCTCAGCCCTTGGCGCTATCAACGACAAGATGAATGCTCGGACGAACGGTCGAGGTAGCATCAGCACTAGCGGCAGTGCGAAGGGCAGCAGGGATCACACCCCCAGCTCATCTGTCAGCTCGAGCAAGAGTGGGATTGGTCCGCTGGCAGCGGGTATGTTTGGCGCAAAGATCCAGGCCCATAACCCGGCGTGGAAACACGAGGTTTCTTTGTGAGTTGTCAGTTTTTATGGGTTTACTCGCATGTATTGACTGTTTATAGCGATGTCACATCTGAGACCTCTGCCATTACATTCAACATTTACGACCGCTCCGTCAACGACCTTGGTTTCTTAGGCACCATGCAGATTAAGCCCGTGCTAATACATGAGCATACGGTCGACCAGTGGTACAAGTGCGTCTCCCCTGTACTGCGCCGGATCTTACAAGGATCCGGTGTTTCTGACAGACTACTGACCATATGCGCCCTGTTTTTCCTGCCTCGCTCCCTACCGTTCCGTGGCATTGTCAATTACATTCACTCCGGCAACCGCCACCACCGCCTCGAATCCGGTTACTTGTGGCATCCGGAACGCTCCAAAACCGTCTGGGCCATGTCTTCCGCCTTCGCCCCGCATGTTTACGATGCTCAGGCTTCGACCTTACGAGAATGAGCCCGTCAGTGGAGAGATGAGGGTACAGGTGACGTTCGAGGCCTATAAGGTGAGAGTTTTGTTGCTGTGACCATTTCCCCACAATTATTTGCGCTTCCCCGCACCGGAGTCGCCTTCTTGTTCGAGTCAATCAACTCCCTCCCCACTCCGCGTCACTTATCCCCACGTTTCCTCCTTTCGTCTCGCACATACCGGCGCTGAGACATGTGACCTGCACTGCTTCTCACACTCGGCCTCGTGTATCTTCGCGCCTTACGTTTTTTTGTTTTTTTGTTTTGCCATCTCTTCTCTAGCGGGATAGCGTGCTGACCTTGAGTTTACTTTTTTTGAAATCACCACCTCTTTGCTCATGGCACTGAACGTGACCTTCTGACCTTGGCTGGCTTGATCACCCGACCGACATACGCTCCACTGCTGCTTTGCTCACCCGACCATGGTCCTGCTTCTCAACATCTCGGCGCGTATCTATTTCGACGGGCTGATTTTTGTAGACGAAACGCGCGCTGATTCCGCGCGACTTTGAGTTTCTCAAGCTCATCGGCCGGGGAACCTTTGGGCGCGTCTTCCAAGTCCGCAAGAGGGATACGAAGCGTATATACGCAATGAAGGTTCTGTCGAAGCGCGAGATCATAGCCAAGCAGGAGGTTGCGCATACGATTGGAGAGCGCAAGATCCTTCAACGCTCGCTTGAGTCACCGTTCTTGGTCGGCCTCAAGTTCTCCTTCCAGACTGAAACGGATTTGTACCTCGTGACGGACTTCAAGAGCGGAGGCGAGCTCTTCTGGCACTTGCAGCGGGAAACAAAGTTCAGCGAAGAACGGGCCCGATTTTACGTTGCCGAGCTGGTGCTTGCGCTTGAGCACTTGCACAAATACGACATTGTCTATCGGTGAGTGTATGCGAATAATCCCAAGTTTACGCAGACTCTGAATCTACGTCTTCAGTGATCTAAAGCCGGAAAACATCCTCCTAGATGCCACAGGACATGTGGCGTTATGCGACTTTGGCCTCTCGAAACCGGATCTACGATCAGACGAACTCACGAACACCTTCTGTGGTACGACAGAATATCTGGCACCGGAAGTGCTCCTTGATGAGCACGGATACTCTAAACTTGTGGACTTCTGGAGCTTAGGCGTGTTACTTTTCGAGATGTGTTGCGGATGGAGCCCATTCTACGCGGAAGATACCAACCAAATGTACAAGAACATTTGCTTTGGCAAGATCAGATTCCCTAAAGGCGTCATTGGCGAGGAGGGCAAGCAATTTGTTAAGGGTGTAAGTTCATTCTGAACTCTCTGCCTGAGATTCGATATTGAGATGTTCCTATTCAGCTGCTCAACCGGAACCCGAAACATCGACTAGGCGCACAACGCGACGCAGCCGAGTTGAAAGAACACTCGTTCTTCAAAGACATCGACTGGCATGCCCTTGCGCTCAAGCAGGTTACTCCGCCCTTCAAGCCTGTAGTCGAGTCTGATGAGTCTGTCGCGAATTTTGACCCCGAGTTCACGACTGCGGATGTGCGGGACGCGGGGCCAGCAGGTGTTCTGGACCTCGACGAGGAGGACCCGTCCGAGGACTGGGTGTCGCTCTCGCAGAGCATGGGTGCAGTCGCACACACGCCAAATGGGCCGCTAGGCTCGGACCGCCCCGCGGCGGCCCCACGGCCAATCGCGAGCAGCGTACTAGGCATCAACATTGGTGCGCGCAAGAAGCAGCAGGAGAGTCTGCTGACGAGCAGCGTGCAGGAGAACTTCCGCGGGTTCACGTATCATGGCGGCGAGTCGCTCGTGCCCGTGAGCGTGGCGGGCATCCTCAAGGACCAGGTGGACGAGCAGGCCGTGCAGGACGAGGAGGCCGAGCAGCACGAGGAAGACGAAGACGAGGGTCTTGTGGGGCGGTATCGCAGGCGGGGCGAGGGCATGATTGACGGCTTCGATGAGGACATGCACGCATAGCGCTTGGTCTTCGTCACGTCCATGCGTCTATCTGCTGTGGTTCGCTGTCTTCATCCAAGGCGGACATGAACACCACTCATCTTCGACATCGCTCTCATATTATTGCCCGTCCTTGCCGCCCACCATATGCATACTATGCCATGCCCTCTAATCCTCCAATGGTCCTGTCGAAGTTCACACACCCCGGTGTAACCCACGGATACGAAACGCGTCACCTGTAGCAATCTACCAACAGACTATCACTCTCATGCATACTTCTTGTCAATTCTTGTGGTCTCGTTTCCTATACTCTCCCGCCTGTGCCATGCAGCCAACTACCTTAGGTCGCCTGTCGCATACCTCGTAATAGCTGTCTTCCTCCAACACAATGTACTTTGTCACATCTGTCATATCAATCGTGTAGAATTAATCATCCTTAACTACGAGCCTTCAACAATTACATCTGCGAAACCGTAACCGTGTGTCTATGAGGAGCCGTAGCTCGGGAATGGTGGAACTACCAGTCATTGAGGCTTGTGCGGCCTGGTCGCGATAGGTTGAGCCCTCCGCGCAGCAGCGGCGGGAGGACCGTGCCTCCGACGATCGTATCTCGTACGATGGCCTCGCAATGATGTGGCGTTACCCGCCCATACCATACCGACACGCCCTGCGGCTTGTATATCTGGCAGAACACCGATCAGCTTCCGCAGCCTAGCTTTGCGCCGACGAGAATCGGAACTTACGATGACGTTCCCGGCGAACTTGTGCCCGCCGATGTGCGACACCTTGAGGATGAGCGCGCGGCGCGGGTCGGCCGTCGTCGGGTCGTAGTCGTGCAACCGCTTGGCGTACTCGCCGTCCCGTTCGTCGTCCGTGCCCGCGAGTTCCTCGAGCGGCGCGCTGTAGTCGCTGGGATCTTCGAGCTGTGTATGCACTTCCCAGCCTTCGTGCTCGAGGGCGACGGTCAGGCCTGTGGGCTCGGTCAGTACACGCGGATGAGAAGACTGCAATGAAGCACCAAAACTCTTACCTTGTTCAAGTTTGGGTGCTGCTATCGCGCAGCGATTATCTCGTTTCTTGTGTGAGCCTCGGCGAACGCCTCAGTATATGATGTAGACAACCGGAGACCGAGGCCGAGACTTACAGAGCAAGATGACACAGGAATACGGCAGGACATACGACTGCACTTCACCGCCCTCGACGTGGGCGCCAGCCCTGCCAAGGGCCGGGTCGACGACGTCCTTGAAGAGCTCCACCGCGCCTTCCCTAGAGCGGGGCACCTCGGTCACGACCTTGTAGTCGGGCAGCACGAGCACCGTGTCGCGCTTTGGGTCATCCGAGAGCGTACGGTGGCTCCCGTTCAGGACGGTGACTCTGCCCGTCTCGGCACTGTCGTAGACACCATCGACCTTCCTGCTGCCGGCGCCAGCGTGCTTCGGCGCCTTCGGCGCGGACGAAATGGCGGCGTCGAGGTACGAGGCGAGCGAGCCGGACTCAGAGGCGACGTCGTGTGCCCAGTCTGACTTGCCCGTGGAGATGACGACCTGTGGGATATCAGATGCTGTGACTTTTGGCAGGAGGCGGGAGAACATACCTGCCGACGGTAGGGCTTCATAGAGCCGAGCATCTCCGTCTCCATATCCACGTCGAATCTGGTGGGATAATCATCATGACCTGTGGCATGGTGAGCACTCCTCTAGACGCATCGTCAGGTTTGATATGCTTACCAAGGTCGCACGGATCTGCACAAGCTCTGCAGCTATCTCTCGAGACGGGTACGTGAGCCTCCTCGAGATTCGCCGCAGTGGTGTCAATATTGAGGTTGTGCCCTAGGACGATGGCCTTGAGTCTCCTAAGCTGCGAGGACATTGCTACGTCTTGGCTGCGGGGTACGCTATTGCTGCGCCGGGTCTCTGCAGACGAGAAGGCAAGGATGATGTGGGGAACATGTGTGTATGGTATATATCTCGTCCGGTCAACGGCTCCAGTATGGAGGGCAAAAACCGCTTGGTCAATCAATGGTACGTAAAGGGACGCTCGCTGAGTTATCAGATAAGATGCGTTCGCACGGATTGGCGCCTGCTATCTCCGCCCCTGGGCGTCGCGCCCTCGGCATGTCCTTTTGCGGTACCGCACCGCAGCATCTCCTCGCGATCGAGGTCTAGAAGAGTATAATGAAAGGCCTCGTGCCACATCTGGTTGCCACAAAACATGCCGGCGTACGCGTCCAGGCGGCAGAAATGCCCTCTGCTGTACAGGTCACGGCACACAAAAGAAACCTAGGAGCCGAGAACTTGACTGCGCCGCCAATGCGACGCTGCGTGCTGCGCTTCGTTGAAACAAGATTCAAGGACGTGATACAGTGATGCAAAGCCAAACACACAGCAAGGATACGTATGTGGTATACTGAGGTGAACGCAGCTGCATGTGGCAACGGTATCGGAGAGTAGCAACCCTGAATGACGCCATGTCAATCCGTTCGTACAAGGGATACACGACCTAAAGGCCTAACGATCCAAAGTCTTATCCAATGCAGGGCATCGCGTAGGTCCAATTTTCGCTGACGCAACCCCGTGTCTAACAACTTTCCATGTATGTCAGTGGACATCGCTGCTCTTGCGGCGCATGCTATCGTCCAAAGTCGTCTGCATAGAACGGCGTGACGAGGTCAGACCGGTCATCGTTCGCAGGACGGTTCTGCCTGCTCCCACGCCCGAAGAAGCCACGGACACGATCCGTGAAGCGCGCTCTCTCTTCGGTATCTTCGTCGCCTGCGCCCGCACGGCTCGGGTAGATCGTGTCTATCGCTTTTGCCAGCCGGCTCCACCCGCTGGAGCGGTCGTGCATGGCTCGCCGGCTGTCCTCGAGAGCGTTCATCAAGTACGTCGCGAGGTCTGGGAAGGACACTGGCAACGTTGGGTACGCGTTCTGTGGTGTTGCAGGGATACAGTACCACTTGGACAGCGGGCTGTCGGCACTCTCGCGCAAGAAGGCCGGGGTGGGCGAAAGTGTATAAGAATACGGTAACAGCGCGGGGTCGTTCTGATTTCGCGACTTGTACCGGTGGCCGTCCGGGATTGGATAGTCAATCGTCATATACAGAACAACGTGCCAATCGCTTGAAGACGCGTGCACCTTTTCAAAGAACAATTTTAGCCGCAAGATTTACGAAAAGTCCGTCGCCGGCTGACCTTCACGAAATTGACCACAGCTCGCAAGTGCATCGCGGTCTTCACAACAGCCATCGCTTCCACCGTAGGTTCCAGTCTCGTATTACTCAGCCTAGCCATGAGCTTGAGCATGTCACGCCAGTTGGGAGCCTTGATGTGCAATGGCGGAGCACGTCCGTATGGGAGGGCAATCACGTTTGGTATCGGCCCATCCATTGGAGTCAAGACAGATGAGATAGAGGGCGGATTGAACCCAATCGCTGCACGACAAGGTCAGATCCACGCTGAGCTGACAAGAAGAAACCAACTCACAGACTCCACGTAGCAGCTCAGCGTCAACATACTGACTCGTCGACCGAGGGGCAACATCGTTGTCGCCGGGGGAAGCGGGCAAACTGTTGGTGTGTTCAGTGCTCGAAGCATTCTCGCCTGAATGCGAGTTAACACTGTTGGCCGTCTCGGGGACGGATGGTAGGTTTGGAGAAGCACCAGAAGATCTCGGACGATTCAAAGGTGAGTGTGGTAGCGGTAGTTTGATCCCTGGGGAACTGGCACTATATGCGCCGAAGGATTGAGACCGTCCTGCCCGAACGTTATCTTCACAGAGCGGTGCACCAGAGTGTGTAGAGCCGCTGTGTCGGTGGATGTCCGGGCTTGACACGGTGGAGCGCAGAGGGAACGGCGTTTCACTGCCGCCCGACTCGGGAGAGGGTAGTGCTAGGTCCTCCGGGGCTGTAAGTGGCGAGGGCGGGAAAGAGGGAGGATCCGCTGCTTGGTACTCTGGCGGATGGGGAGGCAGCGCAAGCTCTGCCGCGACTTTGCGCGCTTGTTCTGCCGCTTGGGCGTCGGCCAGCGCCTTCGCCCGCTCTTCGTCCTGTTTCTGTCGCGCCAGCCGCTCCTCTTCCTCCGCGAGTTGACGTGCAAGCGCCTCGTCGTCTAGAATTTGTTGGGACATGCTTGTAGGGCTGGACGTGAGCACCGGAGGAGAGACGACTGGCGCAGACAGTGAGGCGGGCTCTGGGGTCTGCACGAAAGAAATCGTGGACGTCGGTGCCGGGAAGGGGAACCCAGAGCCAAATGATGTAGATGCGCTTGACGATGGTCCTTTCTCATAATATGATGATCCCGAGCCGGACGCAATGGGTGACACTTGTGCAGACTCTCGACGCGGCGACACCGTCAACGACTCTGCCATGGCTTTCGCTAGCTCCTCTTCCTCACGCCTTCTCGCCGCCTCCGCATATCCCTTTGACTGCTCGAGCGCAGCCTGCAACGCGACGTCGTCTTCCTCCGCTGGCGGGAGTGCGGGGTCAACACTCTCAGTAACATTATCCAGCCTTGGCGTCTGCGGCGACGACGTGCTCGGCTCGGAGAACGTACTTAAGCCGTTGAGGGCTTGTGAGTAAAGCGGCAGCGCACCGGGTGGCGATGTCTTCGTTGGCTTAGGAGGCAGCGGTGGGACGTCGAAACTCGGCTTCTTGGGCAGGGGCGGCAGAGGTGCAGACGCAGTGTACCGTATTTGGGGTGATGCCTGCGGCAGCGGAGTGTTGTACATTTGCGGGATAGGCATGCGCGGGGGGCCGTCGAAGAATAAGTCACCCGATAGGTCGCCAGAGTTGCTCCTGAAGGCAGCGTACGGCGGCGAACGCGGTTCCGCGCCCGGCTGCAAGACAGGCGGGATGCTGGGCTGCGGCATTGCCATCATCGCCATCCCTCGCAACGCACGCATATCCGTGACGCTTGGCTGGCGGGGCATTACAGCACCATTGTAGAATCTCGTGGCGGGTGGTGGAGGCGCATAGGGCACTCTTCGCGGGTCAAACGATGGTGCAGCTGCGGCCGGCGCATATTGAACAGGATATGGCGGGTATTGATTGTTCCCCCAAGGAGAGCCTGCCATCCGACAAGTTAGTATACAAGGGAAGCTACAGCGCAGGTCAACCAATATGGCTACAGTGTAGAGGTATTCGAGCTTGCGCTGTAAAAGGAACACGGGGGAGGTGCGAGGTTGGGCGGTAGTACAGAAAGCGAAATGAGCGCGGATGTAACATACATCACTCTGAGCGCTTTACGTGTTTCCGTGATCACCGCGATAATCGGAACGAGTCGAGGAGCACAGCCCGCGGCAATCCAGCAGCTGGAGGCACGGTTCGTTTCATAGGAGAACAGCTTTCCCAGCTGGAAATTGCATGGCACAGGCGAATACCTCTAGCTTTACAACGAATGCGAACAACTTGGATTGCAGAGCAAATATGGATGGAGATGTGAAATATGCGATGGTAAACAGAATAATGCATGATGATGATGTATATGACTTGTGCAGACGAGACGTGAGCGAATAAGGCCATGAATGTGAAAAAGAAGACCGGACGTGATGCAAACCAAATGAGTGATCAACAACAGGAACACGGAGTTGCCGGGGTAACGTTGTGCGTGGATCGCATGCTATCGTGATGCCACCGTGGCACTGGGCTGAACCGGACTCGGGGCAACAGAAACGGGCGCAGCGGTGACCGGGGCGGGCGACGCGGTAACAGGTCCAGTGGTCACCCTTGATGTCACAGGTCCACGACTGGGGGCAGTCGACGTCTTGAAACCCAGTTGGCGCATTACCGCCAGTAAGTCCGCCTTTTGCACAGGCTTCTGCAAGTATGCCGCAAACAAGTTGTTCTGCTCTGTCGGCGGCTCGGAGCCCCCATATGCACTGACCGCAATGATAGGCGTGCTTGCGTTCTTGTTGTTGGTAGTTTTTATATACCGCGTAGCTCCCTCGCCGTCGACTGTAAAAGATCGTTGAGGCAATGTACGTAAATGCGGGAGAAGGAGGTACGTACGGATCGGCATATGCAGGTCCATCAGGATGCAATCGAACTCTGCGAGGCCCAGTCAGTGCCAGGAAACCGTAACGACGACCGAGGACGTACTGATGTCGCCCATTGCAACGCTGATAGCTTCTGAACCATCGGCAACAACAACACATCGACAACCAAGACGAATGAGCAACGTCTCAATGATCTTGGCAGTGATCGGGTTATCCTCCGCCAGCAAGCATGTCACCGCTCTGTCTTGTGGATCCGGCATCCTCTTCAGGTCTACGGACGCTACCGATGATGGCGAGGTATGTATCTCCCATTTCCCTGTCTCTTGCGAGGCTGGTGCGGACCACGCATCCGACTGCGAGCCGTCTCCACTGGTCGACACGGATGCAGTCCTGAGTCGACTCGGCATCGAGTTCCGTCGGTGGATGTCACCCTCGAGGTGGTTCAGCTTGAATCGCTCCACAGCTCCAATATCGCTTGGCTTGCGCGCATGACTACCGGTACTGCCTGGCGTTGGCGGACCTCTCGACGGCGAAGACGCAATTGACGATGTCGAGGTGGCTGGGGATGGCGGGCTCGTCGTCGATGGCTTCGGCGGATTCTCGACCGCGGTGACTACGCTCGCCGGCTTCTTTATCCGGCTCGACACGCTCTTTCGCCGGGTGTGCAGTGGCGAGGGCTCAGAGAGAGTATGAGTGAGGGGTTGAAGCTGGTCCGTGCGCAGCTTGCGGATGACATCATCGTTCGCCTGCTTCAGAACCGGCAAGTTCTTGAAGCTGAACGAGCCAAAGTCGTCGTCGCTGGGCGTCGAAGTGGCCTCTCGGTTGACAATAGGCACTGGGGCACTCTGCGCCGCAGGGAGCAGCACCTCTGACCCTGTCTGGGGGCTGTCCGAAAAAGCAGCAGTGGCCAGCGCCTGTTCGTCCTCGTTGAAGTGCTGCAGAACCGCACCGCGAGGGTCAAAATAATCGGTAGACTCTGGATCAGTGACCTGAGGGATGAAGGCAGCCTCAGTAGTCGTGACGGCATCCCAGTCAATCCCCGCGAAAAATGGATGTGCCTTGACTTCTTCTGCCCCATTCACTCCCAGCCTCTGATTCGGATCCAACGTCAGGAGGCGCTGTAAGAAGTCCTTAGCCTCATCAGAAATATCGATGTAGTCTTCATGCCACTCGACGTGCCCTGAAAGGATATTTTCGAACACCTTCTCCGGGGTCTCGTCATGGAAGGGAGGGATGCCATACAAGAACTCGTACGTTATAACCCCTAGTGCCCACTGCGAGATCGATCAGTCAATTGTATAACCCGCGTCTATAACCGTATAAAACTTACCCAGTCGACGGCAGCATCGTCGCCGCGCAACCCCAGGATGGTCTCAGGCGCGAGGTAATCCGGTGTTCCCACGACCTTCTGTTCGCCGGGGGGAGTTCCACCAGGGGTGAGTGTGTGATGTGACCGCAAGTCGGTGGTAAGTTCTGTCGCGAACGACTGCAGAGGGCTATCGTTCGCCTGCCGGCTTCCGTTTCCGTTTCTCCGCGGGAAGATGTTGTAGAGCGACTCCGAGCCGCTGGACTCACTAACATCATCTGTAAGTGGTAGATAAGGCGAAGATCCTGGGCGCGGATTCGACTGGGCGCGCTGACTGAAGTACGAACCGTGCAAGTCTGTCGCAAGCAAAGGCGAAGACATGTACGAATCGATGGATGGTGGACGGGAGTTGTGCCGAGTACGAATACGTGGGCCCCGCTCAAATGAGAGCTGGCCGTCACGAGTCTGTCGGCCCAAGAGACCTATCCGACTCAGTCCAAAGTCCGTCAGCTTGAGGTGTCCATGTTGGTCGATTAGGAGATTATCAGGCTTAAGATCACTAAAGACGTCGAGTCAGAATATGCAATTCCAGACCCGGGGATGACAAAAATAGGCTCACCGATGTACGATACCCCGTTGATGAAGAGATTCCAAACCCAAGACGACTTCGGCGATGTAATTCCTAGTCCACTCTTCTGGTAAATTTCCAAGAGACTTGATTAGTGCGGCACAGTCGCCACCATTAAGGTATTCCATGACGAGATAAAGGTTCTCCTTGCTTTGGAAGGTAAAGTACAGTTTCGCAACGAATGGAGACTCAGACTGCTTCATGAGGATCATGCGCTCGGCCTTGACATTCGTGATCTGGTTCTTCGCGATCATATCTGCCTTCTTGAGGACCTTGATAGCAAAATAGTCACCTGTAACTTTCTTTTTTGCGAGAAAGACGGAGCCGAAGGCGCCTTTGCTGATAGGCTTGATGATCTCGAAATCCTTAATTGACGTCGGGGTCGAACGGGACGCAGGAGTAACGGATGGTATTCGCGGCGAGAGGGGCACGGTGGAGACGGAGGCCGTCGGGCTGATCAAGGGCTGCGCGGTGGAGTGTCGCCGATGTATCCTACGAGCAGTCGCCTGCTGGTCCTGGAACGAGACCATTGGAGACATTGGGGGCGTAATCAATAACTTAGGTTCCAAACTCTGAGGAGATCGACGTGGACGGCTCGAAAAGAACGTGGATGCGGGCACAGGAATGGGTTGACTGAGACCTGGTAGAGCATGACCTTCGTTCAGATCCATCGGAGGAGGATTGTCGTCGGGACAGGTAGAAGCAATGATGGGCTGCGCTAGAGCAAGAGGAGAGGATATTGACGAGGGCGTAGAAGACCGTGTGTGATGACTACTAGATGGCCATTGATATTGAGGAACGGGCATCGGGATAGAGGATATAGAGCTAGCCACACTGTCTGATCGCTCGAAAGGGACGCCAACATAATGGTTTGGCGAGGCAAAAGCATGAGGTGTCGGATCTGAAGACTGGTTCTGCATTCCGAACGCGTACTCAGAGATGGTGCTTGAGTGGTCGTCCTCGGCCTCAGGAAGTGAAGATAATCGATGATGTTGCGCAAACTCCGTCTCGTTCTCCTCCGTGTCAGCTTCCTCCTCAGACGACCCGCTCGACTCTTCCTCCTGAGCGCCCGCAAGAGCCTGCTCGACCTTCTCTTCCCACTCCTGCCTAATCTTCTCCTCGTAGCGGATAGTGTTCTGCATGCGCACGGCATTGTCGATCTTCTGGCGCATGACACGCTCGGTATCCTCGATGAGCTGGGTCAGAGCCTGATCCTCGATGGTCGGCTTGTTCCATCGGCGGACTTGAGAAATCTTTCGCTCGGAGCCAGGGGAAAGAAGACGTTGGCGTTCAATGGGCTCCTGCGCTTCCTCCTCGCGAAGAGCGGGCACCTTTATCTCTGCCGCAAGCTGAAGGATATCCTCGAGCTGCTCCAAGATCTGGCGCTGCATCTTCTTGACGCTGATGCGCCTCATCTTCAATGGGGCGCGAAGGAGGGCCAGAGGGGAGCTGGAACCAGGGCTCGACGACGGGGAAAAAATGGGCATGCCGCGATACTCCGGGATAGTCATGGGTGAAGAACGATCCATGGCGGTTTGCAGCTCTCGAAGGGTGTTCCGCAACTCGCCAATACTCTCGTTACACTCGTAGATCTCCGCTTCCAGGCGATGCACCTCGCTGCACGTCTCGTTGTGTTTCTCGAAATACCACTGCGGGATGTTACACTCGCATATTCGACAAAGGATGAGAGCAGTGCTGATGGGCCGTGCGAAGGGGAAAGGTGTGACAGGTTCTGTGGGAACGCGGTCGCCAAAGCCTACCTGTGGAGGCGGCTCCGGCGTCCTGGGCTCTTCGCCAATCTCTCCATGCTCCAGAAGGATAGACGGAGGAGTCTGAAGGTATTCGGGAGGCGATATGGGTTTGACGACCCACATAGTATGCGTCGGCTGACCATCCTCTCGGTCGATCATGAGCATACCCTTACCCTCCATCTGTCGATAGAGAGCAACAGCAGAAGGGTCGCGATTTGCGTCTTGGTCGAGAAGCCGGATCCTGAAGCGCACTTCAACAGTATGGGAGTCGTCCTCCATGAGTCGCCTCGTCGCATCCCGGAAGACATGCCAATCAGACGCAGCGAGGAGCCTAGATATTCGTGTCTGAACAAGCTCCTCCGGCTCTCCACTTGATTGAGGAAGGGTAGGTCAGCACGTAGAAGTACGCCATTAGGACAACAGGGACGCACCCAATGACGTTGCGCCAGGCATAGTTCATCCAGATCAAGTGATCGCCATCTAGGGTAAGTTCGATAACGATATTCTGGTTCTGAGCAGTCTCGGCTTGCAGCCGAAGTCGCTCTGTAGCAAGCACACGAGCAGACTCGCTGTTGTCGAACTTGGAACCTGACTGGTCTGCGTCCTTGTGATCTTTGGAAGGAGTCAGCATCAAGTTCTTGGTAGCGTCTTCCCGTGAACGTCGCCCGGCGCTGGTCGTTCGGGACATGCGCAGTCTGGACTCTTCCTCGGAACCGACCCGAAGGGCGCTCCCGCTCTCGGAGACTTCGTGTTTCAGAGATGGGGTAGATGGCACAGCAGCTGCAGCGACGTTTTCATCTGGAGGCTTTGTGACGAAAAGGAGAGGCTCTTCCTGTTCATCATCGTTGTCATCGAAATTCCAGAACTGCTTCTCAGCTTCCCACCACTCGACCACACGGCTAAGACTAGCGATGGCCAAGAGCACTTGAACGTACCAATTCCGACCGTGCCAGTCCGGGTGTTCGTCCCACACCTTGCCGATGTTCTGGACGCGCGTCACTAGCCGTTCACATATCTTGGGATCCGCAGTGAGCTGACTGATAGACATCTCCACAACGTCCGTAGCAACGCTGATGATGTCGTAGAGTGTGGTCATGATAGGGTCACCGGGTTCGTCCACGAGTATGCGAGAAGATCGCCGATTACCGTCGAAACCTGGTCGAGGTAGTGGTGACCGCGAGCGCGAAGTGGACCTCGAACTGGCACCTGAGCGGGATGGCACAACGGGGATGTGGATGGTTCTGGATAATCGGCGAGACGCGAGACTTTGGCTGGCCCATTGCCCACTAGAAGAAGTGGTGTTGTCGCGTTTACGGGGGCTCACGGCAACTTCTGGTGGAGGAGTTGCACTTGTTGCGGGGCTGGCGGAACCTACTGAAGAGACCAGATTTGTACTGGACTTGTTCTCGCGAGGGAGGGTTGGTTGCCGGCGAAGTGAAGCTGGACTGTGTGACGCAGGGCCGTACACAGACGAAATGGAAGCTAGTAACATCCCATTCGAGAACGAGCATGAAATTAGCACATATAATCATGAAATAGTAAATTGAGGTGGGAAACGCACGCTGTCGGCCCCGGCTCGTGCTTCCTTCAGGTTCAGCTTCATAACCACCATCTGAGCTGACTTCATCAAACTGCAACGCTGAATGAAGAGCAGCCGGCTGTAGGATAAAGGGCTCCCGCAACGGCTCGACGTCTCTCGCACGAGACTCGCGATCGCGCTCCCTGTTACTCTCGCGCTGCTCGCGCTCGAAGTCTTGCTCGTGATCGTTGTCTCGTAGGCGCTCCTCGAAGAATGCGGTGATAGAGTTGGTGACACGCTGAAGTTCCTTGTCGCACTCTTGTTTGGCGGCTTTCAGGCGTCGGTAGACATGGCGCCTGACGAAGGGCATCGAAACAGTGTTAGCTCCGGAAGCATGGCCGCTGCTGGTTGATGGCTGCGACTGAAGAGGAATTGCTGGGAGGACGGTCTCTGGCGAGAAGACGAGAGGGCTGGGCGGTTGACGACGATGGTGACTCGAGTCGGTCATGTAGCTCCCAGTAGCACTGCCAGAATCGTCGTGATGGCTTTGGCTACGACTTGCGGGGGACGGCGAGGCTGAGATAGACTTGCGCGGGAGGAGGAGGTAGAGGAAGGACTGTGATGAGATAGCAAGTTCAGAATAACATGAGGATTGATTGATGGGTAGTGTTGGCGGATACGCGCAGTGGCGAGGCGGTGGTCGAGGAGGGCGGGAGGATGGAGAGTGACCTCGAGCGAGTCTGTGGCCGAGAATCCCTTCGAAGTAGAGACCCCTTCGTTTTCACCCAGAAAGTAGCAATATTTCTGCGGAATATAGCCGTCTTGAGACCGAATTCCTGCGAAACTGCCGCCAAACCCTGATGTCCCGCTCTCAGCACCTGCAAACGGGGTCCGCCTCTCCCATCGAGATTCCTCTGACCCCTGTTACTTGCATCCGCTGACCTGTCTGCTGTTCTCGTGACAAAAAGCGGTCCAAGCAACTTGCATCGTACTGCCTAAGACACGCCAGTGACCCGCCTGCCAACGCTGAGCTCTGCGCTCTTATCTCTGTGCTCGTTCGACCCTCGTCGCGACAAGCGGCAGAGCCCGCTGCTCGGATTTGGGGCGACGATCCACTACGTAGGGGTGCCGGTTCTTCGGGGTCTCGTTTCCACGTGTTCGGATCCTACAAGCGTCTGTTAATCGCTAGCCTATCCGCCTTTGGGCCGGTATTGAGCTCGAGGTTGGTTCTTGGCAGTTACTATACCACAGATATTGTCGACTGCACGCTCACCAGCCGCAGACGACGTCTTCGTCGCTTGCAAAAACGCAGCATCAAGGTCCGTTTTTCCGTATTCTCACGGACTGAATATCGCTGAGTCGTGCGTATATACAGACTCCTCCGAGCTGCTGGTCACCTGAGGCAAGTTAGCGTGCCAGCTCTTCACACCTTGGAGTTTCCCTTGATTCAAGCCCGACCTCTATTCTTCTCCACGGCAAACATAGCCTCATGCTCTCTCAAACCAACACCTTCCGCGCCGCGGTGCGCCACGCTCCACGTTTGGCCTCAACATCCGCTGCATCTCTTGGAGTCGGTAGCTCCCGGCTATTTTCTTCCACCGCTGCTGTCCGCGAAACGGATCCTACGAAGCAGGCGATCTATGACACGCTTGACAGGGCGCAAGAGCGATTAGGAAAAACTTACGCGGCGCCTCGTGCGTACTATGCTTGACCTTCTTACTTTCAGTCATGCAGACCATTATCCAGCTATCTCATCCATCCACGCGAGTACCATACAGTCGATGCACCCATCGGTCAGTCCCTAACCACCTTCCCTCGTTGCTATACTCAATACGCGCCCCTAGTTCATCTATCCGAAGGATTTTGACATGAAGACACGTATGCCCTCGGACGCGGTCCCTCGCAAACCAATGGCGCTCGGCCCTCGTCGCGCCGACGCAAAGAGGCTCGACATCTTCCACCAGTACCAAATCGATCCGGTCAAAGAGGCCATGAACTCGCTCATCATGTCCGCCTACGTCTCCGACATGGGCAAAATCAAAAACCGTGCCGAGAGCCAGCTGACCTGGAAGAGCCAGCGTCGCATGGGTAAGGCCATCCGCCGCGCAAAAAACATGGGCATTATACCGCTGCTGTCACGGCGGTCTCTGAAGAGCGCTCAAGACCAGTAGAGCAGCCTCGTGTACGTCACGTTACCTCCGTTAGCTGCAACACAGCTCGACAAACGTCGTGTTTCACCCGCAAAGTGTATAGGACGGCGGCCCAAACACTTCCTCCCTATCTCTCGGATCGTATAGACAGCTTGCACATGGACCATGCGCCGAGCAGTGTACCTGCATTGCATTCGATGTCCAAATGAAAGCTTTGTATTTAGCTCCGCGAGGCGAAGGACCAATTCGCGCTATCGACCAGGACCGATTCTCCGGGTCATTCAGTCTTTGCCAGGGTTTGCCTTCGTAATGCCCTTGCCATCTCGTTATCTCAGGGTTCAGAAAGCTGTGGCCTGCGCAGGCTAACACCGTCAGGGTCTGATACATCTCAGACACGGCGCGCCGCGAGAGCTCCTTGCTCGAGTAAGAGGATCACCTGGTCTTCTTCTCCACTGGGACAATCAGAAGTCGAAGATTGTTTGTTGAAGGGTGAGACTTGCGACAGCCGCAGGGAAAACTGCTGGCCAACTTAGAGCCTGTGTTCCTTGAAAGTATGAAGCCTGAGAGTGAAATAGAATACAAAAGGTTGTCTCTAGCACCGTCATCGTCTGTCCAGACCGCCATCGCCCGTCTAGCACATCACAGGACGCGCTGAGAATGCTCTGGAATGTGCAGCTGTTTGCCGAGAAGAAGTCCAGGGGAGAACCCGCCCCTGTCGTGCTGGCTACATACACATTGACTCGGCACGAAGTCCGCCCGGAAGTGGTGCGACGGAGGTCTATAGCTCAGCTAAGAGCATGGTAGCCAAGTTCTGGACCACCTGGTTCCCCATCGCCTCCTCGACGGCCTCTTCCAGGTGCCTCTTGGGATCTTGCTTTCCGACGTGCCTGGTTTTGAGCTGTTCCGCGGTAAGCGTCGACTCCTCTTGGACGGACTTGTTGTATGCTTCGGAAAGCGTGAGCATCGCCTGAGCAATACGAAGTGGATCAGTCCGTGCTGCGCTTCTCACGTCAGTTATGGAACCCACCTTGATAGACTTCTCGTTCGCCTCCTTGTGCGACTTGAAGTCCCTGAGCGTCAGACCTTCTGTCCAATTCCGCTTGTGTAGGTTCATGAGCATACTCTGCTCAAGCTCCGTCTTCCGGTAGTTTACCGCAATGGAGTAATAGTGCCTGTTGAGGCCATGAATGAGGGCTTGAATAGAAGGTTTATTGATGTGGCCGATATTCGACGTCGTTTGGCGTGGTTCTTGCCCGGCGACAACCGTCTGAGGCTGGATGAGACGGAAAGCGTCTATAACAACCTTTCCTTTCACAGACTGGATTGGGTCAATGACCACGGCGACTGACCGGGGGTCGAGGGACTCGAATGACTAATGACCCAAAAATATGTCAGTTGTTACAGCGGTGCGTGTGGGATGTGTGACTTACTTGCTGAGTGTTGATATCGACGCTTGATAGCCAGCACCCAAAACCCGGGTGAGAGTGATACCAACCAACAACGATCTCTGGTCTGGGCGACTAGTGAGTGGACAGCTGTATACAGCAAGGGTAATGACAAGACGCACCTCCCTGTCTGCTTCAACATTTCCATCATTCGGGTCTGGAAGACATGGTCCACGGACTCAACAGAGACTGTGGTTCCCGATTGAGGCATGGCAAAGACGTCGACTACTTGTATCGTGTACTCGTCCACGAACTCGCCGAGCATAAGACCCATAACTTCCATGGGCACACCCGCACGCCCATGCTTCAACATCTAGGCAGGAGTCAGGGTCAGCCAGAGAGTGACATTGTAGCAGTAAGCTGTGGTCACCTTGAGTAGTGCGAGCGACGAGATGTGTATAACTTCACCACTAGACGAGGTCGTTGAGCATGCACCCGTACTGAGGCGAGCGTGCTTACTTGTCGGGCACGGATGCTTCACCTCCTGCTCCTCGCCTCTCCTGGGCCATCATCATCCTTGCGAACTGCTCCTCCATCATGTGTTCGTCGTGGGTGTACTGCGAATGGGCGAGGGCGTACGCGTCTCGCTAGCTCGCGCTGACGCGTTGCGGGCGACTATTTTCGCCACGTGGTTCCCACGCGAGTCCGAGCTCAGGTACTGCCGCAGGCGTCTAGTGTCTCCTGTGCACCGAGCCTCTGCCGGTGAGCTGCCAGCCTCGGCCACTCGCGATGAGCGAGCTACTAAACGCACTCAACCCTCGTATCGCAAAGGAACGCGCACGCAGAACCCAACAACAGCGCACAGAAACTGCTCCTCTCCCTCCGCATCCGCCGCAGGCTCAGGATCATGCGGGGCAACAGCCTTCGTACCAGGCATCCCCGCGACCTTCGCCTCGGCCTCCCCCACAACAGCCAAGGAACCATGGCTCGTATAGTAGCGAGCTCGAGCTCGCAATGGTGGCGCCTGGCCCGTCTTCTCGGTGTGTGCCCCGTTTCTGCCCTACACGGAGAGTCTGACGCGGGATACAGTCCATCACAGCCACTGCCTACTCAAGCCATAGCACAGGTGCTGTCGCCAGCTCATGTGCAGGGAGTTAACATGATGCAGGAGATTATCCTGAAAGTTTTGGCTCCGAGCCAAGAGCGTGAGCTGCACCGTCGACTCGCTTGGGAACAGGAGCAAGAGGCCAGGACCGCCCAGCGCCAGGCGGACCTCGAGAAGCAGCTAATGGAGATGAGGCAAGAGATGTCGATGATGAGGGCCTACATCGCAAGCATGTCCCAGCAGCAGCCTCCGCCTCAGTGGCATGTCGCCGTAGACCAGCCCGCTGTTCCTCTGCTAGAGTCTACCGCTCGCGTCGAAGAGATGCCCCCGCCTTCGGGAGACCCACACTCCATGCTCCAGTCGCCGTTGACGCCTGCGAGTCAAACTGTATACATTTCGCCTCCCCTGCCTGCGTTCGTCCAAGGCTCGTCCTCTCGCCCGATGGCAATGCCCTTCAGTCCGCCTAGCACTTCTCGTCACTCGCCGCGGTTTCTGCCGACCCCGGGTACGCCGGTTATGTCGCATGCCACTGCTCCGTCACAACCGTCACCATCACATCCAGCCATGCAGCCGCCGGCGGCTGTGTCCCCCCATCTCGCCCAGAGGATCGCCCAACAGTCGCTCGACCAGCAGACCGCGCTGCCGTCTCCCATGCAGACACCGGTTTTCACTCCTGCACAGCCTCCCGCGTCGTCCGCGCGACGGAAAAGGCGCACGCCTCCACCGACTGGAAACCAGGATAGCGACAGTGAGAGCTCAGATTCGGAGACTGAACAGTATCCTAAACGGAGGAAAAACGGACACGACGCACGCCGTTTGACCATTCATGTCGGTACACCGCGTACTCTTCTGGTGTATTTATTGCTCACACGACCACATAGGCTGCAATGCGGGCTCACATTTACCGCAGCATGGGCACCCGTCGCAAAGACCCCCTTCCAGACGCCCATATGGAGGGCGCTGTGTTGAGACCCGGGGAGCCTGTACGATTTGTATGGCAACGAACTGTCAAGCAGTCGCCGCACAATGCTAGAATGCGGGCACGCATAATTGCAGATATCAAAGCACAACGGCAGACGCTGTATCCGGACATTGTGGAGGAGGAATTCGATACACACAAGCTGGAAAATGTATTCGATCAGGCCTTCAAGACTATGAGAGGAAGCTGGAGAGCTCAGGATGACAACACGGTCGCCATGTACCAGAGAGTCAGGGAGGAAACGAAGGCACAGAAGTCCCGGCGGCGGGAACGAAAAAAGGCGGTATGTGCACCCTGCACTTCTCACCATGTGCCAACAGTCCTTTACGTCCCCGCAAACAGAAGCTGAAACGGCGCACAGAGCGGCGTAAGAACTTCGATTCCTTCGCCCACGAGACGTTCAGCCCGGCACTCACCGTCGAGTGCATGTCGTCCGAAGAGTCAGGCGACGAGAGCGCCGGCGGCGGCCCCGACCCGCCCCCACTCCGCGTCCGCGGGCTCGCCTGGCGCAGCTCGCGCCTCCTCCACTTTTACGCCGTCCTCGACGCGGACGACGTGTCCGACGAGCTCTTCGAGCACGACGGCATGCTCGTCCACAAGCCCCGCCGGCTCCCGTCGCGCAAGGGGCGCGAGGCGGGGCCGCCCAAGGACGGCCTGCACCTCCCGCCCGAAGGCGTCGCGCGGTGGATGGTCAGCCGGCGGTGGATCGACGAGCTGCGCCACGCACATCCAGACAAGTCGGACGGCCTCGAGGACCGCATCATGGATTACTCCGGCTTTGACTGGGACAGCTTCCCCGCGCTCGGCGGAGAGAGCGGGGACGAATTCGAACACCATCCTTCATATTTACGTGCACCAAACATAGAATACACGTACATGAATACGTACGGACCTCCAGCGTAGGGATCACCGTACACGGACCGCTTTTCAGCAACTATCGTGGAGGACAGATATCATATTATACACATCTAATAGGGTACAGGATACAGGAAGTAGGCAAGTGCGCAGGAAGCAATATATAAACACACCAAAGTCTCGAGACCGTGCCAGTCATCTAAGTATCCCAGGATCTTTTGACGAAGTACACACGAAGAAGAATCAGACGTCATCATCCATGTCAAAGTCCAGCTCCACCTTCTCTCCAGGCTTGAAAGCAGGAAGACCTTCGGTAACGGAAATCAGCACAATGTCCTAGGGTGAGATGATGAGCCGCTTACCTCGGTAAGGACAACTTGAGCAACGGAAAGCGTCGCCGAGGTAGCAATTACCACAGCTGCTGGTCGCCTTCGGTGCGGCCGCCGCGGCCGCGATCAGCCTGTCCTTCTCCGATTGGGAGACCTCAAGGGCCTGGCCAGCCTCGGCACCGTCAAGGAGGACGACCTTGCTCTGCGCGAGCTCCTCCGCCTCGAGCTCGGCAAGGCCGCACGTGCAACCCTTGCACGCCTTCTTCCGCCGCGGCGCGTCCCTCTGCGCGGGCTCGCACGTCGGCACGGGCCGCGCGCGGTCGGCGTCGGTGAGCAGGGACTCGGCGTCGATGCTCGGCGTCGCGGGTGCCGTGTTCAGCGTCCAAAGCGCCTTCTTCGACGCCTGGCGCGCAGGGTCGAGCTTCCGGCGGAGCGGCACTGCGCTCGGCACGGCGTCGACGGCGTGCGCGGGCTTCTGGGCGATGAGGTCGCCGTCGGAGGGGACGGCGGTGAGGATGCTGAAGCCGGCGAGCGTCAGCTCGGACGCGAAGGCGGGCGTGGCGGCGGAGACAGTGTGCAGGTGCAGCGTCCCGAGGGGCTCCAGCGCGGCGAGGAGCTGGGACAGCAGGGTCGAGAACTTTCCAGACACGCCCTCGTACTCTGCAGGTAAAAGTACGACGTGTGCGGATGCGAAGGACGACTTGGAGAGCGTGGTGGCTGTAGCGGACACATTCTCATTAGCCGACGCAAAGTGCGATGAGGTAAGATGTACATACCGCCGTCGAGTAGTCTGTCCAGCATGTACTTGTCGACATTTCTCGTCTCCTCCAATTGGGTGATGATCGTCTGGTACCTGCCGTCTGCTGCGCTGGCAGGTGACCCTATGCAGAGTGCTGGGCCTTTGACTGGTACCGCTGCGAGCACCTTTTGTGACTCGGTGGTAGCGACAGGAGCGGTGTAGATTGCTGCAGGCGACATGGTGCGTGTGGTGAAAGAGCGGAGTCTGGGAAGCGTAGACACGCCTGAAGGATGGTGGCCGTCGTAGAGTTGGATTTTATGAGTCCCGAGGTGGTGGGGAGATCTCTTCAAATCTCACAAAGCTGAGTGAGCGTGAAATTAGCGGTGCCTTTCTCCGATGTCACGCATCACATCACATCAGACCACCGTCACATATTTCTGACTAATTTTGCTGACTCAGTCTCCATCTCCTGCTTTGCCGCGAATAGCACTGGTACGAATTGTTGACACAACCTCTGGCGCAACGCAAACGCAATTTGTAGCACAATAAGCGAAGTGCTCCCAATTCTTGGATATTATAAGAGGCATCCTCGCCTAGGTGAAGGGTCGGGCAAGTGCGCCTTGAGTTGCCGTTGCCACCGATGCCGTGAGCCTAAACCTCGCGACGAACTCCACGCTGCTCCCGGTATTTCCTTCACCTCTTCTCGCGGACCACGATGATCACGTCCAAGACACGTCAGCCGTTCGTAATTATACACGCTTTAACATAGCAGCAACCGGCGACAGACCTCTAGACTTAATTCCGTGGGCGGCCGAGGTCGCCTAAGAGATGTCCGATGGGGAACTAGAGTGCATTTCGGGACCGCGAAGGACACGGTGCTCTCCAAACGCGCTGATGCACCGAAATATGCGGGAACTGAGTGGTCGTTATCAGATAATGAGGATCAGCGAACTCACGCTTCGCACCCGCTTATCTCTCACGCGGCAGAGACCGCGCGACACAGCATAGCAAGGGGGGGCGATTAAAAAGTGTAGTAAATATCGTTTAATTCCCTTCGAGACTAGCATCGCTTACTATCCGTATTGGAACCAGGGGTGCTGTACTACTTCCTTCATGGGCACTCTCTCCTCCAGACGGTACCTGAGCATCTTTCCCAGCAAGTCCGCGAAAAGTTCAATCTCTACCTCGTCAAGCGGTACACCCCTCTTCTCCACCATGCTGAACTGGAGACCATCTGCGGGGTATTCCACCTCAGTCTCATACAGCATCTGTCGCAATGAGGTTCTTTCGACAGGGACTTCTGCACGACCAGCCGGTAGTACGTTTCCATTTTCGTTGAACGAGAGACTACGCCCCTCCCAGGTACCCCACCAAGAGTCGGGGAGTCGGCCAAGCATCCTGACCATCTCTTAGAAGGTTGGATCCACAGCGTCGAACTAGCCGTCGAATGGAGGCCCCCCGGCTCTGATTGCAAAAATTACACAGGCCAGAGCCCCACATATCAGAAACAAAGCTAGCGTCACTGCCGCAGAACGGCTCGGGAGCGATGAACTTTACTTGTGTGGTGGGCTCATAGTTCGCCGGTTTGCGATCTGGATGAAGAACATGCCGAAATCTGCGAGGTAGATGTCTTCCTGCAGAATAGTTGGCGTCGCGAGGCGCGACGGCTTTACGACTTTCGCCACTCAGGCTTGCACAGGCCCTTGTGGCGTCCTGGCCCCAGGTTTGCATAGATTCATCGTCAGTCCAGCTTTGTGCAGCATCAGAAGCTCGGAGAAAGATGTTGGAAAGCGTCAGGTCTACCCGCAGATAATGATTATTAGCCACACAACAGCCGATAATAGTTGTCTGAATAGCGTACCGCCGTATACAATACCCGCTTGATGTATGAAGCCCACTGCAAATGCCACCCGTTTGGCTACCCTTCTGCCTACATGTGCACGGAGCCGCCTACTCTGTGTTTCAAGTCCCCAAAGATGGAGTGTGTCGAGGCTCAGACCAGCTAAGTCGAACACGAGGCAAAGATACACGCCGTTGGGACCTCGGTGCATAAAGTAATCCCATCGGAATACTCGGCAATTTCTGGTACCGAGGTGGTTGGTAGCGTTCGAGAGCTTCGTCAGCTCATCACAGATAGTCAGTTCTGTGACTTCTACCCCAGCCTTGGATGACTCGTGAGCGGTCGAAATCTTCAAAGAGACGAGCCAACCTGAGGCCGTGCTTTGGTCCCGCGCAAGCCATACTACCGTGGAGAGAGCTCCGTGATAATCCAGTTTGTGAACGATCTTGTAACGGCCGCGACTGAGAACATCTCCGACATTCAGGAGGAGAAAACCTCCCGGTCGATATTTGTCGATATCTTCAACCCCCTCAATACAGCGAGGCGCGCGAGATTAGGCCACAGTGAGTGTGAGAGGAGATGCAAGCCAGCGAGAGGTGCTACGTCGGGACGACATATGCATAGCGCGACTGTCCGTTGAAAATGAGCAACCGTGGCAACTTCATCACTCGAGCTCGCATTAAGAACAATAGCATGTTCAAGTTCAGCAACTGGTAGAGTACCATCTCCGTTGCGGACCGGGCCGTGTCTCCCCGGGGAGTCAATGGGTCGTCTGGACCAAATAAGTAGTAGGCTTACCTTATTTGGAATTGGCACTAAGAACAACGCGCCGCTCGAGCACCGTTCTCCCGAACCGCACAGGGGCTGCGCGCCGTAGCCCAGAAGGATGAATGTGGGCAGCAGGACGTTTCAGTCTAATCTACTGTACTTTCACTATTGTATCGGATGTCACGTGTCGCACGGATTTTTCATAGGCCGTGAATCCGGTTTTCTCTATGCTGATTAAATCGTGTCGTTCTTGCTTCGAGTGTGCACGCCCGGACGGCCTCGCGGCTCTTACACGCGGAGGTGGTCTTTGTCACAATGCCACTGACGTGAGTGGCGGATGGCGCGTGCCGAGCAGGGACTCCTCTTCGAGGAGCACGCAGAACGCGGGACGGTTAGGGGTGCAGCACACCTCTTCTCGTTTCTCATCCCTGCTACTCTGAGACTGGTCTTTGTGGGCATTGTGCACCCTCTCGTCTCTCTTCTTGGCTACTCTCAGGCTCTCTTTTGTCTCGGTGCAGTATTTTGTTCTTAATTAAATGGCGGATGATACGCTAGCGGTAGAATGAGAAAACATGGACATATAAAGCTGAGCGCACAGCGGCCGCTGAGATGATGGCTGTTTGGTATTTAAGGAGCAGTCTATATGTCAAGCAGAAGTATTGCGACGTAACCCCTCTCCAGTTACTTGTAGCGAGCCAGTGTTTACAGACACAGCAAACGACTTACGGGCTCTATAATTCAATTGGGATGACCACCGTACGGCTGGGTTGGAAGTGCACACCCTTTGCCAATCCTCGGCTGAAATCCTCATGCGAGAGTATGGCGGTCCGAGTCGCCCAGCAAATGGGTGCCGACGCTGCAATCATTAGGCAGGTCTCACTGGCTGTTGTGTGAAATGTTTCCTAGTAAGCATTTCTCACTATTATCAGAAAAGAACCCCACGACAGGAACAAATACGGGAAAACTGTTATGCATATGACGGCGGATGTCATAGACTGTGCGCACCAGGATTTATGCACCTTACTCCGCGACTCATTCGCTGCCACACACAGCGCAGAAGCAGAAGGGATGGGCTGTACACGTGAATACAACCCAGGACAGGATGGAGATGCTGCCGAACCTGTCCAGTAGCCCCAATCTCGAGAAATGGCCGTTGACTCGCGAGAAGATTAAGGAGTACGTACTTAAGGGGTACGTACCGCCGGCGTAGGATGGCGTGAACAAAACCTCTGAGTACGACGGGCACGGCTTGCAGTAAAACTACGGGTCATCCAGCCACTCTCGGGCCGGTGTTTTATTTCTGTCAAATGGGTGTCAAATCTTATGAGCTTTTGCAACACATATAGCTTAATCAAGGAGAGCTGTGTGCCGATACCGTATAACAAATGCTCGCGGCGAGTGAGGCGGAAGACGAGATTTCCATGAAGCGGCGGTCCAGAAAAGGAAGGCGTGAAGGAACACGGGACGTTTCTTCACGCGCTGAGTCCGAGTCATACCCCCGCCCACGCCGACTGGAAACATGCCATGGCGTCGTGAGGCGTCTTATGAATGTGAATGTGAACAGAGAATAACAGCTATTCAGGATATGCAGCTTCTGAGAACCCCTGTCTAACGATGTTACGATGTTACGATACAAATAAGCTTGTTAGAATGCAAGTTCGTTATCTAGGCTCGGAATGTTGGGGAGGCGGCCGACGCACATCCGTGACAAGCCAAGACTGCTGCAAACTAACAACCGGTGGTCTGACTTGGACCTACGCAGCACTCTGGGTGGCTGTCAGCGCCGTCAACTAGAGATGGAAGCGCACCGAGACGGACCTCGATTCGTCTATCGCGCTATCGGTACGCACAAGCGTTTATGCATCGTATATAACCATCGGCATACATAGCAGTTCTAACAGCGGCTGTCTTTCACTCAGCTGGCGCGCAAGCGTAGTATATTGTACCTATCCTGAGTAGTATGTTCCTCGCAGCGCCTTGCCAGTCTGTCCGGCGAAGCCGACACGGTCCTTGCGGAAAACTAGAGGATATGGAAAGTTCAGCAGCCGGCTGAACAAGTCCGAAAGATCGCGCGACAGGGATGCAAATCATAGTGTCGACGATCCTGTAGCAAACGCCATGCTTCTTCTTCCCCCCTTCCTCCTGTTCTGTAGCGACGGCCCTTTCGGATGCGATTAATGGCAACGATACAGGGAGCCTACACTGGTCTTGATTCTCGCCCGATCGTTGCTTGGCTCATGGCGAGTTTTGCAGAGGGTCACGAGTCAAGTGGCTCGCTCTGCGAGGAGCATGAGGCTCAGCGGACCGTTCAGGAAACGCAAGAGACGCTTACATTCAGCACATTCATGGGATATAAGAGGTTCCAGGAACTAGTTCGTAAGACAAAGTATGACGGACTACGCAGACGGGTTCACCCGGCCCCCGACGCTCTATATCGCTTCCGCGCCACAGATCGTATTAACACCGGTGGTATAATGAGATTGCTAAAAGATGAAGTCGACATCCTCACTCGAATTTCAACGTCTTCGCTGCCGCCAACTTCGGCAAGAGCTCCTCAATATACTTCTGCATATTCCCGCTGAACGACTCCCTGGCGGGGATGTAGTACGACTTTCTCGACGGCAGGAACTTCACGATCTTGCAGCGTCCAGATAGCGTGGCATCTAGCGTCTGCCAGCTGGAGTCGAGGGCAATGTGCGTGCCGTAGTCGAGACGGTCGGTGCACAGCTCGAAGGTGAGCTGAAGTTGAGATGCGCGAGACTCGGGGAGGGAAGTGAGGAGCCGGCAGACGTCGCGCCAGATATTCTCGTTCCAGGAAGCGTTGTGCAGAAGAACAAGACCGAGTGTGACTGTCTCTAAACTGTTGTACTCGGAGAAGTCCAGAATACGGAAGAGCTCCCGGTCTAGAATATTTGCAGTCAGACAGATTCAGATACAAAGCTGTGAGAAGCTTACCTGCCGGCTTCGAATCCAGAAGAGGGAAGAGATTACAGCCGAAGTGCTTTAGATATGGTCCCACATCTTCCAGCAGCCCCTCAGCCGATCGCAGGTCCTTCATATTGATCCACGATAGATAGATTGACGTCAATGTCTTTGACCACACGGACGGGCTGACCTGGATCGCCCGTACGATGGGTCCGATGTCGGTAACTTCGTCGACGACAAGCGACGCGGTGCGCAGGGATTGTAGTTGCAGCACGTTCGTCTTCCGAATCTGCACCGCATAAATAGTAGACAGACAAAGCTCCTGGATCTCTCCTGCAAAGATCTCTAGGAGGTGCAAAGCTTCATCCAAGGAATCGATATCTGCAGCCCGAGTCCCAAAGCCGACTGCGACTCGTTGTAAGTCGCCAGCAAAGATGATCTGGTCTTCTTTCCATACATCGTAGTGCGCGGGTAAGAAAATGACATCATGGAACTCCAAAGTCGCTAGACGAGGGAGTAAGCGTAGTGCCAAGACGAGTGTCTTGGGATCGACGTCCGGGTAGGAGCAGATGGGCGGTCCGTCGTCGACTGGAGCATCAATGCGCAATCTACGAATATGGTGGCGAATATGTGGAGAGCGCTCGAGAAATAGAAGGAGGGCATTCAGGGGGCCCTCGCCTGCGGCCTCCAAGACGTCGTATGTTTCCCAGGGTAGCTCCTCGAGCTTGCGCACGGCAAAGGCGAGTTCAGAAAAGAGCAGAGGCATGGTGCAGTAGTGCCAATCCCTAGAAACAAGTGAACAGGAGAACAAGTCCTTCTTGAGGTTCTCCCCGTCCAAGTGATCGAGTACGATATCGACCAGCTCTGGGGGTAATCGGAGTCGCTCTGACTCCTCTGGCATACTTGAAGGCGACATTCTATATAGACAGATGATAGTAAGTAAGAGTAAGGTAATAAATATGCGGACAGACTTGAAGATGCTGGTCGTTGTACTTGTGGCTGTGGCCGCCGGCACGATGCCCCAGCTCTGTTCGCCCATTCTGGGCGTCACGGACTCATGGTGCAAGTGACGCACACGATAAGCGCCCCATGCGTACGCGTCTAAGTGCCCAACGATTATTTGCTCCCACCGGCTGGCATGGCGGACAACGCCCAGATATCGACACCCGAGCCTAACGCAGGTCCCTCAACGTCGGCTGCATCGTCCGAGGTCCTGTCGTCTGACCTAGCGGTACCATGCGCGATATGCACGACGGACACCGCTAAATACACTTGCCCCCGCTGCCAAATGCGCACATGTTCGCTGCCATGCTCGACGGCGCACAAGAATGTGGGCGCGGGATGCTCTGGAATACGCAACAAGGCCGCTTACGTGCCGATGAATCAATATGGGTACATGGCGCTCATGGATGACTATGTCTTTCTAGAGGAGGTGGGTCGGAAGATAGGCGAGTGGGGTCAAGAGATCGTCACGGGTGGTTATCAAGCAAATGCAGGAGGCAGCGCGCAGGGAGATCGCGCCGGGCGAGGAAGAGGAAGAGGGCGGGGTAGAGGCAGGGGCGGTAGACCAGACCGTGGCGTATCCAAGCGAGAGATACTCAAGATGGAGCTCGACTACCTCGACATCGAGATAGACTTGCTGCCCATCGGAATGGAAAGGCGAACGCTGAATCAGTCCACCTGGGATCTCAAGTACGTGAAGAGCACGATGCATCCTGTACTTACATTGATGTACGGTGGCCACAGCCATCATACTGCACTTCTGACGGTAGAACTCGTCTTCCACCCGCCACGCTTCCTACTCGCCTCCGCTTCCTCTGAGCCCACACGCATGCTCACCCACCGGAACCGTCTTGATCTCTCCCTCTTGGATAATTTCCAGGCTCGTCTACAAGAACGCTCGCAATCCAAGAAAAAGGAGAAAGAGAAATCATTACCTGAATGGCTAGTGGACCTCATCACGCCTCCCACAGACGATCCAGAAGGATTCACGCCACCCTTGTGCGTGATGTCGACAAAGCTCGATCCGCTAGCCGCCGTGTCGCCCGCTCATTCGCATGGCGGGCTTCGACCAGGACATATAACACGACAAGCGTTTTACAAGCTGCCCTTCGACAGATCGCTCGCCGAAGCACTCAAGCACAAGCACTTCGTTGAGTTCCCTACGATCGAGATATGGGAAGACGGCGCGTTCACGGGAACTATTGTGGATGACCGAGGAACCGTGGTACGCGGTGATAGGGACTGCGATGACGATGACAACAGCTGGAGAGGGCGCAAGAGACGGAAGCTAGGAAAGAAAGAGGGACAGAAGAAACTGGGCGGCCTACTCGGTGAGTACGGCAGCGAGAGCGAGGGTGAAGGCGACGAAGAGGCTAAGGAGGAGAAGAATGTCTTTAATATGCTGTCTGGTTACGCCGGCAGTGATGATGAGGACGAGGACTCGAGTGTAGTCGATTCTCGAAAAACCTTCGAGAGCCAATTCGACTACGAGTTGGGAGACGAGGACGCTGATGGCGAGACCGACGACGGTGAGGGCGACTACGAGTTTAACGATGAAGTGGAGGCTACCGAAGGAGACGAACAGGATCCTGAGGCGTTAGCGAAACTCCTCGAGCAACTCAGGGAAGCAGGAGCTCTGCGGGACACTGAGCGCGACTCACGGCTAGCCGGCTTCGACGACGAAGAACAAGTGGACTGGGGCGACTCGGAAGAGGAAGCATAATCCCTCGTTACTTGGTTATGCTCATCGCCTTCGCACTTCCTGCTATCGGCTCTCTAGCCGCCCCTGCTCAATGTCCTTAACCAATTCGACGCTTCTACAATCGCCCTTGCTCACACATCCTGCCTTCTCAAGTCCAGCAGGCCTTTCATGAGAAGTTGAACCTCCAGAACAGCGTCGATGGCTGCCTTCATTGGGGTGTCTTGTGTCCGCACAGGCATAGCAGTCTTCACTTCGACCTCCCATAACGTATCTGTATGCGCAGGTATCGGTTTCTGAGTCTTCAGGTCGACCTACTCTTGCCTTGAGCATCGTGCTATGGCGTCATGCAAGAGATTGACGTACTTGCTCTTGTTGGAACATCTGTATTACAAGCATTCCTCTTCGGAAAACATACCCTCGCTTATAGATTTGCGACCTTCGCCTGGTGTATAGTCGTGAAATGATGTGAAGCAGAAGATACAGTAGACTCACACATAACCTAGAGCAGACGCAAAACTGAGTGCGTCACCTGTCACTTGACATAGAGCACAAGGGCGAACGGTTGCTTCAGGGTATACACGAACGGATTCTGGTTTCAAACATGAGAACAAAATCCTAGCGGTACGCCACCGCGGTTAAGTTGACGAAGAGCCGACGGAAGACGGGCATGAACATACCACTTGGGATCAGGCTCAAGTAGCTCTTTCCTCGCCCTGAGCAGCACAGGCTCACTTCCCGTCTCGCGCTGGTGCGACACGTCGAACGGCTCGAATACGACCTCGCGAGCGTGCATCTGATGCGCAGACTCACTGCGCAAGGTTATCCGATTCAGAATCGCTGTCATAGCCCGCGTTAATGTGAGATTCCACGGGCGTGGTGGTTAGTGCTCATACCTGGGAGGTCCTTGGCAAAGAATTCGCCGAACAAGGCTACCTCATAAGAGTGAGCTTGCGTAGAGGCCATGGCAGGTGCCAACTTTTTACGCCTAAAACTATCAGGGTCTCGTCAGGCGTATAGAGGCTTTGAAGGGATTGCTTGGTGAAGGCGGGAGCGAGACGCGAACTTCGGCGCGACCAAATGGGCGTCTGTGTTCTCGGTAACTTGCTGCCACCACCGTCACCGCAGGACGTCCTCAGGATACTGTATTGCAGGTATTATGGAGACTGAAACTTCGACAGAAGGTATGCGCAATTATATGTCTACTCGTACAACAGCTCAGAGAACAATACAGTCCATGACGGAGCTGTCTCGGCAGTGTCTAGAGACACGCACAATGTCCACGAAGGACCCCAACCGCACTGTGAGTATTTCCTCGCTCAGGCTCTATACAATTGGCTAAACGCACCCCTAGAAGATCGCTCACGCGCGAAAGAATTCGTGGAATTACATGACCAAGTCCAGGTGCATAGATTTGCTCTTCCATGCCCACTAACCACCGATATCGTGTCGCGTTGCAGACAAGCGTGAACCTCTTGGACTCGCTGGAGACATTTCTGTCCACGTTTCAGAAAGATCTGTCCGCAGTATCTGGTCAGATATCCGAATTGCAAGACCGGAGCAAGGACATTGAGAACAGGTTGAAGGGCCGTAGGGTGAGCTCTACTCCTTGCCTTAGACACATCTCATCAACCTGAACCGCCCGTTGCAGAGAATCGAGAAGCCGCTTTCTAACCTACTCGTTGACCTTACAATACCCCCTCCGCTTGCGGCGGTAATCCTCGATACCCCCGTCGGCGACGCATGGATTGAGGTCATTACAGAATTTGAGTCTCGGCTCGAGGCATTGAAGGTACGAGGCCGAGTTAAGGCTGCTCGAGACCTGTCCGAGGTAGCAGAGGGTTTGCGAATTGTGGTACGCGTGGCTTACTCAACGCTTCCATGGAAATCTCACGCATAGCATAGGCTGCAACGAAATTGCGAGCACACTTTTTAGGCATGCTCAGTCCAGTACGGGCAAGCGTGACCACAAACTTGAACATGCTGCAGACATCGCTATGGTCAAAGTACCGCCCATTGTTTGCATTCTTGCAGCGGCAGGCCGCGCCTGTCGCCAGCGAGGTACAAAGAGCTTACGTGGGAACTGTACGGACGTACTTCGAGACTGGCTTTCGGAGGTACATCCGGAGCCTTGGGTGGATTAAAGTGAGTACGTTTGCAGTATATTCGCGGCGCACGCTGACCATCGACTGCAAGGCACGCGCAGTTGAGAAGACGGATATCATCGTGACTGGGGCAGGCGAAGGCGGTCCCGAGCCCGGCGTCGACATTGAACGGCTCGAGTATTCGCGAATAGATGGTCCTGGTCCTGTGCTTGCGTATATGGCAGATGATAAAACCCACGTACGTTTGTCTGGAAGGTCAAATGGACGGTCACTGACAGTGATTTACCCTCCAGAAAGAGCCACCAGAGGCCTTGGTTCGCTCTCTAATGCTAGTGCTCCTCGATAATGGTACAGCGGAGTATGCTTTCATTTCGTCGTTCTTCAATACGCCCGCAATTGTTCCTACGCACATCTCTTCACCGGTGCTTTCCCGGTCAAACTCAGGCGTTGACAGCAACGGTTCAGTGTTGTTGTCGTCTCCTGGGCTGTCTCCCACGAATGGAACTTTTGAGGATGACAGGAACAACGGAACCGAGGCCGACTGGACACCGCGCCAGAGGCTCAGCAGCATCAACAGCGTGCTAGGCATGCCACCACCGTTGTCCGGATCTATGGACGACAGGGATCCGAAGGAGGAGCAGGCTAACTTGAGCGCTTTGTGGAAGCAAGTCTTTGACCCCGTGCTGGAATACTGTCAGGTGCTCCCCACGAGGTTCTATACCCCTCCACCTATGCTAACGTGGAGACATACAGACGTACATCACGACCAGCCTGCAGCCGCATCCGGCGATACCCCTCTTGACGATGATCCGCCTGACCGAAGAAGTCATGCTCGAAGTGCAGAAGCGCGGCTGCCCTCCACTCGAGACGTTCATCTTCACAACCCGGCTCAAGATGTGGCCGGCCTGGCAGAAGGGCATGCAGGATCACATCGACGGCCTGAAGAGGCTCGCGGAGGGCTCCGGCGGGGGAGGCGCGCTGGGCAGCATGTTCGGCAAGAAGTCTGTCAGCGAGGCAGCCGTGAAGAGCGTGTGCCACCGATACGTGGTGATGTTCAACTCGTGCGTCGCTCTAACGAGCCAGCAGGAAGAAACTATGATCTTCTCGAAGTGAGTCGACCGATCGAACATCTAATCCACATTCCGGGCTAACATCCACTAGCTTGCATCGGCTTCGCCAAGAGCTCATCAAGCTCGTTGCCTCGTTCACGGACAGGATCAGCGAACCAGCTGCGAAGGCGACCGCACAAGCAGCGCTGTACGAACTACTGCTGCAAGGCTTGAGTAGAGGCCCGCATCAGGTCAGTCACCCGAAGACGCAGAGCGAGATTGCATTCTGGAAGGAGAGAGAAGAACAGACAAGGCGCAGGATCGTCAGCACGACAACAAGGCCGCGTTAAAACATTTTCGGTCAGGTCGTAATTTTATACGGTGGGAGAATGTATCGCTCTCCCTCAGATTGTTGAAACTGTGTGGTAATGAGTAACACGATAAGTACTGGAGTCGGTGAATTGCGGGATGTAGCGCGGCCGGAGTGGTAAGCATATGCACGTTTGATCAGGGTGTAAAAGGAAAAGAATGTGCGTGGTATCAGACCTCTAGCGTCCCGAGATGCCAATAAAAATAGAGAAGGAACGAAGATGTGGAAGAGAAACCGGGGTGCGCAAGACGCGCTCAGGTTTTGTACGGTGGGGTGAGATTGCTGCTGGTTATCCTGCAAAAGGAAAGTCAGAGGCATGCCTCTCCCCTAAAAGAACGACAGATGCACTCACCGCGTCTCGGCCTTCTTGGACGTGAACGACGGCTTCAGCATGCCGCCCGTGTTCACCTTGCCGATGCCCAGCTTGTTGAGCACGTCCTTGACCTCGCCGGGGCCGGCGAACCGGCTCCTCTGCTGCGACGCCCGCGAGCGCACCGGCGCGAGCTTGTGCATCTCGCCGTGCGCGGTCGACGCGTGCTCGAGCGTCGAGAGCGACGGCGCGGTCTCGCGCAGGTTCGTGTTCGACAGGCTGCTCCGGCCCTCGAGGGCCTCGCGCAGGTCAGTGATGCCGACGCCCCTGGTCGAGCGCGCCAGGCTCGCGCGCGAGAGGTTCTCGAGCGGCATGAGCGCAGGCAGGACCTTCACGAGCGGCGAGAGGCCGTCGCTGCTCGGCGGGCTGGCACTCGGAGGTTGGGTTTCTACGGCCCACGCGTCAGGACAGATGCGTCAAAACGGGCGGCGGAAAACCAGGCTTGACTCACCGTCTTTGAACGCCGACTCTGCTGACCAGGATGCCGTGAGCTTTCGCAAGAGGCTTTGGCGGTCCAAGCTCGTCGCCTCCTGGACAGTCTCGCACGAGACGAGCGCAAGAAGGAGCCCTTCACAGTCCAGCGCACGCACAGAATCGTCTGCCGCAGCGGCAGCGAAAGCGAAAGCGGAGGGCTCTTGGGGAGTGTGGAAGGTGCCCGGACTCGGCTCAGGCAGGGTAGGCAGGCGGCTACTAAAGTTCTCTGGGATCGCCTGCACAAAGATCAGCCACATTGCAACCCATGGAGACGACAGGGCCCTTACATTCTGGGCAATCTCGACGACCCCCGGGCACTCCCAGACCTTTCCGATGGCAAGCCAGGTCTGGGCAAGCACGTCTCGGATCGCTTGTACGCGTTGCACAGAAGCAGTGTCCGTCGAGGTTTCACCCTGCAGCGCGCTGTCAAGAGCGAGGAGCATCGGCACGCCGGTTACGAGTCCGCGGATGGGCAAGTTCATCTGTACTGCTTTCAGGATCGCGAGCATGTTGCCGTAGTCTGACAGGGTTGCCGAGACATTGGCAAAGGAAGACAGTTTAGATGGTATGTTGCGCAAGAGTCGTTGCATGACCGACATCTTACGAGAGCGGGGAATCCCGATGGACCGTCGGCTGGGAGCGTTCTCCTCTGTATCATCGCCCTGCGACTTTGCGTCGTCTGTCGTCGTGTCGCCATTGACGGACCGTTGTGAGGAAGGTGTGTGCGACCTTGTCGCCACACCAAGGTTTGTGGAAGTCGCCAAGACGTACAGATGTGCATGCAAGGCGTTGAGGAGCCTGGTTGTGCTGTCTCCAAATATCACGCTGTGGTTGATGCTAGCCTGCCGCGTCGGGCCTTCTGCAATCGCGCGAATGCGTTTGACACCATCGACATCGGTACAATCCCAGAGCTTCAATATCTCCCGCTCCAGATAAGATACCAGGGTGGAGGAATAGTCTGCTCGAACTGAATAGTCTGCGTCACAGAGCAGCGACAACGTATCCTGCCACACTTCTGGCGACACGTTAGACCTCCGCGATGGCCTGACGTGACCGTCTGGACGAGGGGTTCTCCCCTCCGCTTCGACGTTTATCGTGACGCCAGACTCCGCGAGGGCTGCTCTGTGTACGGTCTTGCCGTCGTCCCCGTCTTCTTTGGCGATGTCGTGCATTTCAGCCGCGTGGATCAAACTGTGAAGGCCGGCAAGGAGACACCGCACCGCTTGTGCCCTGACTCGGCCGAGGTCAGATTTTCCGTTGACCAGGACACCGTTAGTCTCGACTACGATGAGTCTGCTGATGAGTTCCCCGGCGAGGTCCTGGATTTGATCGGTGTAATAGACATGGGTGCCCAGCGATGCGATGGTCTCGACCAAGGCGGGAAGCAAGGCATCATCCGGGTCCTTTGCAACCCTCCTGAGAATGACACTGATTAGGCTCGAGATGATGTCGGAGGTCGAGAGGTTAACGAGGGGTATGGGTGATGTGAATACCGCCGTTATCATGGCCGCGAGTGTGCTATGTCGGCCGGTGGTCTGGGGGGCATCTTGGTCCTGGACGAGACACTCCACAAGGCGGGTGGGGATGCCATAGCGGTACTGATATTGTGTCCATTCGGCTGCACGAACGGCAAACCAGCGACAGTGCTCTGGCTTGTCCCACGCGTCAATCTCGCTCAGACTATCTATAGCGGCCTGGATTGATACGCCTGCCTGTGAGCCATTAGAGTGTTCGAATAACGCCGATAAGGCGCGCATAGCTGCGTTCGCCACGTCTCTGTGCGAGGGGCCAGTTTGACCTGTGACATGGAGATGGATAGAGGTTGCGCGTCGTTCCATCGTTGGCCGGTTGCGGAAGTCGCTGAGGTATGGGGAGTTGGGCTGAGTTTTCACCTCGGATACTCTGAAAATGTGTTAGACAGGACTGGTTGTCCTCCGTACCGAAAACTCACTCATGGTCTAAGGCTGAAACCTCAACGAGTAATAGAGGGGCGATAAGCGCGACCATGAAAATTGAGACTTGCGCTTTCAGCTGTTGAGTAGAGTGGTATAGAGCCTCCGAAGTGACTACGCCTGTCAAGGCTGCGAGGCCGATTAATCGCGTCCTGGACATGGGACTGTAGGTCAAGTCACTTGTACAAAATGGCAGTCCGTCATCACACACCGATTCATGACCTCTTGATCTTGCGACCCGAAACGTCCGAGCGTAGTGAACGCTTGAAGACATGACATGTAGTCCTGGGTGATGGACTGGTCGACACCTATCAAATGGCCGTCGGTATACGTTGTCCAAGCTGTAAACTGTTTATTATTCGCAGCAGTACATTGTATAAATGATGGCTGCACTCACAACACTACCCGCCCTCGCAGCAACCTCCAGGTCATTTGATAGCGTCGTAAGGGCAAGATTGACCGAAGCGAGGAGCGACGCAGTCAAAAGTGGAAGATCCCGTCGGCATTCTGTAGCAAGAGCCTTGATGGTTGCAAGTGTGATGAGGAGGGATCTGAGGAGGGGACATTGGCTTCAGTCAGAAGCGGGCATAATAAGACGTACGAGCGAGCCCGGATGTTACCAGCCTTTGCCTTTCGACTATCCAGCCTGACGCGTTTCTCCAGCTCACTGGCAAGCTTGTTGATTTTCCCCGGACGGTTGGAGGCATAGTAGGTCATACGCGATAGCTCTTGTGAGTTGGGCCTGTAGTCGGGGCCCGCGGTGAGCAAGGCCGCGTTAGGAGGGTAGCAAGCCGAGATGAGCTGGACATGGTTTGGGGTGAACGGAAGATGCATGGGCATGCCAGAGAATAATAGACAGAAATTAGGGTATATAATGAGAGTGTTCGGTTATTGGACGCAGGCAATGTACAAGATCTCCAGAGAAGGAGGGGTCGGTAGGTGAAAATGTTTCACCCCGCAGCCGTTGTATGACGGCGGTCGGTCCCACGTGGCGTTGCCGCCCTTATGGAGTCGCGTGCCGGGCCGAGTCAGAGAAGCAAAGATATCGTCTGAAGCATCGACATATGCCATGTTTATACAATCCCTGGCAACCTGTGCAGTATATATATATTATGCCGCACATAGCCTATCAAGAAAACATTAACCAGGTCAAGCGCCAGAACACACCACCACCCACAACATGCTAAGCGCTGCTTACTCCCGGTACTAGCTAATTTCACTAGTTTACCACTCCCTCGAAGCATTAATCATCGGTTCGGCTACCGGGGCTGGAGATATCGGGAGGGGATGATCTAATACACACACTCCGAATGCATTGCATGCCGACAGAATGATACTGCCAAGTAATACAGAGAGGTGTGCTTCGGCCAGACAACTCAATGGCAGTAGCGATGCCCGAGAATCGAGCTAGCCACAGTCCAGGAGTTTGATGCTCTCGTGGTCTATCGGTTAAAGATCTCAGTCAACAGTGTAGGTTGTATGGGGATCCGGAGTAGTGGAGCCAGTCAGGACATTGACCACCTGCGACTCGGATGCCGATTGGCGCCAGGCGGTGCTCATCTAAATTTTCGCAAGCATACAGCCAAAAAGTATTGGTCTGCACGAATCTACATGAAATCAGCGCTGCAGGGAAAAACAGCAGCGCTCACACATAAAAATTGTCTGCTCGTGAGCGGATCGCCCTGCTGGCAATTAACATCTGGCCATGCCAAGCATCGTCCCGCGGAGGGCAATAGAGTAGGCTGCCCTAATCCGCGGAAAACATCTGTGGAAGATCACAATACATCATTGGATATCGGCTGATAACACCGCCGACACCGGCTGAGCCGTAGAGATACCTGTGCTGTCTGTTTGACAAGGAGGTATCTCTTGGGGTCCTGGCCGGCGAGATGAACGACGGTCGACGGCCATCTTTGGCGTAGAGGCGGAGTTCAGAAACCGGGACTTGAGTATTGGCATTCTGATAGCATATTCACTTACAGCGTAATTTACAGGGCGCAGGGAGGCCATTTGCTGCAGATCGTCAACAAAAGGCTAGCCTGCTAGGCCTGGAAGGACCCTTTGCAGTGCATCGGACCCTTTGGGCCTCGAGGGTTCAGTATATGTACAACACTTGCTTGACTAGCACCACCACATGAATGAAAGCGGAACAAGACTCCTCCGTCACAGCGGGCGGTGATATGATGCTCACATCCTATACGTCAGCCTCGACGTGAACAATGAATGCATTGCATATGTAGCTTTAAATATAACCCAGCAGTGCTGCGTAGAGAGATTGGCTCATTCCAGCTCAGCGGGCGTATCGCAGGAGGGTCCAGCCTCCGGCATATCGAACAAAGTCTTGGTGGCGTCCTTCGGGAGCACTGAATAGATGCGTTCAGGCAGCCTATTCCCAGCCTCAATGCTGTCGGTGATCCACTCTGGGCGTACAACATACACAATACTCCTCGAATTGCCAGAAAGTATTTTCTGCGTCTTTGTTCCGCTAAGTTGCTGCGAGGTCAGGATGTGCGTGGCGCCTGAGGCAGTGTACCTATGGGTGGCCGTGGTGAGGCCGTGGCGGGCAGAGTACACGATCAGACTCACATGACATCGCCCCCCGCGAGCTTAACTATTCTCTTCATCTCGATGTCGGTGGAGTTTGCCAGATAGCCGTTAATGTACACCCGGATACCTCTCAGCACATTCGTCTCAGGGGCCGAGTCACTCGCCGGCAGTTGTTCTTCTAGCTTCTTGCTGCGGGCCTCGAGGTATGGCTTGTGGTTTCCACGACCCTCTGAGCGCTGATGTCCAGTCGCAGTTGAGGCCACATAATCTACACAGAGTTTTGTAGTTCGCGATCATGCGCATGAGGGTTGAGCCATAACAAGACTGACCCGAACGTTGAGAGATATCGGAGTGAGTGATGGGGTTGGACTCGTCGGCGAGAGTGCTCAATAGATGCTTCGTGAGCACAGCCCGGGTGGGCTTTACCCCATTCTTGACAAGGGGCGCAAGCAGGCTGGATCCATATCGCGGTCAGCGCCGGCGGAGAAAAAAAACCACCGCGGAATATGGCTCACTTCTCGACCCTCCGTTTCTCCTTCCAGTCTCCCGGTCTTCGCTTATTCGCGTCGGCGTCAGTGTATGGATTGTATCTGTAGGCTGGGCGCGGCTTCTGCTTCGGTTGCTTGCCCCCTGCGGGTTCGCTTGTGGCGGCACCGCCGAGCGTTCTCGCGGTTGATGGCTTGACGACGGTCACGAACTTGTCCATGGTGGGACGGTAGATAGATAAAAGTATTTACAGAAAGAGGCCAAAATAAAATATATACATGCCCTGGCCGCGAACAAAAGCGGTGGCTTTGACCACGTTGAGGAACGAACCAAAGCCCCGGTCAGGCCACAACGCGTCAGCGCTTCAATGCGTGGGAGCGTAATGTTTGTTTTCGGCAAATATTACGCGCGAACTAAGCGCGGCAGTCGACTTATCCGCGCCTTACTCCGAGGCATCGCCTGAGTTTCTCCTCATACGTGCGGCGATTGTCGAAGGCTTCGCGGGCTGTCATATGATTTCACAGACCACTTGAAATGCGCGAAGAATTATGGGATACGTGGCAGTTCGCGCTAGTGGCCTGAATCCTCGGAAACTGGAGGTCACTTGGCCCACCGCATAAGTATCAGGAATATGCTTACCTCGGTCACTCGAGCCTTCTGTGTCGTCAATGATTTCGTTCTGTAGTCTAATTTCTCCGAATGCTCGTCCTGAGGCATGTGCTCGGCGGTGGAGATGTCGAGGTTATAAGTCGGCGCCGTCGACGACAGGTCGACTCTTGCCCACTGCTCCCTCCGTGCTCATCGCAGAAGAAGAGATGCTCGCATTGCTACTCCTCTGTGCGTCATGGGTAATGACAGTACTAGCAATACCCTCATTTGAGGGTGTGACGAGCTGGACGGACATCGGGTCGCTCGTACCAGGAATGACGACCCTGGAAGCCATTGGGCCTTCCTCCTGGGACGACAGTGGGAAAAACCCCTTCTACTTCACGATTGATGCGCCGCATGGTACGCCGACCCTCCTCTATGCCCGAGGCGGCTGAAGCTAGAGCGGAGCTGCAGGCCTCACAGGCAATGCCACGGTGAAGAAGGACAGCGCGCCACCCTTGTTTTACATTCACAACAATCAGCTGTGGAACTTCCACAACGCATCCACAATCTATCCCGTAAATACCGTAAACGCCACCAAATCATCTCAGTTGCCGCTGCAGGTCGTCGTTGGCAAGCCCGGGAGCGACGTTGTTAAAGGGGGTAGCTGGAGGTGGCAGGGGACAATGCTCCTCTACGAGTACGGATCAACGAACAACAGCGGGGTTTACTATTCGTGCCAAGACACAAACGGCCTTATGGGGCTCTTCTTGTTTTTACGAGGGTGAGCATGTTTCTCATCTTTCTGCCGCGTGATCTTTACCATCCGTATTCCAGGTCGGCCACACCCCCGGGCTGCACCTTATTCACGGTGCACAGCTTCATGCATCGCGGGTAGTTCGGTACCACTGTACGCTTTACCGCTTACGGCGCTCTATGTTTTGATGTAAGGAAACGTACAACAGTCTTCTGTCTTATCGCATTCGGCGTGAAGCCGCACTCATCGCCTTACGTGATTGTCAAGGCAAAGAGGGAAGCTATTTTCGTCCGGGCGGCGTATATACGAATGCGAGATCAGACATTCTACTTCTGTATCCGCATGTCCACACGCTTCGAGGCGAAAGCAAGAGCGAACAACCCCATCAGCGCCGTTGCGACTGCAAGGGGCTTTTTCAAATGAGCTGAGAACGGAACCTTGTAGGACACCTGCATGCAGGTTAGCGGCTGCGCGAGGGTTGCAATGAACAACATCTTTTCTCACATAGATCATGCCCGCATGCCTGTCGGTCAGCTGCTCGTATTTGAGGGTGATAGCTGGGCGGCCCTTCGTGTCCAGATAGGTGACATGGTTGGAAACGCTGTTCATTACAGCCGAGAAGGGCGGATGGAACTTGACGTCGCTGCAAAGGGTTATCAGTCGCCAAAGCCCGGTGAAGGACGTTCCCGACGAGCCAGGAGACTTACGTGGCGCCCTCAGGAAGGATGATCTTGATCTCGGCTTCGTTGACCACAGCGCCGGGGACCAGGGCCTGCACAGGAACACCAACTAGGTAGCTGCCAGACTCCTTGTCGTAGCCTGCATAATCGGCAAGGGACGAGTCCCAGCCCAAAGTGAAACTGTAGTTCCACTGGCCTAGGACAGGGTACCGGGGTCGCATCTCGAAGAGGGTGTATGTATTCGACTTCAAACCTTTGGGAATGGATGGCGTGGTGCGCAGTCGGGAAGTCGAGACGTTCCCGTTCTGATCATAGTAGTAGACGTCGCGGACGCCTGGAGGCAGGTGAAGAGCCAGAGAAACCAGGGTAGAAGATGCAATCCGGTTGTGATAGTTCTGCCCCTGGAACTCCAGGCGAGAGAACTGGCCCTTGAGGCTGCGGATCCCATGATATCAGTTTTTTTTGGCAGACAAAACAACTGGAGCCGACGTACGCTGGTCCAGCGTTGTGCAGCCAGATGTTATCCTGGATGTTCAGGTTCGCACCCCAGTGTGATATCTCAGCAGCACGCTCCAGTCTAGTGACCTCCAGAACGGGAGCAGGATAGTCGTATTGAACAGAGATGCGCTTCTGCACGTCTTTCACAAAGTCGCGGTTTGCGTTCGCAGAGATGTTGTTATAGGGTCCATAAGTCAACGTAGCACCCGACTTTGTCACCGGTGCATCCTGAGTGAATGCGCTCATGTCCTCCGGGGTGCTATACGCATTGATCTGAGGTGAGGGCGCCCTATGAGAAGCCATGAGACAGGTAGCCTCCCAGTACACGCAAGAAATATACCTAATTTTCGTCCGCTGTACTGCAGTGGGATACGGGCTCAATACGAACAGATCGGCCTCGTACTTTAGATATTGCGGGCCTCCCTGAGCAGCCACTTGGGGCCACGGATATGTGGCATGGGTCTGGACTGTTTCCAGCACAAGGTTGGCAGAGGAGTTCGCCTTGAGGGCGTTAGGTAAGGCCACAGTATACAGATATGCGCCGCTGGAATGCGAAGCACGCAAAGGTCAGTAAATACGCGCAGCGCTCAACTTTTGATTCATGGGACATACTTCGAGTTCAATCCGAAGTGCTCGACATGTAGGGGCACAGACTCTCCCTTCAGTTTCGCATTGATCCAACTAGTCTTCTTGTGCTCGTCCTCTCCAAGTGCGACAGTGTAAATGCTGGAGCCATCTTCGAGTGCACGGACCGCGTAGGTAGTCGTGACGTGTACGAACGATCCGCCAAGCTCGACAGTACGAACGATAGCGGTATTTTCAAATGTATGTTCAGCAGAGACCAGTGGTGAGGTAAACAAGCCCAAGAGTAAAAGTGCGGCGCGGCACCGCCAGAGTCTGGCCATGGTTGTGGTGGTGTCGTGCAGTGCGCGACTGCAGACGTGTAACCTGTGAGACAAAAATAGCAAGCGCGCCATATTGAGCGCTTATACGACAGCTACGGGTGCACAGAGCGAAGTATAATGAATGTGCAGGATATTATGCAGTAGTAAAGACGATGTAGAACAGCGATGTCTACCATGCCCAAGCAGGTCCAGGGTTTCTAAGAGGAACGTCCTCCCTGGTGATTCCAGCCGAGACTATCCTCTTGAGTTTCCTCTTCCGCTCCTCCTCCTTGAGCTGAGCTCTTGTCTTGCCTTCTTTTAGGACAACATGTATACTGGAATCAGGGTGCTGCCTGATGCCAAAGCGACCTCTGCCCCTGGGTTCTTGCCGCTTGAGGACGTGCTCGCCTTTGCAAACCCAGGCTTCCGCTTTGTAAACAGACTGGTCAGCAGGACATTTATAACAACAAACAGAGGTTACACACAGACGACCAGCTTTTTCTCGTCGAGGCCTCTTTGCACAGCATGGTCCTTTGCAACGACAAGCATGCTCTTGATTCGCTTACTCGCGCGCTTTTCGCTGAACATCATCTGCAGGATGGCGGAGTCGATGGGCTTGCCGGATATCTGACGACCGAGCATGTTCAGTTTTCGATGAGAGATCTTGAAGTTCGCAGTCGAGTATTTATGCTGAAGGTAGTATAAAGACATCGGTCAACACAGCGGACCGAAGGCAGCTGTTCGCAACATACCTCGGTAGCTTTCTTGCCCTTCGCCTTAGGCGAACCGACGAGCAACTGGGACTCCTTACCCCCGGCTCCATCTGCAAGCTCTGGTAGCGACTCGAATACGCTGCCCTGTCCCTTCTCAATTTGCTGCTTCCGTGCCTCTTCAATCTCCTTTTCCGTGCTCTGTTGACGGAACTTCACGTCCAACGTCTCCCGGAGCCACGTGAAGGGACTCTTGAACGAAGCACTACGCGGACTTGAATATTCCATGTCCAAATAGATCGAATTGAGAGACGTACTGTCGTTTTGCTTCCCATACTGGAAGACGTGTGCAGGACCTTGGCCGAATACACCTCGCAGAGGATGCTGCAAGTCCTGCTATATCCCAACATTCAGTGGAGGCAAACAGCATGAGTACCGAAGGTATATACCTCGTCGAAGTGCGCCTCCGGCTGACTGCATCGAGCAGGATGTGGTCAAGGAAGAGTTGGTAGGTTAGGCGTCTAGCCAGCTCGTGTCGCCTCCGAAGCGCGAACCGATCCGCATAACTTTCACCAGACCTCCACGTCCGCACTCATCAGACCGACCTCCGCAGGCCTTGAGTGGTCTTGCTCTAAACTACCATCGCCTTTTGTCGCACGTAATCAGAATGCTCACGCTCGGGTCGATTCTCTACGTCGCCTTGCTCCTCGTAAACGCCATGGCGGTCCTCAGTGAGGACAGGTTCCTCGCACGAAGTACGTGTCTTACTGCTTCACGCGACCACGAATGTAATAATCTCTGTTACTTGTAGTTGGCTGGGCATCTACGCAGGTCCAGGCTCAACATTCCGGATATGCGCAACCATATGCGCAGCCGTACGACCAGACCGGGCTGGCGGGGCAGGATATTGGCGTGAAGGCGCGGCTCATCAACCTGATTAGTGCGGTAAGAACTTTGATGAGAAGTACGTGGCTGCGTTATTTTCTCTTACTCGGGGACACTGACACTTCTCCCATTCCAGTACCTCTGATATCAGTGAACCTAGTGATCATACTATACGAGCTCTTCTGGGGACGCTAAATGCTACACATTACGCTTGAGATTGGAAGCGACGTCTGAACATGCTATCTTTGTTCATTCCATGCCAGAGCTAGCAGTATTCAGTCGCGTGTACTCCTCGTTGATCTGCCGGATGAAGTCTTCTGGTGCATGCCCACCCTAGCACGGCAACGACCTCAGGTGCGTCTCAGGCTGACGGAGTGTTATACGACTCACCTCACACGCCTTCCATGTCCCATCGCGGATGCAGACTTGCTTACCGCTTATGAGGACCGTGCAGCTCTTCCTAGATCTTATATGAGTACGTGTACATACGACAGCAGCATGCGGCTTACTCAATTCCCAAATTTGTCGTGTTCTTGACACTCTCGAGCAGTAATTGTACGCCTTCCTCCCCTTTACCGCTCCCATCTGTTCCGGCACATTGTCCCACGTCGCTGTTTTCCCAATCGATGTCGACAGCTTTGGCGCACTTCAGCGCTGTCTCAGGCTTCCCTACTTCATCTCGACCCTTAAAGTTCTGGCATTGGATAAACCTCCACCACATAGAGCGTTCCGTGTATTTCATAGCACAGAGTTCCTGCACGTTGCCGGCACATTCGACCGCACCGTGCATGCAAGTGACGCCAAAGTCGGGCTCGGAAGCATTAGGTCTGCGAATGACCTATGCTTTAGATGCGCAGAGCGGTCATGCCAACATTGGGAAGCTTACGTTCCGATGAATGTAAGAGAAAGGTCAACCTTATCTCCAACTCGTTGGATAACGTGGTTGAAGACCGATTCGCAGACCAACGCATCCGGGCATGCGCTCATGACGCCCAGCAGGACAGGAACCTTGGTGTCTGCGAGCCGCCCGCCCGACATAGGCACTTGGGCGCCCAACGCCTGGCCTGGACCGAGGGCGAACAACGTCGCGAGCACGACAGTAAGGGCTTTGATTTGCATGCTGCCTGGATACCAGATGGTGACAGTCGTAGTTGAGGGTGTATTTCAGAGCCGATGGGTGAACTGTCACGCATGCAGTCAGCCACCCTTGTCGTCATCCGGCACACGACTTGCGTGGGGCCGATAAAGACTCCGGACACCACCGTCTATGTCGCAGAATATTAATGCCACGACAGCTTCGTGTGTGTTACATTGAGAGGGGATAGCACGTAAACATCTTCCAGGAAGTGTAAGGGAAATGAGTAATGAACGGAGTACGGAATCCACAAGCTCTCCAGGACCTACAGCGCGTAAGCTTAGCGACCCGCCTGCGCAGCCTCCCACCATTTGCGCGCGTCGGCATCTGTGAGTGGCGGCTCAAAATACCTGCAACGCGACCGGAACGCTGGTGAAGTCGGAGTATCAGCAATGCATATTACGCGGAGCCCGCACAGCGTGATAGGGCTCACCGTCCAGTGACCGATTCCTGACGATTTTCTCAACGGCGAGCTCATTGTGGACTTGGTTGCGCTGCCATTGAGACGAATAGATCCATTCAATCCGCGTGCGTACGTAACACAGCATGAGAAGACCCACTTTGACCTCCTCCGCGTAGAGTGCACCCTGGATCTTCCGCTGTTGGACAGGGTCAGTTTCTTGTGATTCCAGCTGCTTCCGGTTCTCGGACATGGACTGGTCAACCACGCCGTCACAGTAGCTGATGATGTCTGTACGACGTTTCCAATTCTCTGCGACGGAGGTGCATCAGACTCAGAAGTCGAAACGACGGCATTATGCGCTCACCGACGAGGTCTTTCCAGAGGTGTGCACATACTTCATCCTGCACACTCCCTCGAACGACTCCTTCTCGTTCGAGGTCCCTGAACTGCGCGTTCGTGCGGTTCAAGCGCATGGTAATCGTATCGTCCAGTTTGCGATACTGGTTCATCAGGTCTGGTCAAGGGATGAGCATGATGTGTGCACACGGACCACATGCGAGAATATTGAGCGCACCTTTGAACGCAGAGAGATTCTGACATGTCGACGGCGTTACATGCACCGTCTGTGGGCTGAGTGAGGGTGCCTGCACTGCAAGACTCCCGAGGACAGGCTGTTTTGGTGGCATGGCTCTAGATCAGGGGTGCCAGAGGTCGGGATGCGCCCGGGATGTAAGCGCATGTGCAAGGATCGGCGGCTCGGGGAACAAAACTGAGTTTAATCGCCGGTGCTCCCGCCCCGCCCCGCCCCGCCCCTCCACCCCGCGTAGATCGAGATCATCGCCGCATTGTCTGGGGGCTAAAAATTGCAGCCTCATATTTCTCAAGCACTTGGCATGACAGACTGCCGGAAATCCCGAAACTGACTGAGACGGACTTCCAGCGGTCGCAGGCTTACCAAGCCCTGGCGCGGACGCGCGGCCCCAGTCAAAGAACCAAGCATCGGGCCTACGAGCAATGAGGATAGCCCGAGTCCACCGGCAATCCGCCAGGATGAGCCATAATTGCACAAATCGCTCAGACTCGTGTTATCTTTCCCCATGTGAGTCGGGCACCATGACCGACTCGGCGCGTCTCATGCATTGTCTGACACAGAGGCGTAAGCCGGCTTGCGAGTTTGGCTGCGGAAACCGCGGACATGCCGCCGCAGACGGACCGTCCACCGCCCGGAGGAAATAGGTCTTACGATGGTCAATGGCAAACTAGCGGCCGAGTCAGCTGGAACACCCGGGCTGGAGGCCGACTCGGATTATACAATGTCGCTCATATGATCTCTTACGTTTACCGACCGTTTCGGACCGACTCCGATACCAATGAGCCAGCATAGAGCCAGTGCAGATTAATACACATGGACGTGCTAGATACAGAGCAAGGCTCGAACGAAATAACGAACAATTTCAACGCCATACCGTACGTAATTTATCGGACAAAGCGAGGGCTAGCAGGAGAATACGATACCCCGAATGGCAACAAAAAGAAGGCAAAACGTGCACCTGAACCTAAGTGGCAACCCACGGGATCGCAACGCAGGGTCTGGAGGCGGGCAAAGGCGGGCCCCGAGAGGTAAGACGGACAATGCTCGGCTGCCGAAGAGGGAACAGGGTCGGTCAGAGACAGTTCATGTAGAATCCTCTTCCTCTGGCTCTGAGACGTAGTCCATCATCGCAACACCGCTTTGGTCCGCTTGCGTCCTCCGTTTTGAGGGTACATGATTGTGAGCAGACTTCATATGTCTGTGACGTCGGGCAGGGTCACCAAATGTCGCATTGCAATTTGGGTACGGGCATCTATGTGGTGTATCGCCGGTGCTAGGATAAAATGTAAGCTTCCCGCATTGACTGAAACATCAATGAGATAGACGCACTGGGTATTCATGTGAGTGCTGTAGTTCGTGCGCTGCGAGAACCCCTTGCCGCAAATCTCACATGTGATCGGCCTGGTCCACTCAGTCAGCACAATCTGTAACACGCCGCAATTTGCGTCTGGTGCTCACTTGATCTGCAGGTGCTTGGACTCAATGTGCCGCTTCACGAGGTGTTTCTTCGACGTGTACCCGCACTCCTTCCCGTGGACTCCCTCCCTCGGGTCGATCCAGGTACAGCTGAATGAGGCCGAACTCCCGCCACCGTCCAGCGCTCGTGCGTGTCTCATCCAGTCGTCCGCATCCGGATCGGTAGAACTGTATCGTGCCGCACCCCGAAGCTCAGGGCTCTTTCCGCAGCTGCTCTCCGACTCGCTCGAGTAAGGCTGCGACGGGGAGCCACCAGCTCGTCGCCGCCCGCGGTCCCCGCGCATATCGAGTTTCATGCGACGCAACGTGCCCTGGAGGTCTCGATCACCGGGTGGGGACAACCTCCGTGATGGCGCGACGCTGACGGGTGCAAAGGAGTCCCCCAACGAAAGCCGCCGAGCAGGTGGCCTTCCAAGACATATGAGAACATTGCCTTCGGCCCCAAATCTGTGAAACAACTTACCTCGTGTACTGCGGTGGATTGTCTTGCAATGATGATGGCGCTGCACTATTGGACGCGCTCAGCCCGAGGTACCGCGTACATGGATATGGCGCACTCACGTCACTGCCGAGAGACTAGGGTATGGTGAAGAAGTTTCGTTTCTGGCGCTGCTCCTATGGCGTAACACAGCTGTACGGCTAGCAGTGGCGTACGTGTGAACATGATGGTCAAGGATATTTTTGCTCATTGACTCACGATGGAGGGCCTGTCTCACCATTCTTGTTTGCGATAGGCTCGGCTTGCTGCGCAGACGGATGCCTTCTATATTCAACAAAGAGCACCGGGCTTGCCTTCGTGTTTCTGTCCGAGCAGGGCTGAAAGCGTGGCCACGTGTAGCTGGCGGTGACAGCGGAGTGAGTGGACTGGTTGGATTGGGTCGAGTGGTTGGACAGCGTCGGCGAGGGTTCGCGGTCGGTCGACCCGTTGCTCGCTGCAGGTGACCGATTGTCTCGATACGAACTGCGAGCAGACATACTCAGCATCCAAAGACGAGGGGCAGGACGAAGTGCTCACAGTGCGGAGCCATCTGAGACATCCATTGCGTCCTCGGGCCTATGGCTGTGACGAGCACTGGGTAGTTTCGCCGCCGACGCGTCGCGCTGTGGCGGTCTTAAGATCGGGGGAGCGATAGTAGCGGCCGAGCTCGTGATGTCACGCGGTGAGTTCACGCTCGATAATAGTCTGGAGTGGGGTTGATGTGGCGCACATGTGGTCGGGCAAACGGGGGTAGTGGTCCGGAGATGGTCGCAAACGGGGCGGGCAGCAAAAAGTATGTCAGCTCTTGCCCGAGGAGAGGGCGCGCAAGGACTTACGAGGGGTGGGTGGCGAAGCTTTCACGGTACCTCATCATTCGAGAGGAGTATATACTGGGTCTGGGCAATCTGGGGAAGAGCCGAGGATAGGTAGCGGGATGGTCAGGGAAGGTCCCGCTGCAGCCGCTTTATACCTTTGACCGAGCCCATGCTTCCGAAAAGAGACTGTCTTCGTGAGCATTTGGTCATTACGAAACGCGCCGACCTAAGGGGAAGGGCCAGCATCAAGGCGCAGATCTCACGCGCTCGATTCGCGCCGAGATGAGGCAGGGGGGAAATACACGGGAGCTCCGGAGTTTAATATTTTAATTCTCGCTTATTGTGTCGGAGAATTCCAAGGGGTGCCCCGGGTCCGATAGCAGTTATCCAAATTGGTTCGTCTTGTAATACCGCAGCCCGCCGCGCTGACCACGGTCTCCGTATGACGCGGACCACCAGGACGATCATTGCTACCTCAGCACTCGCTAGCCCGCCTCGAGCTTTGTAGGCGGGCCCGTGCTAGCTGGCCGAGGCGCCCGGGCATTGACTCATGTCCATCGCCTGAGTTTGCGGCTCGTCAGCAGCACCGCTCTGCTCGACAAGAATGCAGACACTTGTAGCTCTTGATATAGAACACGGCCTGAATGTCCGCCCGCCACGGATGCCACCATTCGTCGTGATGGTCGACTTTCCACGCCTCTCTGACACGTATGAAGAGGGACCGTTTATTCTCACAGCGAACGGCATCTCATAGCGCAACATTAGCGGCGCTGCTTTAGCCATCACCACACTACTCGGCGCTGGCGGCACGGTATGTCGCCCGAAGAACAACAAGGACATCTGTTCGCGTAGTAGCATACAGAAGAAGCGAGTGAGATTCACGAGAAGTACTGTAGGCTAATCCATACTCACTCTGATCCACGTTCTACCAACTTCGTGAAGAGATTTCGAATCCTTGTTCCCGGAGAGGTGAAGTTAATGCTCTTGTTGCGGTAGCTAGGAGGAAGGCGACAGCGACGGCGCCTAATTGTCCCAGAGCGCTCGTGGCCGAATCCCTGGGCAACGGAAGCAATAAGTGCAGTAAACCGTCTCCGCCGGGATTTTCCTTGATGGCCTCCCTCCGTGTAGGTTTGTAGACGCCATTAAGCCTCCACGAATGGCTGAATTGGCATACAAAACTTCAGGCTTCAACCGCGGGAGGCGTTTCATTCGACTCGGAGGGTTGGCAGGCCCGGGAACTGGCGCCATTGGCTGAGATGGTCTACAGGTGCCGAGATGATGAGAAGTCACGAACGGATATAGAATATCTGTCAGCGGGCTGAGGAAGATAGCTGCGATGAGGCCGATGTTAGTCCAGCTCAAACTTCACACAGCCATACTGCTGGGGGTTGGGTATGCCGCAATATCGAGCGGTGATTATACACTCTGTAATCATGTTGCATCGATGGTAGAGCTCCTCATACAAGCACGGGAAGATAGAAGCCTCGACTTGTGTGGCAGACCTCAGACCGCTCATTCAGCTGATCGACGGGCGTATTCCAGAGCGCGGTCGTCCCAGTTGGAACCAGCGCGGACACCGCTGGGGGGCACTGCCTACCGAATGTTCCGGAAAACCGCCAACCAGGGCCGTCACAAACAACACTTGGGGTTGGGAATGGGACCGTTGTATCTGATGAATATGGCCCAACTTTCAGCCTAGTCCCTTGCGAATTGTCTGCGGGAAGGGCGACGAGAGTAGAGGTGATAGGCCGATAGGTATAGGTAAATAGTGATGTACATACTAGGGGACTGCATATGTTCTGCCAGCGCAGATGCTGTTGCCGAGTGTAAGAGCTCACAGCCCCAGGATGTCCCACATGGAGCGGAAAGTTTTACGATGGCATTTGCATGTGGTTGAGGCTCATGACAATTGGGTAACCTTAGTGGCAGGAAACGGACGCGTCAAACTTGTTCGTACCCTCGAGCTTGTTTCCCTGGAGTCGAGCCTGAACTTACTAACGACGACAGGGCTACCAGTGCGCCCGCTGTCTCGCCCGTGGCCTATTCGGAACAGTGGGCTCACGACGGCGTCGGACCGAAAGCAGGGCCGCAAAGAAGTTTCCCAGGAGGCCGCCGGCCGATGAGGACAAACAGGTGACGCATCAGCGGAAGCAAAGGCGGTTGCTTGCGGGGATGGCCATGGGCAGGCGATCAATGAATGGAGGCCGTTGCAAAGATGCGACCAGCGGGGCTAGATGTTTGCCCACGAGCCCAATGGCCGCATCTGCTGAGGAATCGCCTCGAAACCCACCTGACGGTTGCAAGACTGGCCCTCATGCGTGGACCACAGCTAGCCAAAGCCAGTGCGAGAATCTCCGAGAGGCAGCGGGACCGTGTCCAGCCGATATGGCATGGCCGGGAATGCACTGCGCACTGAAATCATGTAGCTAGCGGTCGTTGGACGTGCCTTCCCTACCGGCTCTAAAATTTTCATAGTCCTGCAGACGTTCCGCTACGACGTCTGAGATGCCGTGCACACTGCACTTGGGCAGATAGCAATGCGAGGCGGTGTGCGCGAGCAAGGTTTAGGCGTGGGAAGCGGAGAGACGCCGGGGCGGCGGCAGTTGAAGTGGGCGACACGGGACTTACATGCCGCGTGCTGCCGGGGACTCTGGCCATTCGACGTTCCAGCACCTTGTGTAAGACTCTCATCCCTCTCAGCTCATTGCGAGCACGGGCGTCGCTGACCCCGGCATATACCTTGACGATCTTCTGGAGGATGGGCAAAGACCGTAGACTCTGGCCTCTTTCACACCCTGTCGCATCCACGACGCTATTTTTCTTGATTTCTTCCGTCTCTTTTCTCCAGGCGTCAGCACAAAGCATCTCTACCAATACTCCAGTCCCTCCTCTGCAGTGGATAAACCTTACTGGCCTTCTGACAGGCCCTGGACCAGGTCCTCTCAAGGACGCCTCCATCGGCTACGATCCAGCGCATCAAGACCTCATTATCTTCGGCGGAGAGTCCGCGCAGGGCATCCCACAGGCTCAGACGTACTTGTAAGTCGACGTCACACACTACGTCGCGTCATGCAGGGTTCCTCAGGCCTGCGCAGGCTTGATTTGCAGACTTTAACATGGTCGCAGCCGACAGCGCCAGACGATACGCCAGCGCAGTCACCGCCGGCAAGAAGCGCAGCCATCAGTGGACAGGATCTCGCTGCTAGCTAGTAAGTGGTAGTGCGCAGTGCATCTCAGTTCAGGTACTCAGTCGACCCTGTGTTCCACGCGTAGTCGAAACGGTCACGTTGTTATCGGTGGGAGGGGCAATGATGGGGAGCCATTGAACGACACCTGGGTACGTGAGCCCGTCCTGCCTATTTGGGCCGTACTAACGCCCTCTCAGGAATTTGACTACACAAATCACTTTTGGTCCCAGGTCAAGATAACTACCCCTGGTCCTTCGGTTTTCGCTGCGGCTGGCGGGAACGACCCCAGGACTCCGTTCGACGCCACCGCCCTCTCTAACTTTTTCTTCGTTGCTGGGGGTTTCACCGGGGAGAAGGCTACTTCGCTATCCAATATCTGGAAACTGACTATTGCCGGAACCTTGTCTTCCAACCTTCCTAACCTCACTACGGGAACGTGGGAGCAGATTCATCCCAACAATCAATCTCTCCCGGCCGTAGGCGGCTCAGCCACTGCGGTTGTCCTCCAAGGTTCACAACAGCACGTAGTTGCCGTCGGTGGCTGTGATACCAGTACAAACTCAACTGCTGCTTGTGCACAAGGACAGCCGTATGTCATTGATATCGACACCTCGAGTAATACCGCTCCCGCGAATTGTCCTGCTCCGCGCATAGGTGCATCTCTTGCCCCAAACTTGAACACTGCTTCGCAAAGTTTCGATCAACAAGTCTTCCTGCTTCTCGGGACGTTTGATTCGTCGCAGTGGCAGGACGATGGTGGTCTGGATCAAGGGGAAGTGGTAAGTTTTGGATTTCATGATCACATTTCGTACTGATCCTAACAGTGTCGGAAGGATGTCTTTAATTTTAATGCTGGGACTTGGGCTCGTATACTGCCGGCTGGCGATCCCGTGGACGGTCATCCCACATTTCCTTCACCGCGCGAAGGTGCTGCCGTATTCTCTCTGGGTCAGCCTTTGGTTGGTTCTGCAGCAGCGTCCGATACCATTGTGTTTGGCGGCAAAGATGCCACTGGCAACTATCTTTCCGAGGTCTGGGTGCTTCGAGCCTACAACGGAACCATCAGTCAATCAAACGCAACCTGGTCTGGCTTCGGAAACGGTCAGTTGCAGGGTGGCCCGAGCGCAAACGGCCAAGGTGTCACGATTCAGTACATGTCATCATGCGCATCTGCCATCTCTCAGCCCTCGGGCACCGGATCTTCTTCTGGTCATTCTCCAACTTCCTCTTCAAAGCCTCCATCTCCAACAAACACCGGTCAACCAATCCCAGTCTCTCGCTTTGATACTTCTACTGTGCACAAATCTTTGGCTCCGGTGTCCGCCGCCCTCATCCTGCCTGCTATCGTTTTTTATCGCTTATCACAGCCGTCAGTTGCGTCTGCACAATCTACAAATCTACGAATCGGATTGATGTACTTAACTGCCCTCACCGCGCTGGGTGCGTTTGCGCTGGGCATCGGCGGGCTGGTCACCGCATTCATCTCGCTTCGATACACCACCTCTATTGTCAAGCGTTCATCTATTCCTCATCTGTCCACTACTCACGGGCGCGCAGGCATCGCATTATTCGTCGGTCTGTACGGATTTGTGCCTATACTCATCGCGACCAGCGTGCTACTGAAATGGAGGAATAACGACGCGGCCTTGGCGGCAAAGCGCAGGCGCACAACTTCGAACGATTTTGCGGAAAAGATGGGTCTGAGATCTGGCAGTCCATTTACACCGGATACTCTTCCGGTCGAGCAACACAGTACGGAGCGCGCGAGCTTGGGCGATAGGCTCAGTTCGTGGCCCTTCGGTCATGTTCCTGCAGCTCGCCGATCCAACGAGAGCGCCACAACAGACGACCATAACCCCCCTTCCAGTGGGTCATTCGAAGTTACCAATCGGCCGGCTCGCGGGCGCCGCGCCAGTGCGCACAGTCTGGCTGCCTTCGCCGACCCACGGCCCTCCAACCCTCCCCGCAACCTCAGCGATGTTAGCTGGATGGAGCGACGAAGAAGTCTCAATACAGTCGTGAGTGTTTCGGAGCTACAGCGCGTTTTCACTGTGCTGACACACGCTTTCTGCCACAGGGCGACATGGATTACGCTAATGCGCAGCTCCAACGACGTGGACAGATGCCGTCCACCCCGGGGACCGTGGAAGGCCTAAGCTTGAAAGACACCATCCCCGATCATACAATGTCTGGCCAGCCAGCGCTAATGCCGAACACCCTCGACGCGCTTGTCCACGTTCTCCTTCACGCCTTCCTTCTCGCCGTCTGCGTTCTCTCGATCATTGCCCTGCGGGACCGCGCCTCCGTTGCCACCTTCGCGGTCTTCATTGCATGGACGGCGTGCTTCTACATTCTCGTCTTCGTCCTGGCATGGAACGGCATCCCCAGCGAGTCGATCCTGACTGTGCTGATCAGCCGGATGCGGAACCCGCCGCAACCCGGCGAGCACCACGCGCCGGGCGTGCCCTTCCCCACCGCCGGCGCAGGCCCGTACCAACACCAGCCTTCCTACCGGGTCGCGCGCGACCACGAATACCCCGCCTCCGTTTCGCATGGAGGTGTGACCGCCGAGGACGATGACGATGGCGAGGACGAGGAAACCAGGCAGCGAAGGATGGAGGACGAGTTGAACCGCCGCGACGTGTCGATCGTGACCGTGCCCAGGCGCAAACTCTTCCTCACCAATCCCGAGCCAAGTTGATCCTCACGCATCACGCACCGTGCCAGCTCTGTTCCTTATATTCCCATTATCGCCCTATGTTACCCCGTACAGTAATTCTAGGACGCTATCGTAACTCCGTTCTTTCTCAAGCCACCCTCGCTCTGTATTTGCGCACCGACTTACAAAAGGACTTTTTGCTCACTCATTGTATTTGTTTTATTGCATGACTATTAGATCGCATTAGTGTTGGATATCAGGATGGGTAGGAATATCATAGCTGCTGGTGGTCTGTTGATGCTCAAGACATTGTATGTGGATCGAATGCAACCATAATGTGGATCCAAAAAAGAAAAAGGAAGGTGGGAACCGTAAACCCATTACAGCAATTACGAAAGAGTGACCAATGCGTCTCACCGCTCGCCCTCGACGGCAACATCATGTCGCCACTTGTCCACGCGGTTCAGCTTCGCGGTGTCATGCATGGGCGGCGGCGTCGAGGGCAGCTGAGGGGACATCATCATCGGAGGGCCCATAGGCGGCCCATAGAACGGCGCGCTCATGATCGAGGGCGCGCCAAACATCATTGACTGCTGCATCTGCATCTGTGCGGCGGCCGCGGCCTGGGCCTGCATCGTCATCATCATCTGCTGTTGCTGTTGCTGCGCGGCCGAGGCAAAGAACTGCGAACGGCGAATCTGTTCCGGATGGAGTGCAAGGGGTCTCTCGTCGTCCTCGTCCCCGCCGCCGGCCGCACTCTGGGATTGTGATGACGTAGGGAAGAGCCGCGACGCGCGCAGACCCAGGGGCTTGTCGTCCTCGTCCTCGCCGTTCTCGCCATTGCCACTGCCGCGCGCCTTGAGCGCATCGCCGAGGGTGTTCCCGATCGGAGCGAACAGGCTCGTGCCACGGCTCTGCGTCGGCGACGGCAGCCTCTGCTTCGTCTTGTCGAGCAGCTGCGACAGTGGCCGCTCCTCGTCGGATGAGTCCTCGGCGCGGACCTGCAGGCCCGTGAAGTCCGTGCGTGTCGCCCGCTGCGCCGCGCGGCCGATAGTGGCGACGAGCGGCAAGTCCTCCTCGCTTGATTCGTCATCGCCGAGCTCGAGCTGCTGCTGTTGCTGCAATGCACGGAAGCGCGGCGGCAGGTTGTCGACGAACCTCGGGCCAGAGCCTGTCGTTCGCCGAGGCTGACCGACCAGCCTCGCCTCCTGTGGCCGTCTTTCTTCGTCAGAGCCTGAGTGCCAGCCGTCCGTCTTGGGACCGCCAAACGGCCGACCTGCAACGGAGCTCGAGTCACTGTCCTCTTCCTCATCATCCTCACCATCAACAGGGGGCGGCGGCGCGCGTCGTGCTATTCGCTTCTGTGCAGACAAAGGAGTTTCAGGAGAAGCGGCTGTATTTGGCGAGTCTTGTACTTGGGACGTGGAGGGCGAAAGGACCGATGGAGACGGATCGATGCCCGACGCCTCGCCTTCTTTGCCTTTGCCCCTGCGCTTTCCTTTGCCCTTCGTTTTCTTCCCGTCGTCGACCTCGCCGTGCTTCTGCCGTTCCTCCTCCTCGGCCTTTTCCTGAGCCTCGATCTCGCGCAGTTTGGCCAGTTCTCTTTCCCATATCGTGTCCACGCCGAAAACGCTCCGCGTCGCGCTCATGCCGCCGCCACGGCTGTCGGCGGCAGGGAAGGTGCCGCGCGGAGCTCCAGGAATTCCTTCCTCGAAGTTGATGAGCGTCTTCGCGTGTGCAGAGTCACGCCGAGAGAGACCACTGGGACCAATACCGGGGGTGGACTGCGAAGAGTCAAGGTGCATCAGGGTTTTAGGACGTTGTTTCAACGACTCCGGATCAATGAGGGTACTAGATCGCTGCATTGGTGTCCTGGCCATCATGGAGGGCCTCTGATCACCGGTGAATACCCTGCAGATGAGGATCGACGATGAGCAAAAATGTAATACTTGCAATTGAGAAACGAAAATGGAGGCAGACAAGAGCGAAAACATGAAACGTCGGCGCACCTTTGTTTACCCTTCATTTCAGCCTTCCTCGCCTCCAGATCATCGATGAGACTCTTGCCGTAAAGCTTTCCCGGTGCTCTCTTGCCTCTGGGAGCGTCGGCGTCGGCGTCGGCGTCGGTAATCTCCATGGTAGGAAGCCCGGGTGTAGAATCATTATGGATGTCAATGGGAGCTTGTTCGCCTTCTTGCGTAGCCCACTGCAGCTTGTCCTCGATATCCTTGAACGCCACGTCACGCTGACCATCGACCATCAAGGCGCTTCGGAATGTCAACTGAGACAGCGTCATGGTCGCTCTCGGGTTTGGCGTGAAGCCGTCATCAGTGTGCGAGGGGGAAAGCAGGGAAGCGTTTGAACGGCCAAAGGTACGCGCCTCAGCGGGTAGCGGAGGTCCGTCCGTCGTAAACTCGAAGCCCTCACGAGCCTGCTGCGCCGGCTGGGTGGAAGTAGGAACGGACTGCTGAAGCGGGCTGGGCATGATGAGCACCTTCGGACGCATGAGCTCAAGACGAGAATACGGCCTGTCACGGCCGGGCTGCGGTGGGCGACCGCTCAGGACAGACTCCGGCCGAGGCGATCCAGAGTCAGGCGAAGGCGAATACATCTGGGTACCAAGGGATGCGGTGGAGACGACGCGCTGTCGCTGCGTGTTGAGCATCTTCGGGTCAAAGCGAGAGGCACGTTCTGGCGGGGGAGGTGGGATGGCAAACGTATCTTGAGCTGCTGAGTCGCTTTCTGGCTCGTCGTCATATGCCAGGCCTGCCTCTTCTACGTCTGCGTCGGGGAAATCGCCAGCATCTTGCGGGAAAGGTATTGCATGCAGAGGAGGCGTGACAGGGATGCTGTCGATAAGGGCATGCCCGGAAGCCCTGCGACGATGCAAGACTGGGTCCGTGATTTGCACTTCAGCGAAGTCTAGTGGGTTGCCTACAGAATGTCGACGCGAACTCAAGGCTGATGTGGAGGGTAACGATGACTTCGCGTCCAGGAATGCCCCACCGACACCAAAGTTGTCCAGCTGATCTTGTAACCCGGTCCCAATCAACGGGATATTTCCCATGCTCATTGTACGAGCGTTGGCAGGGGGCCGTCTGCGACCAGGGGTATTCTGCAGCTGCAAGGGTTCATGAGGATTGGGTAGGATTGTCTTGCCGTCCGACACCTGTCGTTTAACTTCTTTGCCCTTCTTCTTGGCATCCTCTCCCACCAGAGAATCCAGTCCCCAAGACGATAAATCCACTTCTACCTCATCCTCCAGGGCTCCCTCAAATGTGGAATCCCTACCGAAAGGGTTACGGAGCGATGCTAAGGATCTGCGAGCAACGGACATCCTGCTCCCCGCGCTGCTGGCATCCACGCCTTCTGATGGAAGGGGCACACTAAGGTAATCGGTGCTCCTCCGGGCCTGTGACTGGGCGGCGACGTGCGAGGGAAGGTTCCGCCGAAGGGACATGAAGACAGCACTCTGCTCTGCATTCTTGTGAAGGTCAAAAGGGAGGTTTTCATTATCGTACTCTGTAAAGCAGACGAGTTAGCATGGTAGACAGAGGAAACGATGCGTCAAGCTTGTCGTCTCATGGCGTGATAGGGAATATACGCACCGATCAAGGCTTTTGCCAGCTGTAAACGAGAGAAAGCCGCCATGATCAGCCTCTTAGACCCAGCGAAGCACCCCGAACGGCAGAATAGAAAGCAAAGCACAAGAATACCAAGAGGAGAGAGGACAGTTTACTGGGAGGATGCGAAGGACAAAGTTGACCGCAATCTGAGCAAGTCTACCACATCACGTGGCGACATCAGACGCCTATACAGCATACACGACTTCTCGGATCTCAGCTTTGAGTCTCATCTTAATGAGCTGTCTGCGCTGAGCAAAGGGTTCAATATCTCGCGAGTACATTTCCCATGATACGTGGCGTATTCCTGGTCATAACGGCCTGCGAGGGTCGACCCTCAGTTCGAACCGTGCATACCGTTTCAATTTTGTCCTGTCTCATGATCAAATTAATATTGTACTCCACAAATCACTTTGCATGTGCGATAAAGTCCGGCGAAGTATCCCGGCCTCATAACACAATTTCACCCAAGAAAAAGAATTGCTACACTCTTGAATCACATCGACAGCTGCCCTGAGCCACCGCCACTAGCCACGCGACAGCTAGACGTCTTTGGCCGTATTATTGCCAGAATTTGGCAAACCCATCGACAGATGTTAAACCGTCGTACTTGGAAATCGACAGGGCTATCTCCCACTGGTCTTTCTGATCTCGGGCGGTAACCGAAAAAATGGGAATAAGCATCTGCTGCACATCATCGAAGTTTACAGGCACGCCAGAAATACAGGCTGCGATAGGCCAGGAACATACGCAAATTCTGTCGTGGCAAACCGCGTCAAGAATGGGACAGGTGTTGGCATTCGGCGTGGAGGCACGCCCGAGGTCGACCCGACCCCGATCACTCGGATTGGATCGACGCCACAAGGCCTCCGGCGACCAAAAATGCGGATTCTGCAACGTCGTTGTAACAAGATGGCATAGAGCTCATTGTATTGCATACTAAACATAATACTACATGTTACATAAAGTCTTTCTCTTGTATTTGGGCTTGCCGCAGTTTCAGTATAGTGGGGAACGGGACTTCATGTGAGGGCCGCAAAATGCGATTTTTGGGGTCCAAATCTCGAGACCTAACCCTAATCATATAAAACCGGCCAAATTGCCTGCGGTTAACGGTTTTACATATGCCTCGAATACTCCTGCAGAGCTCCAAGGAGCATCAATCAACCAGATTCTACCTCCTGCATACTCTTGAGATAATTCTCTCTGCAACGCAAGATACATGAAGGAATGGGAGTACCGGAAAACATGTGTAAATGTCGCTTACCGACCTGTTTGATACCAGCGCCCCAGCTGGACGGATCTTGACGTCCTTTGTTCAAGGATGTATTGGCGCAGCTTATTGCAGGATTGTCCCAGCGGAGGCTGTGTAACTTGAACTCTGCCATCAGTGTCTGCGTCGTGCGTATCTCTGGCGCCCATGATAGGCCTCTGAGAGGTACCGCCCGACGCAGTACCCGTCCACGCACGAAGGTTACAAGCGTAGCCAAACAAAATTACGGGCTATATTCCCATCCCGAATCCACGAAGGAAATCCATCCAGATATACATTAACTTTTAAATCAGAGCTCGTCGTGCCCCTCAACCTTCCACACCTTCTGTGCCTCGTCCTCCTCGACGACAGGCTCGCCGAAGTTGAGGCCGAGCATCTCAGGGTCGAGCATCTCGGGATCGAACGCGAACTCCTCGTCTGCGGGGTGCGACGGGTCGACCGGCGGCGCGGGCTTCACGCTCGCGTCCGTTGGCGCGTGTTCCGAGACGCCGAGCGAGCGGCGCAGGATGCGGTCGACACGCGCAAAGAAGTTATGCGAATCAGGCACCTCGAAACCCGAGCGGACGAGGGCGCCGTCGATGAGCACACTCGTGACCTCACGCAGCTCGTCCTCCGCCTCGAGGTCGCGCTCCGCATCCTCGTCCGTCGGCAGCTGCTCGACGCGCTTCAGCAAGCCTTCGATGAGTGGCGAACGCGGGTTGATCTCGAGGGTCTTCATCTTCTTCGCAAAATCATGCATGACGCGCTTGTCGTCCTGACCGTGGTTCTGTGCACCTGCAGAACGGTTAGTGACAACAAGAAGTAGCAGAAGGAAAGAACATACTGAGCATTTTCTCCATGTTGGCAGTATAGCCGTACGCGTCTGCGACGATGGCACAAGGCGAGGTGACGAGACGGTTCGAGATCACGACTATGTATTGCGTTAGCGCACTGTCCCGGGTATGAAGCATGAAGAAGCCTACCGTTGCGGACAAAATCATTGGTCTCTTTCTTGAACCAGTCAATCAAAGGCTTGTACTGCTCCGTGAGCTCCTTCTGCCGCTCCTTCTCTTCTTCAGGATCTTCCTCCTCATCGCCAAACTTAAGTCCGGACTTTGCGACGTCCTGGAACGACATCTTCTTCCACACACGGAGCTGCTGGAGCAAAATCTCGTCGAGTGGCTGGCCGAGCAGGAGGACCTCGTACCCTCGCGCGTGGAGCTTCTCGACAAAGACGCTCTTCGCGAGGATCTCGGGCGACTTGCCCATGTCCGCGAGGTAGAATATCTGCTTCTGGCCCTTCTTCCGGTTCTCGACGTACTGGTCCAGGCTCGTCTCGTTCCGCTGGTTCGTCGCGAAGCGTACCAGGGCCGCGATCTTGTCCCGGTTCTTCACGTCCTCGATCGCGCCGAGCTTGAGTACGTTGTTGTAAGCCCGGCTCATGCGCCACCACGCGAGCTGCCCCTCGGTCATCTCGCCGCCATCCTCCTCGAGCTCCTCGAGCTCGCTCTTGCGCTCCGCGTTCTCGGCGAGCTTCGCGAGCATCTGAAGGAGGCGCTTCACGATGATGCCCTTGAGTTGCTTGAGGAACCTCGTTGACTGTAAAGTCTCGCGCGAGACGTTCAGTGGCAGGTCATCCGCGTCGACGACGACCTTGACCCAGCTGGCCCACTTCGGCAGCGCATCCTCTCCGAGGTCGCTCATGATGAACACGCGCTTGACCATGAGCCGGATGTCCGCAGGGGTCTGCGAGTTCTGCCAGAACGAGTCGTCAAGATGCGAAGGAATATAGACGATCGCCTTGAAGGAAGTGCCCGCAGAGTCGCCGGAGAAGTGGGCCCAGCTGAGCGGCTTCTCGTAGTCCTTGAAAGTAGACTGGTAGAAAATCTCGTATTCTTCGTCTGTAACTGTCTTCGGGTCACTGCGGACGAATGAGCTGCAGTTTACGAGATGATCAAGAGACTCACCGCATCCAGATAGGCGGCTGCGAGTTAAGGTGAACCCATTCCTCAACGACGACAGGCTTGGTCTTCTTCGGCTTCTCTTCTTCTTCTTCGACATCTTCGACAGATGCCTCTTCATCGTCATCGTCATTCTCAGACTTGGGCTTGGGCGTCTCTGTCGTCTCTGTTTCCTCGTCTTCAACGGGAACTTCTTCAGTGCGAGTCGTGTGAAGGTAGATGGGGAATGTTGTCGCAAAGCTAGAATGCTTGTTGACGAGTTCAATGATCTTGAGGGTGTCGACGTAGTCGAGCGCATCCTCCTTCAGAACAAGCGTGATTTCTGTGCCGCGGCCGAGAACATTCCCGCGTGGGTCAGGGTAGACCTCAAAGGTGCTCTCGTCGGCAGTCGAGGCAAAGACGTACTGTTGAGGGTCGGGGTTCTTGGGAGACTTGGCAGCGACGGAAGTGACATAGACCTTGTCAGCAACGAGGAAGCTGGAGTAGAAGCCGAGACCGAATGCGCCAATAAGATTGCCAGTGCCAGTGCCATCTGTGCTCTCTGCGCGGGCAAGGAACTCGGAGGTGCCAGACTTGGCCAGTGTACCGAGGTTCGCGGTGAGTTCGTCGGGGGTCATACCGATACCTGTATCACGAAGGACGAGCTTGGAGATGCCATCTTCGTCCCTGAATGCTTTGATCGTGACATTCATGCTCTCTGCGCCCTCAAGGACCTCAGGAACCGTGAGAGAAGTGAGACGGAGTTTCTCGAGTGCATCATTGGCGTTAGAAATAAGTTCACGAAGGAAGACTTCGCGATGGGAGTAGAGACTGTTGATGACAATTTTACGCAGACGAGCGACGTCGCTCTAACAATGATGGTTATTCTTTCTGTGACACTGCGACAGAAACAAGTGAGACGCACTTCGTAGTTGAACTTCTGCGCGCCGTCTGTGGCAGCCGACGCCAAGAGGCTTACAGCGAGGATGGTGAAGGAGAGGCATAGGGTGCGGAAAACCCACATGGTGGATGTCGGCCCCGAGATGCAATCAAGCACTTGAGGGAGGGAGGGCAGGAAGCGAAAGCAAGGAAGGCTTTGTCCTGAGTCGAGGACTTGTTATAGGCAGAACGATTATTCTCGAATAATGACGTGTCACTTCCTTGCCCAAAACGCGGTCACGCGTCAGTCACGCGGCTGCCGCCAGCAGCCGAGGATCTCCCGCCCACTCCCGCCGTGCGTCGGTCGACGTGGCCGCATGCAGTCCAGTGTTTACTCCAGGTCATCCTGGGCTGACTTTGTGCAAGTCTATTTTACTGAAGTACCCGCGTATCACTACCCTCTGAGCCGCATCACGGTCGCCCATGTACAATCGGCGAAGATCATTCTAAAGCCTCGCAGCGGGTGATGACTGCGGTAAGTAACTCTCGATTCTCTCACGAGTCTCGGCTCGGTCATTTGTATGGTCTAGGCAGCAATGATTTCTACTCGGCTTGTGTCGACGTTCAAAATCTGGTTAGCTGCCAGTGGTGTGTATACTACTATTCGTCACCACAACCGACGTCGTTCTTTGACCTCACTAACTCATAATTTTGCTTTCCGATGCGACGCTTATGGCCTGGTCGCACGGAATAAGCAGGTCCGTCAAATTCGCTCAACTTGCCCGGTTCCTTAACTGCGAGCCTTGCAAGGTCTTCAGTCCCCCCCCCCCGCCGAATGTTATCGGCAGTCGCCATGTCGTAAGCGACGCATCCGCCCGTGCTATGCCCTCAAGTCATGGGCCGACTTTACCGTTTTTTCCTTTTGACTGCTGCCTGTTCGGTGCAAGTTCGGCGTCCAAAGCACCCTTTCCTATCAATCTTCCATCATCCACTAACCTCAGCATCACTCCGGTTGTTATAAGAATGAGCAGTCCCTGCGAAAATCTCTCCATCCCACCATGCTGCGCGCATTGGCCGACAGTAGCATGGCTTCCACCATTGCGCAGTACGGCCTCGCTATGCTAATCTCCATAACTGTATGGACCTTGGCGAAGGCCGTCTACAACATATATCTCCATCCCCTCTCCAAGTTTCCGGGACCGACACTTGCAGCAGCTACCATATGGTGGCAGATATGGTTCGAGGTTTTCAGAGGTGGAAGTTTGTCTCTGAGACTTCTTGAGTTGCATGCTCAATACGGTTCGTCTGTTCATGGTCTCATTGTGTAACGTTTATCTCATAGGTGTTATGTAGGTGAGATTGTCAGAATTGGACCGAATGAGGTGCAGTTGACCTGGACTCCGGCTTGGATCGCTGCTGATCATGAGATGCAGCTGCACTTTTCCAGGCCCTCGGTGTACCATGAGATCTATACTGCGAAGAACAAATGGAACAAGAATCCCAACTTCTACAGGTACATCCTTTCCGACACGGAGTCGACCTTCAGCACCTGTGAATACGACAGGGCAAAGAAGCGCAGAGAGGTCACCTCGCCTCTCTTCTCTCGCAAGTCCATTCTCAACATGCAACATGTCATCCAAGAATGCGTGCGTGCCGCAGTCTCCTCTCCCAAATAGCCTCGTGACCGTCCCCATGCAGATCGACTCCATGTGCACAAATATCGACACGCATGTTCGCGAGAAGAAGCCTATCAACTTCCTCCGCGCGTTCCGGTGCTGTGCTCTCGACACAATCACGTCGTTCTGCTTCGCGCGAAACGTCCATGCGACGAGCGAGCCCGAGTTCCGCGCCCCTATCGAGCACGCGATGCACATTGCGGTCCCACTGACGGCCGTGTTCAAGCACTTCCCGATCATCCAGATATTCATGGCCCACCTCCCGCCTGACGTCGCGCTCATGCTGAGCCCGGAGATGAGCGGGTACATCAACATGCGCAAGGTGCGGCGATCGCAAACGTACGTTCGTACCTCCACACCGAGCTGACCTGCGACACGACAGATGCTCGACGCCCAAGTGCACGAGATACTGAGCAACCCGGACGCGCTCCGAAGCGTGGAGTACCAGACAATCTACCATGCCTTCCTCGAACATGAGCCTGTCCCATCTGTGGCCGAGCTCCGCGACGAGGCGCTTTTGTACGTGCACGCCGGCACAGACACGAGCAGCGACGCGCTCGCCGCAGGTACTCTCCACATCCTCGACAAGCCGGAGCTGTATGCGAAGCTGCGCGCAGAACTTGACAAGGCCTGGCCACGCCTCGATGAGCGGCCGCAGTACGAGACTCTCGAGGCCCTGCCGTTCCTAGTGCGTTGCCTCTGATCGGGCGAAACACAGTTTCACGCTCACGGTGCGCTCCCGTACAGACCGCGGTCGTGAAGGAGTCCCTGCGCTTCAGTCACGGCGTTGTGCACCCGATGACGCGCGTCGTGCCCGACGGCGGCGCGGTCATCTCGGGCGCGGCGATCCCCGGCGGGACAATCGTCGCGCAGAGCAACATCTTCGTGCACTGGGACGAGGAGCTCTTCCCTGAGCCGAAAGTGTTCCGGCCCGAGCGCTGGCTCGAGGGTAAGACCAAGGATGGCGAGTCGCTCGACAACTGGCTCGTCTCGTTCTCGAAGGGCCCAAGAAGCTGTCTTGGAATCAAGTGCGTTTTTTCTCCCTTTAGGACAAAAGGCAGAATCTAACGAATATCGCGCAGCCTTGGATACTGCGAGACATACATGACGTTCGCAAACCTCTTCCGCAGATATGATCTACGCTTAGAGGGAGGAATCAAGTATGTCGTTTGCGTACGTCGGGGCCATACATTGTGCTGAGCCAAGGTTGTGTCCAGGTCATCGGATTGGAAGTGGCGAGACTGCTACCTCCCGCATTATATCGGGCCCGAGCTCAAAGTTTGGGCTACACCTCGTCTGTCTTAGTTTCCCGCCTGCACACAGCCTGCTTGCAGCGCATACCCCTTGTATACTCGCGTCATGCTATTGCTCGTTTTCATTGCAGACTGACGGTGTGAGTAACCGATCAGGGGCAATCAACGGGGCTAGAAAGGAAGGGTTGCGATTAAGATCGCTTGCCTTCATAGGAGACACCGTTAATCTGTTCGGGGAGCTCTTAAGCATGGCAGACCTTACTGACACAGCCGGCGACCGCGAGACGCTGATACTGTTTACCTGCTTTGGCTTTGCAACGACGGCGTGGAGCTCTTGCTCTGAGACTCCATTCCCGGATCGTCAGGATGTACTTCCAATGATATATGCATATTACTGAAGGACGTATGCTGTCAATACAGATGCAGATTCGCCGGTATACTCCATATTGTGTAGCGTACTAGTATCGTTGTATACTCAGTCGTAAAACGCCGCTTCGTACATCAACGCCTCGGCAGCCTTGGATCGAGGTTTGAAGCTAACTTTGAACGGCAGAGGTTGTCTGGCATCCATGTCGACAATCAACGACATTGTAACATGCCGACAGCACTAGGACTTACTCCAGCAACCCGGTTGTGTACTCTCCACTGGGCTCGATGACGTTCCCCGTTTCGTCCATAGGCTTCTCTATATCAAGCGTGGCCAGCATATAGGCTATGTTGATCCACATTGAGTCCTGCGCGAAATCCATCCCTGCGCATATCCTCCGACCGAAGCCGAAGCCGGCCTCCAAAGAGTCTGGCGCGTCCTTGTCGAGATCGCCGCCTGCGGTAAGAAAGCGTGCGGGCTCGAAGGACTCCGGGTTCGGGTACCTGTCTTCGTCGTGCAGAACCGCCCTGGAGAGAAGGATTCGTCTGTAATCAGGCTCTCAGAGAGACAGGTTCTTCTTACCATGCATTACCCATCACGATGGACCCAGCCGGGATATTATATCCTTTGTATTCATCAGCTGCAATCGATACATGCGGAACCGCTATCGCCAGACGGTGACATTAGGTATTCACCACACCCACCTAGAGGTATAACAGGCCGCCACTTACGCCGTGGCCGGCTAGTCAGCACGACGAACCTGACTGAAGAGAAGCACCCACCTCAAGGTCTCTTTTCAGTAATGTAGGGGAGTGAAACCCTGTCCTCGATAGTGGGGAGACGGTCACTTCCCGTGACGCGCTCTATTTCTTCTTGAGCAATGCGCTGCACGTGTGGGTACTGCATCATCGCTAGGACGAAAGTTGCCAGAGAAGAGACAGTCTGAAGGGCGGGCTCAGCGGAGGAAGGGATGCATATCATGCGTAATCTACCGACCGTATCAGCACCTCCGATGTATGCTGTTCCGACAGCGTGCTTGATCACGGTTTCTTGACGCTTTTCGTCTGCACTGTCATCTATCTCCGACAGGAGCGAAGCGCAGACGCAGTTTGTTGAGTTTCCTTCCGCCTAGGTAGCTGCTCAGACATGAACATGGCCTTCGTGCAGCCAAGACAGCTTACCAGATCTTGCTTCACCACCTCAAATGGCTCGTCAAACATCTTATCGACTTGCTTACTCCACCTAGCCGCATCTTGTTTGAATCGCGCACCGGGCATCCAGCTCGGTAAATATCTCACTGGCGACGGCCATCGGTATGTGAAGAAATTGAAGAGGACGAGTACTTACGGGCTGGTATTAAGTCCACTACAGATACGTCAGTACGTCAGTGATAACCGTAGCTACAGATAGAGCCACCAACCCATATATGCCCCTGTATTCCCTACCTCAACCAGGGAGTGGACAGCCTCCTCCATGATCTCAAGATAATGATCATGCTCAGGCTGCGCATTAATGCCGTACGAGACCCGAAGAATCGTTGCTCCTGCCATGCTGTCACAAGTCAGACGGCGCTCAGATCCACTAGCGAGCCACATACAATCGGAGGTGTCGCATGAGAGCGCCAGGCTCTGCGATGAGACGGCCTAGCATGTTCCTTGCTTGTTTGTACATGTATGCGTGGTAGTTGCATATCGCATTGGGCTGGAATTGCCGATGAAACACTTTTCGATGTTCCCTCCAGGAATCACCGTAAGGCATCAAGGCGAAGTTCTTGTTCCAACCGACACTAGAATAGCAAATTCATGAGTAGACACGACGGAATTCGAGTTCCTACCTACAGGCCATGAGCCATTGTTGTTACAATCCTGTATAGTTTGTTGGTAGATTTTTACGGAAAATAAACCTAAGAAGACTCGCCGATCCGAGTATATGGAAGACCGCTTTTCAAGCACCTCATTGACAGCTTTTGAAGAGTTGAGAACATAGATATGCTTCCCTAGAACGTTCAGGTAGATGATGTCCGAGCCTGCGATGCGGACTTGTGAGCGACAATCCGGAGTGATAGTATGCGGTTAAAGATAGTCACAATGCTCCCGGCTCCATCTCTGATAGGTCAACCACGCATTTCGCACAGGCATGTCCAAGGCGTTCCATATGACAGGAAGCCCTTTAGGGCCTGGAGGCAGGCGATAACATCGTCTTCTGGAGCATAGGGATACGGCTATGAGCAGGACGAAAACAGCAGCAAGTGTGACAGTTTCCATGGTGTAAAAGAGCGGCGTGCCAAAGAAAGCTGGAGCTGCGGCTTATAAGGTAGAATCATTTGCGCCACGAATTGTGGACAGACTTCGAGGGTGTTTGTATTGGCTCACCCATGACGTTTGGTGACGATATTGATGATCGTCTATAGCGAACGGCTGTTGGTTGAGCTCGCACGTGAGCACAAGACGTCTTACACCAAGACTGTTGGCAACACGCAAGTCATACCGGAATGCAGTAATCAGCACGAGCTATACACTGATCAAATCATATCCATCTCTCACTTCTGGGCTCTGAACTTGAGAAGGTATCGGAGCGCCAGTACAGGCGCCTCGGGCTCTCCCTGGCACCAAGTACAGTGCTCCGAAAGCGTAGAAAGCATCAGATGAATTCCGTCAAGTGGAATCATCACATGGTATGGTACTTCTGCTAGAGGGCTGTCCAGGAGCGTTGAACAGCAACTTGGCGCTCGACGCGTTGTTGGCGCTTAACTAGCCCCCGTGGCGCGGCGATGGCTGCAGGTTTTCGGTCGCTTTCAAGCAAAAGCCTAAACGTACGACCAGAGAAATAGATAGATAAAACAGAACCACGGTCGATGGTTACTATTGATTGCATGAGGTGCGATAAGTATTGGACAGACTTGAGCTATCCGCGCGTCATGATGAGCAGTGGCGTTCAGTCGTAGAACATGGGCTCCCGGATCAAGACTTCAGCAGCTTTGGAACGAGGCTTGTAGCTGGCCTTGAACGGAACGGGATGTCTGCGTGCCAAACACGATGATTAGCATAGCAACCTGGCATCACAAGACATTGAAGACGCTTACGAAAGCGTCCCGGAAGTGAACTCCCCACTAGGCTCGATTGGCTGTCCCATCTCGTCCGAGGGCTTGGCAATGTCCAACGTCGTCAAGATGAATGCGATATTCAGCCAAATCGTATCCATCGCAAAGTGCCTTCCAGGGCAAAGCCTCCTTCCGTAACCGAAGCAGGCCTCAACAGGGTCCGGCGCAGACTTGTTCAGCTGACCGTCCGACGTGAGGAACCGGGTCGGGTCGAATGACCCCGGATTCGGGTACCTAGTCTCATCATGAAGTACGGCCCTAGGTTCAACAATAGTTTGCATAATGTCTATTGCTCCGTATGCAACGCTGACGCTTACCATGCATTTCCTATCACAAGCGATCCGGCAGGAATGTAATAGCCCTTGTACTCATCATCTGCGGTCACTGTGCGAGGAACAGCTGCCAGGAGGCGAACTTCAGATCGACCGGCTACCAAGCTACTCTGTATAACTTGCCTAAAGGAGTAACTTGATGCCATCTGTGCAGGAGTAAGACGCTATTTAGCGCAACGAAGAGTAATGCAGTGATGGGCGGCATACCTCAACGTCTCCTTCATGACCGCCGTAACGTACGGGAGCGAGTCCCTTTCTTCAAAAGTCGGGAGACGTCCACTGTCTATCACACGATCAAGTTCTGCTTGCGCGGTGCTTTGAACGTTCGGAAATTTCAGCATCGCCAGAACAAAGGTGGCTACAGCGGACACTGTCTGTCGTAATCGGTGGTAAGATGCGCAAAGACGGGGTCTCTGTTCAGTAGCTTACCGTGTCTGCCCCACCTGGAAGCCACCTGTCAATGCCTACAGAGCAGTTGCACATATGCATAGAGAGCTTACCAACATATGATGTCCCGGTTGCATATTTGACTGCAGTTTCCAGCTCCTGGCGCGGTTTGTCTTTACGCTCGTCCAGTCCTGCCAACAGCGAGGCGGTGACGCTGTCGCTTGGCTTTCCCTCTGCCTAGCCGTTGGCTCAGCCGTCGCTCGATGAGATGGTGACCTAACTGTGGCTCACCATAAGCCGCTTCACAAGCTCGAACGGCTCGTCGAACATCCGGTTGACTTGTTCCCTCCATTTCATGCCGTCGCGTTTAAATTGAGCACCAGGTGCCCAACTCGGCAGATACTTCACTGCACGGGATCCTCAGTTTGTGTAGAGTTACAGACGAAGGTTCCTCACGAATAGGAAAGTTGTCAACTGCGCATCTGTTAGCACCGGCGGCTTTAGGGGACTGATTGAAACTTACACACCAAGGTACGATCCAACATTTCCTGTCAAGGCTAGGGAGTGGACGGCTGCCTCTGCTATCCCAACATAATGGTCATTCTCCGGCTGTATGTCAATTCCGTACGAAACGCGGAGAATGGAGGCGCCAGCCATGCTATGAAGGGCTACGTTAAGACCCAGAGGGTACCCGTAAGAAGTTGACATACAAGCGAAGGTGCTGCGTCAGATTGTCGGGGTCAGCAAGAATGCGACCCAATAGATCCTTCGCCTGCTTCAAAATATGGATGTGATGCTTGGAGACGACATCAGAATGAAAATGCTGGTGGAACATGCGGCGATGTTCTCTCCAGAAATCACCGTATGGCATGAAAGCGAAATTCTTGCCCCAGCCGACACTGCACTATCAAATCAGAGACTCGGATGGGATCAAAACCATAGCCGATGACTTACATCTCGTGGCACATTGCCATAACCATGCTGCATGCCAGCTTGTGAGTTTCAACACGACATCGCTACAGACCAGGACGCGTACCGATCCGAATAATTTGAAGACCGTTTCTCCAGCAAATCATTTATGGCTTGTACAGAGTTGAGCACGTAGATCGGTTGCCCAGCGATGTTCAGGTAAATGATATCTGATCCTGTGAGGTGCCTACGTTAACGTCGATCATGGGCGATTCGTGATAGAAGCTCACCATACTCGCAACTCCACTTCGCATAAGTCACCCATTCGTGTCCTACGGGGATATCAAAGGCGTTGCCAATGATTGGGAGTCCCTTGGGACCGGGAGGTAAGCGGAAGCGCTGCCTCTTGGAATAGGAATACACAGGTAAAGCTACGGCGAAGATGAACAGGAGGGCAAATACGATGGACTCCATTGCTTGCGATTAAAGTCGAAGGGTCTAACGGCAAGTGAATAGTATTGCACCTATCAGCAACATGTTATATAGCACCTCACGGGTAAGCTTCTGCAACATCTGTAATTGCGGCCTTTCCTCCTGCGGGAACTACGATTTCCTTGACAGCATTCTCTTCGGTGAAGCTCTTTCGTGAGAGTGGCTTTAGCCCGTTTCGAAGACTTGCCAGCAAGAAGAAATCGTTCGGCAGAGGACATGGTGGGAAAAAACCCACAGCTGTCAACGTGTCGAAGACGCGCCATGGGGCCTGAGGACTCCTGTGACTGCAAATTGTAGCCCAGGCCGATCGATTGAGCCCGTCGGCGGAGAGGGGCAGTAGATTCAGCACCTTGGCCTCGTAGCAGAGTGTCGAGATGCAGCGGCTTACGGGCGTTCAGAGTTTTGTACCTTGAACCAGGGTATTGAGAAGCGCAGGTCAGCGTAGCATACGTTTATCGAAAGCGTAGCCCATGCGTGGTCATTGCCGGCTGGGATCCGGTGACCGGTCAACTTTCAAGGATTGTCTCCGCGATGATGGCTGGGCGCTGAGCGCTGATCGATGAAGCGCTGATCGGTGAGAAAGGTGAGACGCACTCTGCGGTTAGACCGCTTCACTCTGCTACCCCTTACTGTCGCGCACGGTCGTAGCACGACCCTTCGGCGGTTCATCAACATCAATGCTGTGGGATGCCAGGGCAAAGTCTGGTGACCGAACTGGCGCTGACATTAGACCTCGGTGTCGTTGAGGTTTGGAGCTGTACAATCCTCGTTGTTGCTGGAAGCGTACCATCACATCATGGGTATTGTGTTACAGATACAGAGGGAAGGTGGCCCGCGCCGGATCCTGTACACTATCAGTGCAGCACAGCGCACATGTACGTTCAGTCATAGAACACCGGCTCCCTAATCAAAGCTTCTGCGGCATTAGAGCGAGGTTCGAAGCTGACTTTAAACGGGACGGGATGTCTGCGCTCATGCATTCGTTAGTAGAATTAACTTGTCTTGCGCATCACATGAATATATACGTACGAAAGTGTACCAGTCGTATATTCTCCCGCGGGTTCGATGGGCGCTCCTGTATCGTCATCGGACCCTCAAACCATCCAAATAATCAGGAGCTCGAAACTGCCATTTCGTTAGCCCGGGCGGACCATATTCTTAGCCATTCTTACCAGAGAGCACAATATGTGGCTCAAACTGGAGACCGCAGTAGAAGCGCGGTGACGTACGCGACTCAAAGACTGCCTTTGATATACATGATGAATTGGCCGCACTGTCTCTTCCTGCGAAATCGGCGTCCTATGTGATCACCGATCTCTCTGCTTCAGCGCAGCGCGCGCCTACCCGAGAACGCCAGGAATCGTTGAGGCAAGTTAAACTAGGCGTGCTAGATATCCAGAGTATCCAATCGACTGGACATGCGGGCTCGTCCAGCGTTTACCGTGTTTCGCCGGAACCCATGTACACCAGTTGTAAGCAGACTCCTGACCAGCGCCTAAGGGACGGGAGCTTTCTCAAGCGGATTATCGGGTTGGGTGATTATCGGCTATCTTGTAATTACCGTTTATATATACTACGTCAGCGGGATTTGTGTCTATGTCAGCAGAATTTGCGTAATCTTTCGAAAGGCTCACCGTCCCTAGGCGACTGGCACAAATTATTGGCGCGCGTGCTCGGCAGCTCGGCAAATGTCCCAACAATTATTTTCGTCGCTCGGTTTTCCGAAAAATAAGCGACGGCGCCTCTCCGCCTCGCTCAACCCTAAGCGAGGGTTTCGAGAACCTCCCGCTCATTCCTTAGTATCTTGGGAACCACAACAGGTAGCGGCTCGACTGCTCATTTCAGAAGTCATGAAATTGATTTTAATGTCTCTAATGGCCGCATCTCTTGTCTAAAGCAGGTGCATGAGACCGTGAAAGATGTGGATGAGCGACTACGGCAGCTGCGCCACTCTCTCTAGTAAGGTCCCTGACGACACCGCAAGGACTGCACGGCAACGTTGCACCTTACATACCACCTTTCCGGCAATATTTTGTGTTTTCACCTTGATCCCTTGATGTCACTTCTTGAAAAAATGCGGAGGTGTTTATGGTGCTTACACCAGGACTCTACTGATTGTTATACTGATCTCACTTTTGTATCTCTGCGGAAATGTGCTGAATTCAGTTATCCCAACACTCAACCTGCTCTCTGTGGAAGAAAGATCTGTGGAAAGCTCACCTTCTTCAGTCACATTAATTTCCATTGCATAATTTAGAACTCTGATGATTCTTCACTTATTTGCCTCACATGTATATTGTTAGATAAAATAGAGCCTCAGCTGCCTGAAATCATATTAGAACAGCTTCTATCTACAGCGGAGCAGGTACCGCAGATGAAGCTTGGGTGGGCTCCTACTCTAGGGTTGAGCTAGGCGGAGAGGCGCCGTCGCTTATTTTTCGGAAAACCGAGCGACGAAAATAATTGTTGGGACATTTGCCGAGCTGCCGAGCACGCGCGCCAATAATTTGTGCCAGTCGCCTAGGGACGGTGAGCCTTTCGAAAGATTACGCAAATTCTGCTGACATAGACACAAATCCCGCTGACGTAGTATATATAAACGGTAATTACAAGATAGCCGATAATCACCCAACCCGATAATCCGCTTGAGAAAGCTCCCGTCCCTTAGGCGCTGGTCAGGAGTCTGGCTGTAAGTGGCGTGTCAGAGTCTCGGATGTGATCTGAAGTAGGTCAAAGCGCGCAGAGCCGAGCTTCAAATTTCAAAGCTTCAAGCTTTCAAGCTCAAGCGTTATCCCGGGGACAGCCGGATTGCGTGTAAATGTAAACTCTTGACACCGCAGACTCGCAGCGCAAGTTCCTTTCACATCTTCAGGTGAGACGGCAGCGATTAGTATAAGCTGACCTTGGCTCGTGCCTGGTTCAGTAATTAGGTCCCCCAGTGTGTGTGTCATGTTGATGGAGTCCTCGGAGAGCATAGTGCTTTGAAGATGAATGCAAAGTAATGACGTTAAATATTACAGGAGTAGCATTTCAAGAAGCTAAACTAGCGCAATAACATGAATATTAATGTCACGTCAAAGACTACAAATAATCGTTAGCACTGATGTCAGTCCGCGATCGTCGCTGGCAGCGCCGTGATAAATACTAGATAATTCAGTCGTAGCTTCCGATCCATGAGCTCATTCATGCGCTTTTTGCTATATAGTCCTGCTGGAGAATCCTGATCGCGACGGTCTTAGACAACCATACCGCGCGCAGTAAACCCACTTGCTTGACAGGAGGATTCCATCCTTCCGGCAACTTTTCATCTCCGTACCACTGCTCCACAAACTTTCTCGGGATGGCGAGCGCCGAGTCCTTCACCTGCGGTTTGCCCTGCCCGAGGACCAGTAGTGTCAGAGCCGACTCGCCGTGGGCGATCTCCCTGTGCACCCAGTCCAATGGTTTCCGCTCCTCCAGCGCCCGGCGGATGCGCGCGCGCACAAAACCGTTCAGCGTCAGGTTGCCGTCCGCCTGCGTGTAGCCGAGCAGATGTCGGAGGAGCACCTTGTCAGGCCGCGAGGGTGCGAACTCCTCGCCAGGCTTGGCGTCGGCGTGCGCCGTTGAGACGTTGTGTTCGATCCGGTGGTGCAAACAGAGGTTGTGCAAGCTGAGCGTCCACGGCAGCTTCGTTGGATGACCGCAGAAGATGACTCCCACCGTCGACAGGAACAGCGCGAGCGGGTACGAGAGGTTGTACACCTTAACAAGTGAGCACGCGAGTGTCCAACAGCCGATGTTATACCCGTCTCGGGGTCTGGTTGAGAGGCATGAGTAAAAGATTGACAGTTCCTGGAGATGGTGGGGGTACAGACAAATATCCGTGATTGGCCAGCGAATTCAGCGCTGGGCACGGTGACCTGCTATCTCTAGGCAGGGGTGCACTGTACGCGTGGTCGGCAGTGGCTGTCTTCTGGTCGTTCATAGTGGTCAGAGAGACGAGTCACGACTGTAGATATGGGCAGATGGGTACGTGGAGATGGACCTGTCCATGCCAGGCATTATTTATATCGGGGGCCGCACTTCCCAGGCCTGCAGATCCCTACGTAGTCACGCCATCAGGAACTGATAACAAGGCTGCGAGCACAGGCGATCAGCGGCTGTTAGCAAAGTCGTTAGGGCGGATTGTTTCGAGATGGGAGCAGAATGAAAGCATTGCACCAGACGGCGCATCATGATAGCGGTGACAGTGGCTACCGGTTCATGTCATTGCGTGCGCGCATGTACACCCACCTTGTTTCCTGCCGGCTCTTGTGGGTTCCGGTCGAACTCGCCCCGGAAACTTTAGGTAATGCTTTACGCAAAGCGCCACCGTGAGATGCATAGACGAAGCTCGTAAATATTACAAAGTGCAGGGCATGTTAATCACGCTGATAGTCCGTTAGCTAAATAGCATTGCTGTCAGGATCGTAGTCGCCTCTGCCATTAGATCAACTTGTCGTTAGGTGAGAACAGCGGGCACATGATCAGAACAAGTGCAGAGGCTGTGATGCAATGCAATGAAAAGCACAGGCGCGGAGGGCAATGTGATCATGATAACATTCTATCAGGCGCTGGGGACGGGCGCAGAGATGGAGTCTGTGCATCACGGGTCCGGTTCGCATCATGAAGACTCCGGAATGTGGACAGATAGCTTGGGCGCTGATAGGTTCACGAGATAGTCCTGCAGAGTAGTGAGTACGCAATCGCCGTCAGTTGTATGTGGCCAGATATACTCACGCGCAGCCACTGTTCTCTTTGTTCAGGGATATGATCAAGTACCAGATATCGTTTATCATTCTGGGTGTCACAGAAGGCTGTTAGTAAATGGTGTGCATGGAAACAAACATTCAGAGTCCAGAAATGGGCAGACCTTCAGGACCTTGACCATCTCCTTGAGATCAACAGTTTTTGCTAGTGCCTTCATATCGACCACTTCCTCATCATCTTCACCAATATCATCCGCCTTGATGCTCTTGTCGACACCCTGCCCACCAATCTTGCCTAAGCGTCCCCAGAACTCGACAAATGAGTTCTCGGCAAGCATCTGGTCAAACCCGTGTCTCGCTTCTTGAACGCGCTCGCGGTTCCACCGTTCATATTCGTCCTCAAGCGCATGCACGTCGTATCCAAGTTTTGTCGCCGGTAGCGAGGTGACTAACGATGACACGGGCAGCTCGGCGAACCGTGCGTTGAGTGATGGCGAGTGGGACGCGAACAGCGCGTGCAAATTGCCAAGGTGTTTAGTGCGGAGCTGCGTAACGTGCGTGTGGAACAAATGGAGCCGCTGATTAAGCGGCAGGACTGAACGTGTGAAGCGGGGGTCCCTCTCCAGCTGCAGAAGTACGTCGTCCCATCTGACCTGCATAACGGGCACTGTGAGACATCTGCGCATGAATCGTGAGCTGTCGTACCTGTGGGTCACGTATCGCATCAACCAGGAGAGTCCTGAGAACAAAGATACGAGCAAGAGGTGAGTGGCGCCATGTAACCAAGCGATGAGGAGAGAGGCTACTCAGCGCACTTGAACTCGAGCTCGGATTCCTCCTTGTTAAGACCAGATCTGCTACGGTCAATCTCAATGTCAAGCTTGCTGCGTTCGGCCTTGATCTTTTCTTCACGTTCTCGGACCGCACGTTCCTTTCGTTCCTCACGTTTGCGCTCCTTTTCTGTCTCACCCTCAACGTGATCATCCTGGTCATTACCGTCGACCTGAACCTGGCCAGGCTCGGGTGTGGGTGTGGCAGCGACACCCTGTGCCTTCATGAAGGTACTGAACAGTTCCTCGCGGAGAGACGACGAGCCTACAGCATCATAGCGAGGGTCATCGACGATCTTTTTCTTGACATCCTTCCATACAGCTCCGAGCATGAAGATACCGCTTTCCTTGAGCAGAGCGAAGAAATCGGATTCAGCTTTCTGCGCAGCGGCACGCTTCTCTGCAGAAAGTTATAGGGGTCGTAAGTATGGACAGTTCACGATCACTCACTTTCACCAAGTTCCTTCAGATATTCTCTGAATCTCTTCTCCCGTTCTCGGTCGTCCTTGCCCCAACTGTAAAATCGTCGATCTTTCTTCCATTGCCTCCTCCATTCTGTCCAGTTTGTCCGTGTACTCTTAACCTCATCTTTAAGCAACTGCTCGAACTCTTCCTTCGGGTTCGCGGCGGCCTTCTCCTGCTTAACCTTGCTTTGTCGCAGTTCGCGTGCACGGTCACGGCAATATTCATCGAACGCTTCCTTGCGTACAGAGACCGAAGGAAGGAGGACATAGCGAGGATCATTCACGAACAGAGGTAGGGCACTGTCCCACGGGTGCAGCGGGTTGATATCCTTTTCGCGAAGGAGAGTCTGGCACGAGATTCGTTAGTGAGGTTCTGTATATAGTACAGATTTGCGTACCTTGAAGAGAGCCTTCGCCTCATCTATGGAGAGATCGACCTTGTCTGGCATATTCAAAGGCTTGTTCTTCTGCGTTTCAGCCTCTGCCTTCATCCTTTCCTTTTCCTCTTCTTCTTCTCGTTTCTTTACCTCCTCTAGCCTTTTCTGCTCCTCTTCCGCCTCTTTGGCCAGCTGTTCCGCCGCCTCGCGCTGCCAGTCCTCCATGTCGCTCTCGTCTTCATCTTCATCTTCGTCGTCGTCGTCTTCATCTTTAGCCCCAGCCTCATCTTCTTCCATCTTCGCCTTTTTCGAGATAACCACCTCCTCGACCGGTACTACCTCCGCTTTCCGCTTTCCAGCCTTTACCTCTGCCTTCACTCTCTCGGCCTCTTTCCTTTCCTCTTCCTCGGCCTTACGCTTCGCCTCCTCCTCGTCTCTCCCTCTCCTCCTCTCCTCCGCTTCCCGCCTTTCTAGCTCTTCTACAGCTTCCTTAATCTCATCTGGCACCGTCCACAGACTCCGTCTCTCGGTCTTGTGACTGTAGAAGACATTACCTTCTGTAGTCTTCACGCGAAGCCAGTCCGTCCCGGGGATAGGTGTTTTGACAAGCGGCTTTTCCTTCTTCTTTGGCTGGGGTTGCGCTGCTACGGGTACGACAGGGATCTGGCCTGGCACTATAGGAAACGCGGGCAAGGGTCTGGTATACGTAGACTCTTTTGTGACCACATTATAGTAGTAAAGCTGTCCCGTAGGACCTACAACACATGGTTGGATGGTTCTTTGCGTACAGTCAGAATATGAACGTACTGGTATGTTCAGACCAGCCGGGAGGAAGCGGTGGCGGAATAGCTGCGGGAGGAACGAATGGCAGAGACTGCATGCTGGCTTTATGGCCAAAACTATGCTGTCATCAAGTGCTAGAGGTTCGAATCCCGGATATGCCTCACGTGAAAATACGTGGCACGTGACACTCTCCGTGGACCGTTGGTTAGTGGTTACTCGAGACTTAGAGCGGCGTGGTGCTAGATTTCAACGTATTCAGGGCTCGGATTGACACGCCAGCTTAATCAATCTCGACGTTGGTCATTCAAATATTCAACTTTCATCTTATCATAGTCACAAGCGCGGCAGCACTCTACGGTGCTGTAAGGCGGCACGCTACTGCCCGTGGGCGAATAACATGCAGAGATGTTGCAAGTACGAAGGATGGTAGCGTTTTAGCACGCAGAGTGAAAGTCCAGCGAGTCGTTCTTGGCCTTGTTTGTTAGCGCGCTGGCGCGTTGACGTGCCGCCACAGGAAGCAGCGCAGAAGTGCGGGCGGATGAGTGCAGCTAGCGACCTCACTGCAGCTGACATGGGGTTAGTTGTTATGGCTCCGAACTAGACAAAGGTAAGACAAAACATGATTGTAAGCTTCACCCAGTAGCCGATCTTACCACTCGCCGTTATTAGGCACACAAGCATCTGTTAAGAGCGTAAGGATATCGAGCCAAGGGGAAGTATCATTAGCAGCGTAATTTATACTACCCTCAAAGTGAACTTGCGTTCTGCCGCTATAGCGTTGGCTCGTTCGATCAATTTAGAATCCCGGCTGTCTCTCGGTCGATGCGCATGTGACATCGGTAGTGGAAAGAGGTGGGCCCATGGAACGGCGAGGAGTAGGAACTTTAGTGGTGAGTCGTTGTGTGAGAGTAGTAGTGGAAGGTTTTTGGTTTCATTGGTCGGCAATGAACCTCGAGCTTTCCCGAGGGTCGCTGAGGCAAAGTTCAAGAGGACGCACAGCACCCCCAGGCTTAGCAATAGGCTTTGTCGCGCGTAGGATGAGAGGTGGACGTGGTCACCCAGGTGATCCTATATAGCAATGCACGGTGTGGCTTTGTCGGCCGGCAAGAACCACATCGCGCCCTACAAGAAACTCAGATCTAGTGCATGGGAAGACAGCAGATCACTAACCTGATACCGCACAATCAGTGGCCCCGTCCTAGCAGTCACTAAAACAGTGCCACCGCACAGATGAACAGCTAAAGGAGCAGAATATATAAGCCCACGCCGCCGCGGAAGACAAAGCCAATTGCTCCTGTGAGGAATCGAAACAGATAACGTATCTCGATAACAGCCGGATACGGCCACGTGTCAGCAACTAACAATCCAACTGGACTGAGCTACGACAAAGCTGAGGAGACAGACGAGAGGAGAGTGAGTGAGGAAAGACCAGCTCGAGTCTGGCTTGTTATTGAGCAGTACAGGCTCCTTATATACATGTCAGACTGAATACCTAGAATATCCTACAAATATACGGAGGTGTATAGAAAGTGAAAGAATACCATGGAATCCGGGAGAACCATCCGGATTGTGTAATATTCATGACATTACCCCCCCCGTCTAGAATCGTGTCCTCACGATTATTTACCCGTCGATCCAAATCCTCCTGATCCTCGTTGAGTCTCTGTCAAACTTGACACCTCCTCGATATCACATGACGCAATGCGTTCCAAAATGACTTGTGCGATCCGATCGCCAGCGTGTATTTGAAAGGGTTGATTCGTGGAGTTGATCATCACTACGCGTACTTCTCCGGTGTAATCTCGGTCTACTACTCCAGCGCCGACATCTATCCCTTTGACTGCTAATCCACTTCGCGGAGCAATTCGTGCATACGTTCCGTGAGGTGCGCGAATTGCTATGCCGGTGCCGACGATTTTGCGGTCTCGTGCCGGTATCTTAGTGCTTTCAGCCGAATAGAGATCCAACCCAGCCGACTCCTCGGATCCTTGCTTCGGGAGAATTCCACCCATTCGTGTACC